TAAATTATCTTCGCGACGGATTCGGCTGAAGTATCATCGGTAGGTATTGCTTCTGGCCATCTTGTTGTTCTGTCGATCATTGTTACGAGATAACGATGTCCTTGCGGTGAAGTAGGTAGTGGTCCAACGATGTCAACGTGCAAGTGTTCGAATCTCTCCGTGGGTGGAAATGTAGCTAGACTACTTGATGTATGCCTTTGTACTTTGCATTTTTGGCATTGAATGCATTGCTTCGCCCAGTTGCCAACATCCGCTTGCATTGCAGGCCAAAAGAATTTTTCAGTGATGAGTTTTCTTGTTGTTCTAACACCTGGATGACTAATGTTGTGCAGTGTATTGAAGACTTCGCGACGACATTCTTCTGGTATGTATGGTCGCATGGTTGTCGTTGAGGCTTCACAGTATATAGGTAGATGCGTCATTGGCATTGTAACTTGCTTGATGGACAAGTTACCTTGCTTCGATAGATGTTTTATGTTGTCACTATCTCTGTCTTGTGCTGCGGCGATCTTATGATAGTCGATTGATGTAGGGCACGTTACACTGTCGATTGGTACGCGACTGAGTGCGTCGGCAACTATGTTGTCCTTTCCACTGATGTGACGTATGTCGGTCGTGAATTCACTTATGAAAATAAGTTGTCTTGCTCTTCGTGGTGTTTCCGATAGTGATGGTTTCTTTGGAAGTACATATGTTAATGGTTTGTGGTCGGTAAAAACGATCAGGTTTCGACCCTCGAACGTTTTTCTGAAGTGCTTGATAGCCATGTAAATAGCGAGTAGCTCTCGGTCGAATGTACTGTAGTTACGTTGAGTATCGGAGAACTTCTTCGAAAAATATCCAAGTGGTTGCCATTTCCCATTGCTGTATTGTTGGAGAACTGCTCCTGCTGAGAGATCGGATGCGTCGCTGAAGATAGCAAGGGTTGCTTCGTGTGATGGGTGAGCGAGTAAAGCTGCATTTTGGATCGCAATTTTACAAGCTTCAAATGCCTTCGTGGCTTCATCGTTCCATTCGATTGACGTTTTATCTTTTTTCTTCGTGTTGTGAAGGTAGGCGTGAAGTGGTGCTTGGATTTCAGCGGCTTTAGGTATGTGTTCTCTGTAAAAATTTATCATCCCAAGAAAACGCCTTAGCTCTTCGATAGTTTTAGGTTTTGCATAATCGATGATTGCTCTGACTTTTTCGGCAGGCGGTTTTATTCCTTCCTTGCTACGGTGAAACCAAGAAATTGAACTTCTTGCTGTCCAAATATGCATTTCGAAGGGTTGATTGTGATTCCGTTGTCTTCTAATCGCTGTAGCACGGTGCGTAGATGGGTTTCGTGCGTTTCTTTATCAGGGCTTGCAACAAGGAGATCATCAATAAATGCGAAAACGAAATCCAGTCCATGAAGTACTTCGTGTATGAATCTTTGGAAAGTTTGACCTCCGTTCTTTAATCCTGGGATCATTCTTGGGAATTCGAATAATCCCATTGGGGTAATTATTGCTGTCTTCTCTATGTCTTCATCGCGGACTCTTATTTGTTGGTAAGCTCGGTTGAGATCGATGGTGGAGAATATAGTCTTGTCTGATAGTTGATGAGTGAAATCCCTGACTCGCGGTATTGGGTAGCGGTCAGGAGTGGTAATAGAATTCAGTCTTCTGTAATCTCCACAAACTCGTAATTCTCCGTTCTTCTTCGGTACAATGTGAAGTGGTGATGACCAAGGGCTTTTGCTTGGACGGCATATTCCTTGCTCAATCATGTTTTCGAATTCCTTTCGAACTTGCTCGTATAGGTGTGGTGCGATTGGACGTGCACGACAATGAAGTGGTGGTCCATTGGTGTCGATGAAATGCTCAACGTCGTTCTTCGGTGTTAATTTCATTGAAGTTATTCTTGTGATACCAGGGTATTCTTCGAGGATCTTGTGATACGGTTGTTGCACATCTATGCTTCTTATTGTGGGCAGATTGGTTGCTTGTACAAAAGACTGAGATGCAAGATTGGTTTTCCCGTCGATGATTCTTCTATTTTTGATGTCGACGACCAACTGGTGATGTTGAAGAAAATCAGCACCGATAATTGGTTTGCTGACTTTAGCGACGATAAATCTCCATTTGAATGGTCGGCGTAGATTAAAATCAAGTTCCATTGTTTTTTCTCCATATGTAGGAATAACCGTATTGTTTGCTGCATAGAGTTGAAAATCTAGTGGCTTCAACTTCTGTCCTTGCTTCGGCGGTAACACTGAGATATTTGCTCCGGTGTCGATAAGGAAAGTGAGCTTGCTTTTTTTATCGGTGACGAAAAGACGGTAGGACTTTGCTGTTACGCTGGATCCCGTCGCATCGAGCGTACTAGTTAGTTTTCCGTATTCGTATTTTCATTTTTGAATGTACACGGTGCTGTGCATTTTCTTGCCTCGACCCCGAAACGTCGATGATAGTAGCAGTAAGGGGATCTTGATGTTGAGCTTATTCGACTTCTACTTGCAGAGCGGTTGCGACGAAAAGGTGATCTTCGGTGTTGCTGATTGCGCTGGTTGTACTGTTGCTGGTAAAAGGTATGATGCTGGGAAGCTTTGAGCGCGGCGACTTCGAATGATAGCTTCCGAATTTCTTCGAGAAGAAACTGGGTATCGTTGGCCTTTGTTGAAGTGCCTTCGATGATCGATATGTGTGAGCTACTGCTGTTTTCGATCATCTTGTCCGCCAGGAGTGCCAGTTCGTCGAGCTTCGTCTGCGTGCTGAATGTTTCGCTGACTGCTATTACCGATCGAATATGTGGTGGTAGGTGGTTTACCCACATTAGCCGTAGTGTTGAATCCGGAACTTTATCTCGCGCCAAAGTACGCATTTTGCGTAGGAGTTGTGTGGGTTTCTGGTCTCCAAGTTCTATTTCTGATAGAAGTTTTTGTAGCTGTCGACTGTCGGATTCTTCATATGCGGAGATCAGACGATCCTTCAGTGAATTATACTGGTCGACTGCTGGTGGGTTGTACAACAGGTCCGCAATTTGTTCGATGTCTTGTTTCTCAAGTTGGGCTATCACCATCTGTGCTAATTGCGCTTGGCTCTTCTTTAAACCATTCGTTGCGGCTTCAAAACTGACGAACCAAAGTCGTGGTTTGTCTCTCCAAAACGGTGGTATTCTTAACGATAGAGATATACCGGCGATTTCTGGTTCCTTTACCGGGTTTGATGTATATGTGTTTGCCTCCTGCTCCATAATGACGGCTTGATTACACTGATTTTATATAAACTGAAGTCTTCCTTCTCGGTGTTCGTACGGGTTTCCTTCGCGGTGTTCGTGCAATAGTAGTGGTACGTCGCAGGGTGTTCCTTCTTGGTGTTCGTACCGGATCTTCCCCCTCGGTGTTCGTACGGGGTCACCACTGTAATCGTGGAGACGAACTGTCCACTATTAACAGACTCCGAGTGGTTTTCTTTAAGGTGGAGAAATGAAACTACTGTTTATGTTTATGAAGGTACTGTCGAATGGGATTCGGAATGGAATATATTTTGCATCAACCTTGCCTATATTTATATGGCTGGCTCACTATTGATTTGCCAATGGTAACAATTAATATTTTGCCTAGCCAATTATATTGCTTATTTTATGACCAATGAAAACTATTTAAAATATACAATTATCTACGTTTCGTTTCCCGGCGTGAGACTTGTTTGTTGTTCACGAAGCTACGTCGCTGGACCGGGCTATATAAGACATGCAGATCGGTGCGCACGCGTAGTCGGCGGGCGGCGGCGGTGTGGAATACAGCTCCGGAACAGCAAGAGGAAACGAACTGCGGCGTTGAAGAAACGGCTCACCATTGGTCGACGGATACGTGACGATAGCGGCGTGTGAAGTCGGTGTGGCGCTGAATGATATTTGCGGCTGCTTCTTGTTTCTTTATAAGAACGTCAAATTATCTATATACAGTCCGCAGTATCTCAGTAGCCAAGAATAATTAGGAAATAAAATGTTTTTTTTATTTATTCTCGCCTTCCGCGTTATGGTAGCAGCGGAGTATATATTATTTATTCCCGTTTCGGTTTGATTAATCTGGCTGCTACATGTACATCTCTTCTCTGAAACGCCTCAAATCTTATTTGAGAAACTCCACAGGCCAGGAAAGACTAAACGGTTTGGCGTTAACGTCAATCCACCGCAGAATTGACATCGACACCGAGGTGGTAGTTGATTTATTCGCTGCAAAGAAAGCTAGAAGACTAAATTTAATTTTGTAATAAGGTGTTAATATTTTTGTAATGGTTTTCTAATAAATATATATGATAAGTAACACCATTTTATTTCTTTTATTAAAACGATTTCATGTTTTTCTACTGTTCCACCAAATCAATCCCCCCCCCACAAATTATTTTCTGGCTAGGGCCTTGATATTCAGTTCAGACAGTAATGTTTTCGCATCTTCTTTAAAAAAATCATTTTGTTTATTAAAAAGGTAAACTAGTCTTAAAAACTGCGGATATATTTCTACAAGTATTTGTATGACCTACATTGTTCCCGGTCTGGATGTTAGTCTTTGTGTAATTTATGTTTGTAAATTGACTTCATAAAACTGGAGAGAATTCTAGCGTTTAAGAAACAAAACAAAATAAAACATGAGATTTTTTTGTATATTTTAGTTATGCAAAGCTTTACGGCTATGAGAAAGGCTAGAGAAGAATTTCGAGCGAAATTGATGAAGCTCATTTGTCAGTCTGCCCCCGGTGAGGATAAGGACTCCATTCCTTCCGGAGACGAGAGGAATATGCTACGTTATTATTATTATATACGATATGGGATAGATACAATCCACGTAGCTCCATTAGATAATAAAATAATCTTACGGTAAGAACTCGAAATTCGGTTTAATATGCTGAGATATTGAAGGTTGTTTTATAGATTTAATATTTTGTCGGTACTTCATCGTAATTTTCAGAGTACATAGCTTGATACCTTTGAAGCTTAAGAAGTGGAGGGAAACTTTACTCACTTGTACAGACGAAATGCGCGAAGATTTCATGATGAGTATGAAAAAGGCGATTGTGGATTTTGTCTTAAAAGATCCAAATACGGTAATGTTTGATAGTTATGATTACAAGATTAAGCTTTTGAAAAGGTAAAAACTGACTTCAATAACAACTTTGACAGAAATGAGGGTTTCTGATGAGGGTGTACCGTAGTGTACTGAACACAGAGGTACAGCTGTGATGTTGTGTTGTGTGATTGCCGAAACTATGTATAGATATGCGATAGCAGCAATCGCGGTTGATTTGCTGGCATTTATTGAAGAGTTCCGTTGCCTGTCTCCGAAACTCATTATGAGATATTTACGAAATTTAAATGGGACCATTCCGAAATAAATCTCTTTCGAACAAAAAAAGAATTTTGCAAATCCATCTATATATGACGGAGTAATGCCCGAACACACACACACACACACATATATATATATATATATATATATATATATGTATATATATATATATATAGAGCTCTAACTGAATTGAGATCCTCGTCCTTTTTTTTGAAGTCGGTTAAAAACGAGCGACAGTAGCCTAATGGCTCACCGCAAACAATCACAAACAGTCGTGGGTTTGAATTCGCAATTCGACTACTTTTATTAAGCATTTAAAGATTACTTAGTGTGATATACGGAAATATAGTATGTTCATTAATAAAACAATAATTTGTTTAAAGATTTTATGGTGGTATGAAGCTAGATTTTCAAGTGCGAAGGCAACATAATTTATCATATTTATGTGCCATTTTGGGTTTGTTTTTTATTCGTTGTACAATATAGTTGTTGCTTAGTTCAATACAATCTAATATATAAAAATTAATATTGGTTTGGTCATATTTTATGCGCTGCCATTTCGTTCATCAGATTGGGGTAAAACTTTGTCAAAATATTGCTTAAACTTCCACGAAGGTTACAGGCATATTTGTATCCGGTAGGTGGTGCTGTTGTAGAATCCAGATATCACCCGTGCGAAATCGGGGCAGATAGCAGTATGTTATAAAAATATTATCTATTTACAAAAAAATATTAATTAGCCTACTGTCGCCTGTTATCGTATTATAATGATATTATAATATTAGTAAATAGAATCTGGTTGTGGTTGAATATTTAAATGAAATGCAGTGAAATGACGATGTAACGGAATATCTTACCCCATAAAATCACATAGGTGACGAAAGAGGCGTCAAAGAGAAACTAAACCATGAGATGGGCATTAGTATTTTCCTGATAACTGCTGGATTAAAGACTACGGTTGTCGACCCACTTGCGAAGCGTGGAGACTATGGCAAATATCCCTACAATATGGGGTATGTTCCGAAATGTTTCCAGTATACTGGCGATTGCAAATGACGTCATTAATTGAAGCCATATTGTACTGGTGTGCCGCCGCCATATTGTGTCGGATATCCCGCCAACCCGCCATATTAAAACAATTTTTAATTGTGTGTACGCTGAATGAAGCATGTCAGAATTTGTTTTTATTTATTCGAATACAGAAATTATAGAATAATTATTGCTTATCTCCATTCTTCAAAAATTAATTGAAACAGGATATAATGACTTTTGGAGCACAAAATGAGAAAATAATCGCCAACACTTTTCCAATATGGCGCAAATGTATGACGTCATATACTGTCAAATGTTTTGAAACGAATCACCAGTATGGCGTCGATTTATAACGTCATTTGCATTGGTCAGTACACTGGGTTATATTTTGGAGCATACCCACAGCAATTTATTGGGGAGATCTGGGTTCAGCAGTGGACTTTTGATGGGCTGTAATGGATGGAGAGGTGAAAGTACAGTATTATTATATATATATGGTATAGGTTATTTGAAAATACAAAAATGCACAAAAATAGTGAATTTAAATTTAAGGAAGAATCCCTCGACGAGGAAGACACGCCACTGAAACAAGAATTAGCTATGAAGGATGACGCATGGAGAAACAGATATGTTATATCCACAAAATACATAAAGAAAAATTTACACAGCATTAACCCATGTATTGCGCAAGTTTTACAAATATGGTGGAGACAATTCAAGTAAGTGTGAAAATGGTATTAAACATACATCCGCCTCTAGGTCCTTCAAAAGAGTCATTGCCAAGGCAAAGTCAGAGCACATAGGCAGAATTGGCGAGAAACTAGTTCGCCTTCCTTCTGGAACCCGTGCATTCTGGTCTCTCGCCAAGGCTGTCCAGGGGAATTTCTGTCAGCCATCTCTTCCATCTCTGCACAGGGAGGACGACTCACTGGCCCATACCGCAAAGGAGAAAGCCGATCTTCTAGGCTCTTTCTTTGCGTCTAACTCGACTCTCGATGACGGGGGGAGTACTCCGCCGACCATTCCGCGGTGTGAGTGCTCCATGCCGGAAGTGCACTTCACACAGCGCTCGGTTCGCAAAGCACTCCTCTCCCTGGATATCCACAAGTCGAGTGGGCCTGACGGAATCCCCCCTATTGTGCTGAGGACGTGTGCTCCAGAGTTGGCACCGGTTTTAACGCGTCTTTTCCGGTACTCCTACTCCCTAGGCGTAGTCCCAAAATCATGGAAGACGGCTTACGTCCACCCGATCCCTAAAAAAGGCGACCGCTCTGACCCGTCCAACTACCGGCCAATCGCCATCACCTCCTTGTTCTCCAAAACAATGGAGTCCATTGTAAACTGCCAGCTCATGAGGTACCTTGAAGATCACCAGCTGATTAGTGACCGCCAATACGGTTTTCGCCGTGGTCGGTCAGCTGGTGATCTTCTGGTCTACCTAACTCACAGATGGGCGGAGGCAGTAGAGTTCAAGGGGGAGGCATTGGCCGTTAGTTTGGACATTGCGAAGGCCTTCGATCGGGTTTGGCACAAAGCGCTTCTTTCGAAGCTCCCTTCCTATGGGCTTCCCGAGAAATTGTGCGATTGGATCACCAGCTTTCTTGCAGATCGGAGCATCAAGGTCGTTGTAGACGGTGCAAGCTCCGATTGCAAGCCTATTAATGCTGGTGTTCCACAGGGCTGCGTGCTATCGCCAACGCTGTTTCTTCTGCATATCAATGACATGTGCATACCCGTAACATTCATTGCTATGCAGATGACAGCACTGGTGATGCTCTTTACACCGGCCGAGCCAATATTTCTCGGGAAAACGTCTCCGAGTGCCGGGACAAACTTGTGTCTGAAGTCGAGTCTCTGCTGGACAGAGTCTCGGATTGGGGGCGACTAAATCTAGTCCAGTTTAACCCCCAGAAGACACAAGTTTGCGCGTTAACCGCTAAAAAGAACCCCTTTGTCGTATCCCCTCAGTTTCAAGGCACTCCCCTTGTTGCCTCAGCCAGTATCGGAATCCTCGGCGTCGACATATCGAGTGACGTGCAGTTTCGTGGTCACTTGGAAGGGAAGGTCAAATTGGCCTCTAAAAAGCTTGGCGTGCTCAGCAGAGCGGGACAGTATTTCATGCCGGCACACCGCCTGCAACTTTACAAGGCGCAGGTTCGGCCGCACATGGAATACTGTTCCCATCTCTGGGCTGGGGCTCCCCAGTACCAGCTTCTTCCACTTGACCGCATTCAGCGCAGAGCGGCTCGAATCGTCGACGACCGAGTGCTTTCCGATCGGCTCGATTCACTGGCGCTGCGAAGAGATGTTGCATCTCTTTGCGTATTTTATCGCATCTATCACGGGGAGTGCTCTGAGGAATTGTTCGGATTAATCCCAGCAGCCAAATTTCGTGAACGCACTACACGTCAAACGTCCCGATACCATCCACACCATCTGGATGCTTGGCGGTCCATCACTGTACGTTTCACAAGGAGTTTTCTTCCACGTACAACCTCTCTGTGGAATAGTTTACCACCGGCGATTTTTCCGTACCGATACGACCTGGGGACCTTCAAGAAAAGAGCTTACTCCTTTCTAAAGGGCCGGCAACGCACCCGCAATTCTCCTGGTGTTGCGGTTGATTATGGGCGGCGGTAGTCATTTAACATCAGGTGAGCCGCATGCTCGTTTGCCCCTTCTTCTATAAAAAAAAAATCATTCATATTAAATATTCAAATATAGATAAGAATACCTAATGTAAACAACGCACCAGTAGATTTAAATACTTTTTTATAGAATAGGGGTGACAAACGAGCACACAGTCCACCTGATGGTAAGTGCATGCTGTGGCCCATAGACATCTACATTTATCCTCGATTAAGAATCAAAACGCAGATGCGTTGTCACCGCTGAGGACCTCTACACTCATCGTACGAAACAAAGCAGCATTAAGCTGCTATTTTACGCTGGTATTATGTGAGAGCGTGTCCCCGGGTCCAGATTTCATATTAATTCTCATTCTCATTAATTAATTAATTCATTCATTACAGCCAACTAACGCAATCGATAATGATGCCCATAGACAACTACATCTATTTGATTATGAATCAAAATGCGGATGTGTTGTCACCGCTGAGGACTAAAATGGAATGCCTCGTTACTAGTAAACGTGGTAGAGCCATGCTGTAGCTATATTATAGTTGTAACACGAATGGGTCAGCTCGAGCGGGTAAGGACCACGCTCTCCCATAATACCAGCGCAAAATAGCACCTTAATGCTGCTCCATTTCGTTCGTTCTGTGTCCATTTTGGTGAGAGTAGAGAACCGGAGACCTTTTTTAGTGGAAACGCGGTATTCTATTAAATTCTTTCGGGGTGCAACGCATCTGTATTTTGATTCTTAACCGAGGATAGATGTAAATGTTTATGTGCCACAGTATCCACTTACCATCAGGTGGACTCTGTGCTCGTTTGTCACCCGTGTTCTATAAAAAAAATCAGCAAAGCATGGGCTTGGTATTCTTTGAAAACGTAGTCCTTCACCAGTTGAGCTGACCCATTCGTGATGCTACCTTAGTATAATAGATGCAGCGTGGATCCACCAAGTAAAATTCGTCCCACTCGTCCTCATTTACTTTAAGATGTTACTACACCAATCGATCAACCGTTGATCGATAGTGGAATGGATTAGTCGACATCGTTCAATAGTTTCTACCATAACGAACGATAGATGGAATCGATCGATTGTAAAATGGATTAGTCGACGTCGATTGAGCTACTTGATTATTTGAGAACCCACCAAGCTCCACCAATCGTAATTTAAAATGTCGACAAAATTAATCGCTATAATTTCTGTTTTCTTTGCGTTCCCGTAATAATAATATGAGCAAGAGTGTACTGGCCAACATTAACGCATCCTCTTCTGAATACATTTTTAAGAGACTGATGACGAGCACACAATTACGTCGATTAATCGGCGAACAATGATTGAACAACGTTTTATCGACCAGTATTGGTTGTGTTGTGGGAACATCCTTACACTTTGCCACATTCGATCTTATATTTTGACGCAATGGTGCACAAGGGCAAACATTCTATCACCGAATGGCCAATAAAAGTCCACTGCTGAGTATTGTCCTCTCCTACAGATTGCCCCATCGAGAGGATTTAGCCGTAGTTGCTACGTTTGGCAGGCAGGTTGGCAATCATAGTTTTATATTATTTTAGTTGTAATCACGAAAATGCTCCTGTCCATCCTTCTGTTTTAGTATCTCTTTGTCGCCTCTTACGACACCCACGAGAAGATATGTGGTAGTAGATATTCTTACGCTCCCACTTCATGGTTTAAAAGAACAATCATTGTATCCAAACCTGATAATATGTTCGTTTGTTTCACACGCACATTGGTCTGGCAATTAAAATATTATATCGAATGTCCACATCTCAGAAGGCAAAAAACGGAGTCACTGGTATTGCATTTAAGGTTACAGTAATCTATTTTAGGTTTTTTTTTAAATCTTACAATAATATTGCATTTAAGGTTACAGTAATCTATTTTAGGTGTTTTTTTTTTAAATCTTACAATAATCCAAATTTTGCAACGTTAGCCACCGTAGCACTCAGTATTTGATTATTGAATATTTCTATTGGAATTGTTTCTCTTTAAGTAAATTCTGCTTCCTTATCGGCCTACTTATTTACTACTGGTTATAGTTCTTTTAGCCAGTAGCAACTGGGATACAAACATGAAAGATATTTACGTAACCACTGGATCTAGGCACAGATCTAATGCCAATTGCCGCATTCGCCTTTTGAACTTTATTAAAATTAATACGTTAAATTTTTTAGCGAACTACGACTTATCAGTATGAAAGACATTATGATGAGCAACGAAGCGTACGAGCTGCAGGACTTTAGTTTCGTGTGCAAAAGGCACATAGATGCGGCCGGTAATGTTCTTACGCTCCAGTGGATACCGACAATACAGGCCGTGTTCCTTCAGGTATAACGTACTAACACTGTTATAGGCTATGTTCTTTGTGTCGAACCTAAATGACAATAGTTTCAAAGCAAATTACTTCCAGATGTGTACCTATTTTATTTATAGAAGAAAGAGCAAACAAGTAACAAACTTGCGGCTCACCTGATAGTAAGTGTTGACAACTGTCCACGAACAACTGCATCACCAGGAAAAGAAAGTGGTAGGTGCGTTTCCGGCCTTTAAAAAAAGAGTAAGCTAAGTATTAGAGGTCTCGAAGTCATATCGATCTGAAACAATTGCCAATGGAAGACGAATCCACAAAGAAGTCGTCTGATAAAGAAAACTTAGTAAATCAGTGATGGACCGACCGCCAAGCAACTAGTTGGCGTAGATTAATTAAGTAATTCAAACGAATCCACTGAGCACATCCCTGTGTCTACTATGACCTTAAAAATGTACAATAGTAAAGACACGTTTATTAAATTAATTTTTATACCAAAATTTATTTTAGGGAAGTAAAAAGAAACAGATACCGGATCCGAAACAGGTGTTGAAGATGAAACGTTTTTACAATTGTCTCGCCTGCATCATGACGTATAACTTACAAACACTCTGCTTGAAATCTATGAAAGAATATACCGACTATATTATGGATGTTGGGGTAAATCACATCTTAATGATTATAATCATTAAAATAAATTTATATTAATCTTGATTAATAATATTTTAGGGTATAAATCAAGGTTTTATAATAAATCTGACTTTCCAAAACGATGCTATTGAGTTCGAGCCCTCATTTAAGCAGTTTCGTGACAAACTCTGTCTGATGTATGATTTTTTAATGGATGCCTGTAGACAGTCACCACGCTTGGAAACAATATTGTATCAGGATTTTGATGTAAATGCTCGTGAAACTCTTAAGGTAATTAAAAAAGTTAAGCATTAAAAAAGTTATATTGATGAACTTTGAAATGTGCCTTAAGTAACCCGCGATGAAATTTGCTTCCTTTCCTCCTTCCCTATAACTCAGCAGTCATATTTATCGCGGTCGTGCGGCCTCGCTGTGTTTTATTTATCCTTAGACATGCTTTTCCCTTTACCGATGGAGCTTAAAAATTTAATGAACAATTTCTGTATCGATGGCACCGGAAATTGAATTCTGGTTGCAAACTAAGATATTTAAAGCTCTCTCGCTCTGTGAGCTTACTTTAAATGAAAATGAATTTGTTATTAAAGAAAAAATAATCCAGAAAAGTTAAGCCTTATCTAGTGAAAAAATAATACTCGCTGTCATCAATGTTATTGCTACTGCAAAAACATGACAAAAACTATTTGTCATAGATGAAAAAATCCTGTTTTGTAGGCCGTATGCATTGTGAAATAGTGGAACCTACTTCTGTACCCTTTTTTAATTTATAATGCGTATCATATAATCGTATTCCACCATTTTGTGCATTGGTTAAATCGATGTCATTGGTCCTATTACATTTATTTATCATTACATTTATTTTAAATAAGCAATTGTGTTAATAAAATACGTGTATATAAGCGTTTTAAATGTTTATCTTCCTTTATATTAGTATTTTATTCATAACGCTCGGTGACGCAGTGTTAAAATTTTAGCCAATAATAGACAACGAATTGATTGAAGACTATAAATCAAAAATAGCAGATTTGATTGATGAACAAAGGATTGGACCAGAACTGAGAGTCCAAGATTTCGACGACTATGTTTGCTTACTTAATGGAGAGGTGAGTAGATAATTAAAAATTCGTCAATCCTGCTTTAAGTATTTTCTGAGTTGTTTAATGATTGTTAAATAGGACTAACTTGTTCAATAAATATAGTTTTGCATTATACATAGAAGTACAGACTAATATAGAGGAAGAATAATAACTTTTATTTTTCGCAAACACACACACTGAGATTGTTTTCTATTAGAACTTCTAAGATATGTAATTTATAATTACAAAGTTTATATATACTTACATCTTCTTCTTAAGTGACTTCTTAATCTACTTCTGGAATTCTTTAAACTGCATGAACTGACATGCAACCCTAACTGATTTTTCGTAATCACCAGATCAGCGCAAGCGAATTAAGCGCAGTGTTCATACTCGTACTAGATATGCGAAAAAGGCGTATTTGCACATAACATCACACCATACGTCCTTCATTCTTACATAGTCGTAGATTAAAATACATACTCATGATAAAGGTGGGAATTTATCACACAAACGTTTTTTGGTCAGTTATCGCACAAGCAATCTTAGCAGACACACATTAATAACCAATTTGGCAATCCAGTAATCAAAAATAAACGTTCTTTCCACTGTAGTAGAGATCCCTAATAAAGAAAAAGATAACGAAGTACAAAATATGACGAATTAGAGTTGATTTTAATTTTTTTAAATTTAATTTTTTAGTCCATTGCGCAAGTTGAAGATTTCATCAATTCTCGTCCAGAAAAGACATTCGAAGAGTTCTGTCAAGAGTCAGTTAAATATGTGGAGTTGACACGAGAGATACCCTCAAAACTAGAGGGGACAATCGTTATAGGAATGTACAGGATGCAGAGGAATGACTTGATTAATGCGTTGCGTGGAGCCGCAACAAGACTTGCTAGTACTCTTCTAAGAAAAATGACTGAGGATTATCAGAGTCTGGTCAAAACGTATGTGTAATTTTTATAAGGTTAATTTACCTTGTCGTGGGAAAAATTAATTTATGGAAAACTTTAGACGGACCTTCTGGTATTTTAGTGTATTCTACGATTTCTCATCTGCTGGTATACCTACTAACCTAAGTTGTTCCGTTAGAAAGGACAACTTGCTATAATTGTCAAGATTACGTATTAGACTAGTCACTAGTACGAACACTTTATATTTACGGGAGGCCACGGTTATATCATCGAAGGACGGTCTATCGAAGTTTGGGAATCTTCCTGAATATTTCGGTCATTTCCTAAAACAGTCACAGGGTGAAATCTAGTTAATGTAAATGCTTTTATAAAATCTGTAACGGATTAAATCTACATATATATTTTTCTCCATTTTTACCATCAGCCCTTAAAAGTTTACTACTGAACATAGATGACTTCTGTTTAGGAAGTATTTGGCTTTATCGTAACGTTTTGCAGGAGATTTGACTATGGCTATACCAGACTTTCAAGCCTTTGGCGCTTACCAGTTTTTTTTTTAAATATAAATAGAGTGACAAACGAGCATATAGTCCACCTAATGTTGAGTGGATACTGTAGTCCATAGACATCTACATTTATCCTCAATTAAGAATCAAAATATAGATGTGTTGCTAGCCCCGAGATACTAGGATAGAGAGCCTCGTTTCCAGTAAAAAGGGTCTTCGATTCTCTACACTCACCATACAAAACACAGCAGCATCAAGCTGCTATTTTAGGTTGGTATTCTATGAGGACACCGGTCAAGCAGACCCATTCGTGCTACAACGATGATATAACTGCGTGGCTCTACCACGTAAAAGAAAACATGTTTTAAGCACAAACTTATTGTACTACTGCGTAATAAATGGCTTAAGTCTGAAGTAAACTATATGTCGCCACCACATGACACTTCTTGTATATTTTTACTAATATAATATATTATGTGAATGTGTCTGAAGGTGCTTGAATTTTGTAACATATTATAAAATTGTCTAACAAATCACAAACAGAATATATGATGAATATTCCGCCATCGCAAACACTCTTCTCACACCACCTCCGGATACTGCTGCGTTGATGGAGCTTATTGCATACTGCAAGAAGGTAGAAGACACAGTTCTCGAAGAAATGGAGTACAAGCTACGCAACGTAATGGGATATATCACTTTTCTCGGAGATTATACGACTTTCACTCCGCTAGAGATGAAGGCGAACAATCAAACGTTCCATTGGTGGGTAGTTCTGTTTATTAAAATAATCAATCGAAATGAATTCTTATGTTACACATTATTATAGAAAAGATTGTCGGGTTTGTAATGGTCAGAAAGTTTTTACATTGGTCGATACGATAACCGTATCTACAAGTTCGTTGATCTAGTGGGTGTAAACGCAACAGTTGTTCTTGAGATACTGGGTTCGAATCCCGGGTCGGGTCGAAAAAAAATCAGTTTTTATTTAATAGAAGAGGGGGCAAACGAGCATGCGGCTTACCTGATGTTAAGTGACTACCGCCGCCCATGATCAACCGCAACACCAGGGGAATTGCAGGTGCGTTGCCGGCCCTTTAGAAAGGAGTAAGCTCTTTTCTTGAAGGTCCCTAGGTCGTATCGATCCGGGAAAATCGCCGGTGGTAAAATATTCCACAGAGAGGTCGTACGTGAGTTTTTCTGTCAAAAAATTCACAGTAGCTGCTCGGAGTCAGGAATTTGGCGGTGTCTCATCCCGTGCCTTGGAAAGCACGTAAAGCCGTTGGTCATGCGTTTGACTTCTTCGGTCATGCCGGTTTACCATCCCATCGGACTACGAGAGTGAGGGAATGGAGAGTGCACGTGTGCTTGTGCATAAACTCTGGCATTATAATCCTGTCCTGCGCTGATGGCTAGTCTCCGTTGAGGTTGGCCGCCGTGATCGAAATTCGGTCTGGAAAACATTATTATAATCACAGAAATCGTAATAATAAGACAATTATTATTTCTGTGATTATTACATAAAGGCTCTCAGAGTCATGGTAGCTCAGATGGTTAGCGCTCGCTGTAAATTTCACAGTACCCGAGCAACCTGGGTTTGATTCCCGCCGGCACCTATGAAATTGTTAATTGCATTTTAAGTGTTGATTTACCACGTGCACGGCGATGAAGGAAAACATCGTGAGGAAACCTGCATGTCTGTGAAATAAGAAAAAATATTTCGAAGACATATCAAGTTCACCAACACGCATTGGATAGAGCGGCGGACACGTCCTTGCCCTAAAATCCTCTCATTTATGAGATTTCGTGTGTTCAGATTTATGCTAAGCTGTGGGAGGTATATAGACTGTAACTTTAACAGGCTCTCCGATATCGGGGCACTGAAATATATAGAACGATCAACGGTGCTTCTTCATTGACCGACACGACAACGATATATCTTCACGGGCAGCTTATCTTCCTTTATATAAGTGGTCAAATTCCTTGAGAAATCGATAAATATCTGCGTAGTATAAATAACAGGTCTCTAAGTTTTTTGGCCTCATAATAGCCCTTTACACGACACGGTCGTTTTGTGTGGTTTGTGTTGGAATAATTCTAGCAGTGCAATTGTAGAATTTTGGTGGGAATTATGGTTGACTTCATATTGGCGTTTGCCGTTTGCTTTCGCTGTATTGTGTAAATGTATAAGTATTTATTTAGAGTCATGATGATGCATTGATTCGATGATTCAGTCGATGTTTTATATTAATGTCTTTCATGGGTTACAAAATACTATCATAATGAAAATACATAACGCAGTAAGAAGTGATTGTTCTGGGTCTGATATTTGTCCTTGTGAAATTTATGTTTGTAAACTGCCTCTACGATACAAGAGAAAATCCTAGTGTGGGTCACGAAATCTCATAAATGGGGGTAACGATTTTTAAAAAAGAAAAAAGTTGCGGAGTGATTCCCGTCGACAAACGATTGCTAACAGAGTTTCACAATAGCACTGCAGGCACTAAATCTAGAAAAGAAAATAAAGAATCGTGTGTAGCACTTAAAGCTTATAATATGGCATGGACACGAGATATGCGACTCGGCTAGTATTTAGATATGAGTCATACGGTCTTCACGTGTGCAACATTTTCAATTAGCAGTCGCTGTGATAGATCCAGCAGGAAGGGAATGTAAAATTTTCATTACATTCTTTTAAAATTAAAGTTAACTCATGTAACCTGGCATGCAACAAAACATCGAAAGTGCCCTAAGATTCGTTATCACCTCTGAGAAGCAAAACTGAATTCCTCACAATCTGTAATTATACTAGCTTTCTTACCCTTCAAACCAAAAAAAAAATGTGCACCCTGCAGATTTGCTGCAGAATCCCACCAATTGTGTTTGTCACTGTCCATTGTCTTAAGATTAACTAAACTTATCATTTTGACGAGTATCATAAACTTCTAGGTATGCACGAATGCCTGGCGTTGTAGACGAATGCAAATCAATTTGTGATCAGAAGAAAACTGAATATCAGGAGTTGTTAAAGGTAATTTCTATAAAATCATATTCCACTGTAAAAGAAGCATTTTACCCAGTTGTATATTGCACTTTCATAATGTGCTGTTTTATCTTTTAATTTTGGATTACTTTACTTATGAAATTGCTCTTTTGTTGAACGGGTTTGACTTGGAATTCTTAATATATTCAAATAGTATATTAGTATTCAAATAAATGCTATATTTGAAGCATGTTGTTCATTTTTCGAAATTATTCATTAGGTTGTTTCCTTTAGTTTTGTTTTAAAGCGATATTACATATTAACAAAACACGGGTTGATAATTTCGTTAATTTTCAAAGTCCGAGCTGCATTTTTCAATATTGGTTGTCTAGATCCATCTAGTATTCTTCAAGTTTCTTGCAGCCCAAAGATCCTGATCAATATCAATATTTTTGTCATACTTCTCTATAATAAAATAAATAAAAATAAAAATTGTTTATTTCGGACAACTTTAAATTCATAGGAATTGTTAGTAGAGAAAAACTTACATTTATGTTAGTAATATAATTTCTACATTTTTATTTTTTTATTTTAATATTTAATTATTAAGCAGGACATGGTCCTGGAGATCATTTTTTGATCAGTGGACAGTCCCCACTGTTGGCAATCTCACTCAGTACACTGTGGCCGCTGCCGCGCACTCTGTTTAGCAAAGATGCGGTCTTTTTTCGTATTATTGCATCAACACTATCCACACCCGCCAGTGCAAACATTGCAGACGCGCTACAGTAGCGCGGCAGCCGCAACAGCGCCCTGAATGCCTAGTTGTATTGAGTACGTAGGGTATATAAGTCTTTTTGGTGTAGTTGGTCCATAGACTGCAAGAATAAAATGACGCACAACATGTTTTGAAAAGCGTGATCTTGACAGCGTCAGTGCAGCGACCAAATCTATGCACCAACATATTCGCCCTGACCGACAGTGCCCTACGTTCTCTTTCAATGTCTTCATCGTCTTTAAGGCTGTAAGTCACAATATGTCCAAGATATTTAAAACTATAGACCCTTTCTAAGCGTTCATTATAAAGCTTTATGGGTGGTACCATACTAGGACATTTACTGCCAGCCTTAAATACCATGAAATGCGACTTTTCGGTATTGTATAGTAAACCATGTGAGACAGCGAATTTCACAAACACCGAGTAGAGCTCTCATCGCACTAACTGAGGGTGCCAGCAGAACCATATCGTCCGCGTAGCTGATATTGTTCACACACACCTTGCCGATATGGCAGCCGACACGCATGCTGCTGAGCTCTCGAATCAGTGCGTCCATGTACAGGTTGAAGAGCCTCGGTGATGTCAGCCCCCCTTGCCTAACCCCGCACTCCATCCTGTACGGCTCAGAATACTCATTCGCCCATCTCACATAGTTCACTTGGTTACTATACCAATACTTGAGTAAATTGGTGTAGCCACAAGGTAAACCTACGCCTTCTAACTTACGCCATAAGATGTCGTACGAGACAAGATCGAAAGCTTTACTCAGATCTAGGAAACAGGCATACAGGGGTGCGCCTGTCCGTGTAGTATTTGACAGTATGCTTTAAACTCATTATTGCTGTTTCTGTTGATAGACCACGCGAGAAGCCGTGCTGGCCATCATGTAGCATACAGTGGTTTTCTAGAATAGAGTTAAGCATACTGTCAAATATCTTGGCTATTGTCGTTGCCAAGGACATTGGTCTATAGTTCGATCTCTCTGATACGTCACCAGAACGGTTTTTTACAATGGGGACAACTGCAGTCCTCATTAAGTCAGCAGGCAAGTAGGTATGCGAGACACAAACATTAAATAATAGTGCCAAAACTCTAGGTAAGTGCACACCTGCATATTAAAAGTGCTCAATACTGAGACCATCGTGACCGGGTGACTTACCTGCAACCATAGTTCTAATAACTCGTGCTATCATTTTGTCACTTGCTACCATTTTGAGTTCACGCTTGGTTTCAGCATTGGACACGGGGTGTGACGACGGCCCTAAGGGTGACGTGACCATAAAATGATCCCTGAAGAGATCTGCAATTTGCTTCAAGTCACTAACCCCATTTACTGCTTCAGAAAGACTAGGTCCAACGTTGAGCTTATTCGTGGATTTCCAAAACTTCTTAAAATCCTGTTTTGAATGATAAGTAGCCAATTTATCAATTTTTAGTTGATTTTGGTGGTTTTGGCACCACTTCAATCTACTCTTGAAAACACGGCGGCTGTTAACCATCTCATCATAGACAAACCCCTGCCTCGGTCGACCATACCATACCCACATCATAAATTTGGACCTAGCCTCCCTGTGTGCCTCACCGACATGCTTATTCCACCCTATTAGCATACGTTTTTTCTTTTTACACATATTTCCTTGGTGAGTTTTGATTGCTGCACATGATAAAACAGACACTATGTTTCTATATAAATTGTCTATGAACACTCCTATGACTCATATCGTCACAAAAACCATAGCTACATTTTATAAATTCTGATGGAAAATGTATTGACTTAAGGTTGTTGTTACATAATTCCGTATAATGAGTTATTTGTTCATCATTTCTGCAGCCCCATTTTATTTTATTGCACGCGATTATTTTCGGAACAACTTTAGGTATAACATAGTTCAACCTACATTCAATCAAGAGTTTCTATCACTATTTTGCAACCCACTGCCGGATTTAGCTTTTTAAATAAGTAATGATAATCATTTAAAGAATTGTTACTGCACCTGCAGTTTGTAAAATAATCCCCCTAGCGGTAATTAATCATACGACTAAGGATACAATAAAAGTTTTTTTTTCATAAAAGTAGCATTTTATACGAGCACAGAGTCCACCTGATGGTAAATGGATGCTGTGAACCATAGACATCTACATCACTCCTCGATTAAGAATCAAATTGTAGATGCGTCATTACCCCTGAGGACTGAGATGTAATGCCTCGTTACTGTAAAAAGGGCTTTCGGTTCTCTATACTTACATTACGAAATAAAACTGCATTAAACTGCTATTTTACGGTGTGAGAGTTTGGTACAACCCCGGTCGAACCGACCCATTCGTGATGCAGCTATGTAAAGTTAGCATATTTGCAGCGTGGCTCTAACGTATAAACATCTACATAGAGTTATACAAATAAATTCTTTTACAGGTTCGAATCGCCAAGTTTATTGAAGATCTTGACTTGTACGAGCTACAGTGTAATGAGCTTCAGTATTGGGGCGATATTAACGAGTTGTCCAAATATGTTACACGCGCTCGTAACCTTGACGAAAAGTAAGCAATCTAAATATGATTTTTTTTAAAGAAATTGTTATCAGTTTTGCCTTTACGCATAGAAAGACATGGTGTTATCAAAAAACACTAGTACGTCATTCTGATCCGCGGTTGTCATTAGAAGCGACTGTAGGCAATACCTGAGAGATAGGTTATTTATATGATGCAAGGCAATGTACCCATTTCGTTTACGGCAGATGATAAATGTTCAGTTTGACAACGGTAAGCAGAAAGTTTGACACCTCGAAGCGTGGCCATTACGACAAAATCTTTGATGGGCTTATGAAGCACAGATTTTTCTGCCACTTTTCCGAAGATCAAGTGTATGACATGTCTTGTGTACTGAATAGAATTAGGTAGCGATACTGATTGCTTTGATACCGCTGAAAAGCAAATCTTGCTATCTTAAACTATACCGTGCAAAAAAATATATAAAAAACGATTAAATATCTGGGATAGCGTTTCTTGCTGCTGGCGAGGCTTACGTAGTTATCAATAGCGTTAAGCCACCGAATGGTCTTCAAATAGAACACTTCTCTGGCTGAGTCTTCAAAGCTACCAAGGGAGGATTACGTGTAATGGTGTAGCATTTGATAAAATGGCTACTTTACGCGGACATGCATGACGGAAATAATATGGAGCTAGATTTTTTGTCTACAAATGAAATGTAAAATGATTTTAAAATGTAAATTCCATTTTATTATAGTTATAATTAGGCATAAATATATTTAGCTTACTTTAATGTAAAAAAGAGTGCCGAATTACGAGAGCCCAAGTAACGCTTAAACAACTGTTTTTCCACGTTTTTATTTTTTAATTGTTTGCTTTTTTCCATTATATTAACGAAGATATTATTTAGAAAAGTAAAGTGAAAGCAACACACAGCTTAAATATATAATACATCCCATTGCTCAGGACAGGTTCATTTCTGCGAGGGTTATTGTGTTGATAAATCTCATGTTATGTCCTTTCTCAGTAATACCTCATATTATGTCCTTTCTGAGTAATACCTCATGGTGTTGTCATTCATCGCTGAACAGGTGATAAATCAAAACTTAAAATTGTAATTAATACTTTAAATCAAATTGTAGTCCCTCGCGTATTATAAAATTTACGGCGGGCGCTTAGTTCTAGATCTTCATGGCTCTTCTGTTACTTTTATTTAATCATAAGATATAGGATAATGAATAATATATATTTTATTTAAATTTAGGTTATCTAATGCTTTATTGAAGATAGATCAATTCAATGAGGAAGAAGCTTCTTTCGGGTGGGAGCTTTCGCAATACCCAAAAAGAAAAAAAATTTTCGATCGTCTTGCCCCTTTCAAGAAACTCTACGATGCGGGTTATGATTTCTTGGGAAAACATAATAATTGGATAAAGTCTAAGGTAAGATATGTTAGCATTCGAACTATAAAAATATCACTTTTATTGTTAAAATAGATGATTTTCAAAAGATTTAAGAAATATATTTATGAGCATAATAGATTTGTTTACGGATGTTATCGTTTTATACAGTTCGGGTCGGGTTAGGGACGTTCGATTAGAAAAATTGTTTGCAACGTACCATGTTATAATTTATAACATTCTATGACTTAAAAATTTTTATTAAGAGACTTTTATTTAATTTATATTTTAGTTATATGTTAAGAATTTTTTTCATATTTTTTCCTACAGAAATTGTAATACTCTTTATTGATGCTAAAAATATGTTTAATTAGGTCGGTAGTTTTGATCCTGAGGAAATAGAAGGAGATGTAAGCTACTATTACAAAATTGTATATAAACTAGAAAAGTCATTACAAGACGTTCCTGAAACCCACCAGCTTGCTGTTTCAGTCAGGTAATAATGAATAGCTTCGTAGGAAGGCTGTGTAAGCTTTTATAATCAATAGGAAATATTTATTAAAAATCTTGCTATTACAGGGAGAAAATAGAAGAATTTAAAACGCATCTGCCAATCATTCAAACATTAGGAAATCCGGGCATGAAACCCCGCCATTGGGAGAAAGTTTCTGAAATTGTTGGTTTCCCTATAGTCGTCGACGACGAATTGTCACTTGAAAAAGTGATAGATTTCAATTTGGTCGATTACATCGAGAAGTTCGAGGGTATCTCGGAGGCTGCAACTAAAGAAAATAATCTTGAAAAAGCGTTGGATAAGATGATGAAAGAATGGGCTGATCTTAAATTTGAAATCCTGTTGTACAAGTTAGTAACGCTTATAGCTGTTTTGCATATTTTAATAATCATAAATTTTTAGATTTTTTAAAAAAAAAGTGAAGTGAAAAACAATTGACAGTAAGTGGTTACTGCGGCCCATGGACACCTGAAACCTCAAACAAAGACGGCTACAGATTCTTTGTCACCTCTGAGGACTGAGATGGAATGTTTCACAGCCTCTACATAAATATACTGGTTTTTTATATCCATCATACCGCAACATAGTAGTGCAGGCACTGCGATAGCACCAGATATGTTGGTGAAAATGGGTAACAAGCACCCTCTTACCTGTTTTTGTACAGTTAGGATCATAGAATACTATAATGCATACATAATAGAACAGGGGAGTGGGCGGTGCCCGTGTAGCCACTAAAATGCCACTAAGACGTCAATTCACACGTATAAATGTCAACACGAGATGTGTTTTGCCGTTACAATCGTTTCCGAATTTCACATGCAAATTATTTAGAAAATGCCAAACTGCACGCTATTTACAAATAAATATGTATTAAAATCCGTCTCTCAACATAGCGAATCAGATTTGTAGTAGTGATTAACTGAGATAATACGACGTAATTGCTTGTATGTGTGCTCCCGGCGACGCCTATCCTCGTACAAAATAAGGTTGACAGCCATTCTATTGTGTACTATAGTATTCTATGGTTAAGATTCCAACTGGGTACCCCTTCTTACGAAAAAAACAGTTCCACCACCTCGTATATAAAACTATGGGTATGTTCCAAAATAGAACCCAGTGTACTGTCCAATGCAAATGACGTCATTAATCGATGCCATACTGGTGATTCGTTCCAAAACATAGGACAGTATATGACGTCATACATTTGCACCGTATTGGTAAAGTGTTGGCGATTATTTTTTCATTTTGTGCTCCAAAAAATAAAAATACGATGTAATGTATTTCAATCAATTTGTGAAGAACGGACATACCAGAAATTATACTCAAATTTTTTGTATTCGAATAAAAAAAAATTCTGGCATGCTTCATTTAGCGTACACACAATTAAAAATTGTTTTATATGTTGGGATATCCGCACAATATGGCGTCAATTAATGACATCATTTGTATTCGCTAGTATACTGGAAACATTGTGGACATACCCTATAAATATAAAAGTTACTTACTTCCGCTGTTACTGGCTGATAAAAAAGATAAAAAAATGTTTACCTTTCCTATGATTATAGGGACACTGGAACCTTTATCTTATCTAGCGTGGATGATATACAATTGTTGCTGGACGACCATATAGTTAAAACTCAAACTATGAAGAATTCACCATATATTAAACCATTTGAAGAAGTTATACTGTGAGCTTAGACTATATTTTTTGATTTTAAATAATATCATTTTTAATTTATTTCAAGCATAATAATTTAAAATGTCTTATTTGACTTCGTCTCGTTTTCTGTTATTTCGGTAGCAAAGCTTAATCATGCACAAACTCTCATTTTCTTTATTAACTTTGTAAAATTCAACAGTGACTGGGAGGGCAAACTTATATTGCTACAGGAAATACTTGACGAGTGGCTTAAAGTCCAAGCAACATGGATGTACTTGGAACCCATCTTTTCCTCACCTGATATTCAACAGCAAATACCTGAAGAAGGTCGAAGATTTAGCGCCGTTGATAAGGTAGTTAAATTGACTTGAATTTTTTTATAACATGAAGGTGAAAAATGAGCAAACTGTCCACCTGATGGTAAGTGGACGCTGTGAACCATAAATATCTATCTTTACCCTTGATTAAGACTCAAAATCACATGCGTTGCCACCCCTAAGGACTACGATGGAATGCCTCATTTCCAGTAAAAGGGTCTTCGGTTCTCTACACTCACTTTACGAAACACAACAGCATTTAGCTGCTATTTTACTTTGGAAATTCCTTGAGAGTGTGGTCCTTCCCTGGTCAAGTCGACCCATTCGTGCTAGAACCATAATATAGCTGAATCTTGGTTATATATATATATATTTTTTTTTTTTGGACGTTTAATATTTTCTGCCTTTCTCGAAGTCTCGAATGATGAGCCTCTTTCTATATATCAGTACATGGTTCGAAGCTTAGGCTAAAAGCTTATTTTTATGTATGATGCGATATATTGGATATGGTATCATAATACATATAAAATATGATAATGAGGTGATATATAGAATGATTAAGAACTGAGATAAAAAATATCAGATCAATGGTGAAGAAGATATATATTATATTAAAATATTTTTATTTTAAATTATTGTAAATAATTGCTTGTTGGTCGCTCCTAGGATAGAGTATTTTTTCGGATCAGTGATAAAAGCATAAATGACTTTTAATAAGTATTATTGTAGTCTATATTGAATAAAATTGTTCTATTCTATTAATTGTTCTATTCATATTTTATGCATAGAAAACTTATACAAGTTATTTGATAGATGTGGCGGGAAATAATGAAAGTCGCATACGCTGAGCCCCGAGTGCTTGATGTGATCACAATTGAAAAGATGTTAGATAGACTGCGTAAATCGAACAATTTACTAGAACTGGTGCAGAGGGGCTTGAATGCTTACCTCGAGAAAAAACGTCTTTTCTTTCCCCGATTTTTCTTTTTATCCAATGACGAGCTATTGGAAATTCTATCTGAAACAAAAGATCCTTTACGGTGAGTATGCTTAATGTAACAAAAATAAACTTAAATTATTTAAAGTGCTTTAATATTAAGTTGAAATGATAGAAAGATAAATATGTATTTTATCAAGTGTAAATTTTTTTGAAGTTTTAGTTATTATTTAGTTATTAAAAAGAGATAAATGTATCACTTTCTTATTATCACTTATTACTAATACTAATTTAGGGGTTAGTGTTCTTCCCTCGTCGTTTTATGTTGTAATTTTTAAGTAGATGTGTTGTTTGGTTTATCATATATTTTATGTCTGTTTCTTAACGCCAACCCAGTCGTTTTATTTTTATTCCCTCTGTTGCGTAATGTGCATTCTGATCGTAAGCGACACAACCTCCCCCTTCAAAGGCCGGAGCGAAACTGACCGGGCGGCAGGAATCAAGTTTCATTACGCCGATAGTTTAGGTAATTTCTTTTTACAGTGAAAATAATGGTGTTAAAAAAGTAAATAACATAAGCACTGCTTTATAGTTAGTTCAGTTATTATGCAAAGTTTCATTATCTTCTTTAAAATATTTTACGAATAACAGCGGTTTATTGTTTATTTTGGAAACTTTGTTTTTTTCTATCGAGAAAATTTTACGGAATCGTGTTTTTGTCTAACATAGTCCTTTAACATTAATCTTCAACTTTACCATATATTTATTTCAAAATTAATGCTGCAATATTTTCGCCCTAACGCAGGATCTTGCTAAGCCACTTGAGGTTATATTTCCCCTAAACGGATTTAGTCGCGCTTAATTTTAACTTATTTTTAATTACCAATGTTTCTAGTATTACATACTATTCCATATCATACCGAGGTTGTAAAAGGCAACAGAAGACGGCTGCAGCGTTTTCCATATAAAATCTAAAAATAATAGACTTCTATTTTCCAACCTGTCTATGAAGCGTGGCCGCTATGAAAAATATAGATATATAAATGGACCCCTTGAGGGAATCTATGGGGGACGCCTTTGTTCAGCTTTGGGCTTTAGGCTGTAATGATAACGAAATGCATTTCGTTAGGGAGTGAGCAAGTGGTTTTGAAAATAATTTTTTTTCATGTGTATTAAGTATTAGCGTAAATAAAAATCAAAATCGATAATCATTTTGATTCAGCGTACAGCCGCATCTAAAGAAGTGTTTCGAGGGCATTGCAAAGCTGACGTTTACAGAGGATTTGGTAGTAACGCACATGAAGTCTTCGGAGGGCGAGATCGTTTCGCTGACAACGACCATAAACACAGCAGCCGCTAGGGGTCAAGTACGTATAAAAATTTTAAATACGCGGATGCACACTAAAGAGTTATCTCCGTGATTTTCTAGTACTATATTCTATTTTTAATGACCTCATTTCTCCTTCATATCTCAAGGATAACTTTTAGTATCTTTAGTCTAGTCATGATCGAGTTTCTCGTTCCAAAAATAGTCTTATCATTTTGTTATAAGAAAACTAGTAAGAACAATTGTTTTGAGGGACTAGTTTGAGAATTTTCGAAAATAAGAATTATTTCTCTTGATTTATTTGAATTTATCCGACTTTGTTCTCTATTTTTCACTTTATAAATGTTTTTTTAATTCTTGAGTAATATACTTGAGGATTAAAAAATGTATCCATTGATATTTTATTTTTCAGTGTTTTGTTCTTTTGAAAAATTTTGTATATAAGTGTCCGTTTACATATTTATTATTTATACTTTATCATTAAGGTAAATTTTAATTAATCTACATTTTATTGTATTTTAATGTTTGCATCTGCTCAGCTACAACTTTCCAAATCATCCATGGATTACTGTTACTGCTATAAGGCATAAGGCATTAAGTCCGCCTTTTACAGGGTTATTTTGCAATAACGAGCCAAATTTGCAGAGAAGTTAAGGGTCGTAATAAGTAATATAGGCAAATGGTGAAGGAAATTAATTAAATAAATCTCAAATATTCTGTCCTTTTTATCTTTTGAATTCAAAATTCGTAGTAATGCATTTACTTTAAGTGATTTTACTGCGCACGCACACATTCGTAAGGTTCGATCGGTAGACAAAACGTTGTTGCTCCTAAATCTTAGTTATTTTTACTCGTATTATCAAAAACTACAGTAACGGTATATCGTTATTTATTATATATTTGAACTTAAGTTTAAAATTTGGCTACTCTTTGAAAAATAAGCCTTAAGATATACAATAAAAATTGAATAAATAAACAATTCAATAATTTTATTTTTGTTCTATTTATAGGTAGAAAAATGGCTTGTGGAGCTGGAGAAATCAATGAAAGATTCGGTACATCACGTTGTGCATCTATCGTACGATGATTACATACAGCGGCCAAGGGAGACGTGGGTACTCGTTTGGCCCGGACAGGTGGTCAGTATTATTATAAGTTTGATCTTATAGTAATTTATCAGTGTATACTGTAGAAAGTTATACACCTGGAACATATTACTGATGCTAAACTAAGTATTCATGTCAGATGAGATGTCACTCTGCTCTCAATACTCGTACTGACTACTAAGTAACTTAACCGTCTTCTTCTTCTTCATCAGTCTTCAAGTCCACTCCTGGGCACGAGCCTCTTTCCTGTTGAAGGGTGGATTTGCTTTAATTACTCAGTTTGTCATTCCGATCGACAATCGCACTATTAGTCATCTCGTACTCTCGGTAAAGCTTCCCGCCACCGTTCTGGGTATTTCACGCATGGCGTTCGGAGATGCTTATACAGCCATCAATCGTAAGTCCTAAGATCTTTCAAATATTTATGCTCTAAATGGGTTAATGGGATTTCTTACACCGTCACCATACGGTAGGACTAAACCATAGAAATAAATAGACAATTTTTTAAGAGTCTCTGGTGATATAGGTTTTCAGGTCTGACGCCGTAAATTGTTTTGTTAACTAAAAAGTATAACTAATATAGGACAATCGGAACTACCTTTTAATGTTATTTTTGTTTATTTTAATATCTTTCCTTTTCACTGAAGGTGCAATGTATAGCAATGACTTATTGGACGTCAGAAGTAACAGAGTCTATTCATATCAGCGTTCCTGCAATGAGGGCTTATTGGGAAAAGTGTAACTATCAGATATCCAAAATTGTGGATTTGGTTCGAGGAGAACTTAGTGTACAAAATCGCATTACATTAGGTAAATAAATAACAATAGTTACTACAAAACGATTCATAAAAATTATTATTGTATATTAATTAAAAATAGTATAACACATACAGTACGTAAAAAAAAGTATTGTGTTTATGTTTTGTTATAATCTATACATCTTACATACATATTAATAACATTGAAGGGTCTGTATGTAATATCAAATTAACTGCCTTTTGTTGAGCATTTACTTGCACGTCAATAAAATATAACTATTTTTTAAAAAAGTTGTTTGTCTGTCTGTCTATTTATCTATCCAGGTTAATAATCTTTGAGATACCTGAACCGCTTGTACAGAAACTTGACAAACAGATAGAGAACAATGCCAGGACTGATCGAGATCATATTTTAGCCGAAAAACTTGTTTTTTGTTGTTGTTGATAAATCCTAATCCAAAAAAATGATAAAACAAATGGTATATGATGATTATTATCAATCTAAATAACGCCACATTGTTTTATACGTGGTAAAATCATGCTGCAGCTATTAAGTAGTGTAGTTGTAGCACCAATGGGTTGGCTTGACCAGGGAATGGCCACGCTCTCACAGAATACCAGCGTAATAAATTAGCTTAACGCTACTGTGTTTCGTATGGTGAGTGTAGAGAAACGGAGGCCATTTTTGAAAATTCCATCTTTGTCCTCACGGTTGATAACGCATCTGCATTTTGATTTGTATTTGAGGATAGATGTAGTATCCATGGGCCACAGCAACCTTACTATCAGGTGAACTGTGTGCTCGTTTGTATCGTATCGTGTTCGTATTCTATAAAAAAAAAGATCATACCCAGGCGAAGCGGCAAGGCTGGTCACTAGTGCAAAATATTTATGTAATGGCACAATCTTACTTAAGTAGGTTTATTTTGAAACTTTCAGGGTTAACGGTATTTCAGTGATATGACGGCAAATTTTTCTCGTTAGATCGATGTTTCGTCCCTCCGCTCCAAATTGCTCTCATCATTTATTAAAACTAGTATATTACTCCAATTAATATATTTTTGCCTCTTAACGTGTGATTGAATTGTCTTTGATCATACTACTTTGAATTTGTAGTTTATGTATTTTTTACAAATGTCGACATAAGATTAGTACATAATTTAATTTGTCTTTTATAAATATAAACTTTATCTTCTGATGAAAATTCGAATAATATTCGATTAATAATAATCGTAAACTGTCCACTGCTGAAAATAAGTTTCCTTTTCAATTGAGTCTGTAGGTGGTTTTTTTCGTTTCGTTTCGTTGCTTCGTTGTTGCTTCCCGTTAGAAACTTGATCTAGAGTGTTTTTGTCGAAAGACTATTCGATGCCGTGATCGGTCACGTCAGCGACTAATTTTATCGTTTGTCTAAAAAGGCAATATGTATACGGGGCAAGAAGAGATAATAGAATCACTTCACATAGCACTTCTAATAATATATTGTTTTTTATTTAAATACACTTTGATTTTAGGTGCTTTGGTTGTACTGGATGTTCACGCTAGAGACGTTCTTATGTTGCTCATTGACTTAGAAGTGGAGCAGGACAACGACTTTAATTGGCTGTCGCAGATACGGTATTATTGGGAGGTATACTTTAGCTGCGTATTATGATGCAATTACTACTCGAACAATTATCTTTTTTAAATAATGTGAAAAGCACAATGTCATAAGATAAAATCTAAATGTCTGAATCTACGTGGCAGAGCTTACGTTAGCGTATTGACACTTAAATCTATTGTAGTGTAGAGTTCAGGGCCGCTAATACAATATCTTAATGTCTTCATAGAAGTATGATGTCAATGTCTCTCATCTTAGTCTATGATACTGTACTGTACGTAATATTCCATTGTATGGTCACAGAATATACATATTCACTCAAGATTTACGACGATATTGTTATTTATATAGCCGCTTTACCCATTCGGCTTTAACTGGTTTTAATTAATTTTGATCATTTATCCCATCGTAACCATTATGCTTTAGTAAAAAGGGAAATAAAATTGCTCATAAACGTGATAAATGAAAAGGATGTATTTGGGTCCGTCTTTTGGTAGGCCGGGCGGCGCTCAGAAAATATGATTCACAATACACACTTTACACGAAGAATTGAGATTAAAAGATTAAATTTATAATAAAACGTATCTGCGAATAGATAAGGACGTATTCGATTATGTTTTAACAAAATTAAATCTATATATTTCAAAGCATAGAGGTAAATCAACTATTTTGTCACTACAATATTTCACTAAAACGAATTGCATTTGTACACCATTTTTCTGTCCGCATTTTGTGGTTTATATGTGGTAATTTTCGTCAGCATGTTGTGAAATAGAATCATACACATATTATCATTATATCCGTAAAATTTACGAACTAAAGTGTCATAGCTTTCTCATGTTTATTTGAATTGCATATCTATGGTCATTAAGAATAAATAAAAGGAAACGAATATGGTGGAAGACAATAACCAAAGCTCAAATCACTCTAAGCAATTAGGACCTCTATCTTAGATTACCACAAGTTTAACAAGCACCTATTCTTCATCGAGAATAAATTATGGAGTTTATATATAAATTGCAGTATTTTTTCTGTAAGAAACAATTAAAATTATGTAAAATTAATTTCAATTTCTAGATATATTATAAATTGGCTACATCTCAAGTTGTTTTATAGATTAAAGGTGACAATGAAACACACTGTTCACCAGATGGTAAGTGGATGTTGTGGTCCTTATACACCTAAATCTATCCTCGATCAAGAATCATAATGTAAATATTGTCACCGGGGACAATTTACTCGTAGAATTCTTCGTCACCTGTAAAAAGAATCCCCGGTTCTTTACACTCACTATATGAAACACAGTAGAATTACGCTGCTGTTTTGCGATGTTATTCTATGAGAGCGTAGACCTTCCTCGTCCAAGCCGACCCATTCGTGCTCAAAACCATAACATAATGCAGCGATATAATGGTTGTGGTGTGGCACTACCACGAAGAGTAAAGAATGATATTGAAAATAAATGTTAGCAAAAATACGGGAATAAACTACAGTTTTTTTTTAAATTAAAGGAACAAGAGGAGATAGGAATGCAGATCGTAACGCGTATGATCAACTCTCAGCTGAGGTACGGCTACGAGTACCTCGGCAACACTGGACGCTTGGTCGTTACGCCGCTGACAGATCGTTGCTTTAGGACGTTGTTCGGAGCCCTGCATTTGAACTTAGGTAAGTTAATCCAAGATGTGGTCTTCTTCTCTTGAGAGTGCTTTCTACGACAAGGTAGATAGTAAGTGACAAACACGGGGTTAATCTATTGTGTGTCCGTCCATATTTCACTGAATTGACTGAAGAGAAGGGGTTTATTAAATATTTAGACGTGTTTCTGTTCAAAAACCCATCTGTTTATAAAATTCTGTTTGGCATCTCTAGCTATGAATATCAGAGATAGGGAAGAAAACAGTAGCATTTCCTTCTACCATCCCTTCACCATTGTGGTACCTATAGTGCATAATATACGCATCTCATAGAGTGGAACCTGGTAATAGACGTAAACAGAATCGTAAGTGTATTTTACTGCTGTAACATTGCATAATAAATAAGTCATTCAAGAAATATATTGATTATTGCTACAGGAGGCGCACCTGAAGGCCCCGCAGGTACCGGAAAGACAGAAACAACTAAAGATTTGGCCAAAGCAGTAGCAAAACAATGCGTAGTGTTTAATTGTTCAGATGGTCTTGATTATATTGCGCTGGGGAAATTCTTTAAGGTAATACTACAACCTTTTTTAATAAGTATTCATGACATGACACTTTTTTAATATGTAACTTTCAAAACATATTTAACAAAAAGATTATTAGGCAATGAGTAATACATTATATCTTCTAGTATAATCTATTAAATAAAACTAAATTTACTGATTCTATCGCGTTTAATTAATTACTTTTACTTATTTTTAATTCCCGACGTTTCGGGTGCTTTAAAAAAATTTGGTCCATTTTTGCGTAAATCGGACCAAAAATTAATATTCAAAAACTGAAGGTAGCCGGGCTAACATTGACATTTGGACGTCAAACATCTCAGTCTCCCCGTGACCATGGGTGCTGTAATGCACCCAAAATGTCGGGAATTAAAAATATGTAAAAGTAATTAATTAAACGCGATAGAATCCGCAAAATTTAGTTTTATCCAATGTGTAGTGTTCGCGTAAATTTAAGAAATCATTATGACAAAACATGAGCTTCTCTGTTCAAAACTGGTCGCAGGTGTCGTATGATTTATACTACATACTTGGCATCAGGTTCCTAAAGCAATTTCTGGCGATAATATGGTGGATGACCGTTAAATTATTGAATTTCATTTTCTAGGGTCTAGCTTCTTGCGGTGCGTGGTCGTGTTTCGACGAGTTTAACAGAATTGATCTAGAAGTGCTTTCAGTAGTAGCGCAGCAAATTCTCTCTATTCAGCGCGGCATAAACTCCGGAGCTACTGAGCTATTGTTTGAAGGCACGCTGTTGCAACTCGATAAGACTTGTGCCGTTTTCATTACTATGAATCCGGGTTATGCCGGAAGGTCGGAACTACCTGATAACTTAAAGGTTAGTTGTTGACTTGTCACGTTATTTCTAATTACAGAAGTTATGTTTTTCTCTTGATTTTCAGCCTTTTGTATTGTGTATAAACGTGCCAGGTTAAGAGTATATAGTGTTATTCAACATTATAACTGCGAACCTTAATTGCTGCTTTCCGTTACTTGTTTGAATATTTGAGTAAACTAGTAATTTTGAGATGGTTGTGTTCCCCTTTTTCGGTTATCAGAAGATTTCGTAATCTTCAGCTGATGTATATACCATCTGCAAAAAGAAATAAGGAAATTTTCACTCTGACGTTGCAAATACATGGGCGTGACTTAATCTATGACGTACTCTACCAATCGCGATTTGTCTGGAACGAATTGTATAGATGTGGGTTGTGATAAACCTGGTTATTAAATTATTAACACTTTGTTTTATTCGTTTCAAATTGAAAGACAATGCCAAGGGTAGCAGTAAGCTTTTTATATCTGCAGAGTTCCAAACATCTCTTTCTTCTAAATTTGAAAGCCTTTAAATTCAATATTTCTGTAATTTAAAAACGTTTGATTTTAAAACGTTATCACATCATCATCATCATCATCATCATCAAAGCGCGTTTGTTTATTTGAATAAAACCAATTTTACGAAACCTCTTTCCGTAACTATGTTTGATGTAAATTAAGAAGTAATAATTTTAAACACGATAAAACCCGTAAGATTAGTATGGGTCTGTGTAAGATTACTAATATCGTAAATACTAAAAAATCGTAAAGCATTTCTTATATCTTTTATGCCAAAGTAGTTAGTTAACACACTATAATATAATTCGCAGTTACAACGTCTGGATGTAGGCAAAGATTAACTTGTATATTATATTGATAGACTTGATAATATTGATAGACTAAATTTTTGATTTGACTACAATGAAGATGTATATTCCGTAGGCGCTGTTTCGCTCAGTGGCTATGATGGTACCGGACTACGTGTTGATCTCCGAAATAGAACTTTACGCTTTTGGATATTTGAATGCTAAGCCTTTGGCCGTGAAGATAGTTGCCACATATAAATTGTGCTCGGAACAGTTGTCGTCTCAAAGTCACTATGACTATGGTATATTTTTCTATAATATACTAATGATTAACATAACACCATCCACCAGTGACGCAGAAATACTGATCGCACACTTTTGTTATGTTGCATGTTGTTAGTAGCAAATGATTTTGGAGGTATATGTCCTCAGAATAAGGTATGCATTTTTTTGCCATAACTTTATCTAATCTGTGGTTTCGCCTTGGTTCCGGCGTCACTTGAAATATACGTAAGTACATGTGAGTATCTATCTCATTCTTTCGTAAACATCCGAGTAACCTCACTTTGAAACGGCAGTAACTGAAAATGACGTTTGATAAACGAAAAGTTATTTTTTGTTGGCGCACTAAAAAGATACTAAGGTACATGAGGGTTATATGGTCACTTTGAACAACTTTGTCGCCCAATATAATTAAAACTAGAAGGAGGACAGAAACAAAAACACAAAGTCGTATACTATAACTTATATAATAAGAAAAATCGACTTAAAAAAAAACTAACTACACTACACAATACTAAAATCTACTAAAATATTTACAATAATGACAACTGTCAAAATTGTGTCGATTAAACAGCACCCTTTTTGAGACTTTATTATTTGATTAACTGATGAAGAGCTATCGTATCACAGAACAATCTATGCAAACAAGGCTGTAGTTTGTGAGTTATAAGAAAGTGACCATATTAACTGGATAACCATATTACCCTCACGAACTATACAAATATTCCGTACTAGAGAAGCTATTCCAAACAGAGAATGTGTCCTACTCTGTATCAGCGTATGCGCGGGAAACAGTAGAGTTTTGGCGGGAACTTCGCTGTCGACGGACTGTCGCTCCTGTTTTGTCGCTTGAATGAAGGTTTGAAGTGGATTTTAATTCGTAAAAGTGATGTGATTTTGCGAATTAAGTGTCTGCGCGTATGAACTGTTATACAAGTAGAAAACGACTGAACAAGTGCTTTGATGTTGATATAAACCTCAAGTTATTTTGATCTCTTGGGCACCTTATAAACTTGAGTGGTTGTCATCAACATTCCGCTGAGTTGAGCTGTCGCCAAAATCTCCCAAAAACTTTGCAATGTGACGCATCAGCATATTGTGAAGAAAAAATATATAAAATGAAGATTCTGAAAGAAATGATAGGCTCAGAAGGACTAGAACCCAGAGCCGTAAATCCAGTTAAATAAAAAAATAAAAAGGGAAACAGTAGAGTCGCGCATGCGCAGTTGATATAAACGCGCGAAAATTGTTATAATAAAGACAATTTTCGCGCGTTTATAATTTTTTATTAATTGTTTATTTAAATGGTATTGTTAATCGAGTACATTTTTTAAAATTTTCGGCTATTTTGCATATGTGCTAATTTAATATAGAATTATTATTAGCGCCGCTCCGCACTGCATGAATATCGAAGCCACAAAAACAGGTGTACGGATTGCGGTACAGTTCAGTTGAACACAGTGAGTGTTCGGAATGCAATACGTAGTACATATATATATATATATATATATATATATATATCGATGTTTACTGTACTCTTGATACAACTTTTAAGAATATAACAGTAGAGAAAACGTAACAATCTACGTCATGTTAAAAGGCTACGCTGCTTAAAGAGACCTATAACTAACTTCTAATAAAGTGTATTACCTTCCTTAAGGCCTAAGATGAAATGCCTCAACGTAATATACTAGCTTTCTTACTCTTTAAATTGATAAGAGGGTTGTCTCAGATGAACTTTTAGAGAAACACAGAGTCCTACTATATTATACCTTAACTGGTTGCAATTTTGGCGATTTTGATACGAATAATGAGTTAATATTATAGAACGAAGATTTTATAATTTCACTGCATAAAAAACAAATACATTTTTCATTATAAGGTATGCGCGCAGTAAAATCTGTGCTCCGAGCCGCTGGTGCACTAAAACTGCGGTATCCAGACGAAGATGAGGACATCATATTGTTGCGTTCCATCAAGGATGTTAATCTTCCCAAGTTTCTTGAACACGATGTGCCACTATTTATGGTATACAATATTTATTATCAATTCATATTAGTCATCAACGTATTTTTATCGTGCAGTCGTAACTACCTTTTCTTCTGTGATGTTTTAATTTTATAGATTTGTAGGATTATCAGTTACTCTGTTGTTCTTTATTAGATTTTAATTATGGAGAGTACATCAGTTGCAAAAACTATATTTCTTAATTGAATCAATTTTTTTATCTAATTTTAAACTATTTACTTATTTTAGTCAAAGTGCGGAGTTGTAAAGTATGATGATCACATAGTTGTTTGTGCTATGTTTATAACTGGTATACATAATTATATGCCTCTCTCGTTGGTCTAGTGCTTGTAGTAATGCGACTGCTGATCATCAGGTCCTGGGTTTGAATCCCGGGTTGGGCAAAAAAAAATAAAAATCTATTATTGAGTATTTCCGTCAAGAAATTCTCAATAGCTGCCCGGAGTCAGGAAGTTGGCGGTGTCTCACCTCTGGTGTCTCGGAAAGCACGTAAAGCCGTTGGTCCGGCACCTGATTCTTCTGCGGTTGTGTTGGTTTACCGTCTCATTGGACTATGAGAGTGAGGGAATAGAGAGTGCACCTGTGCTTGCGCATACACTTGGTCACTATAATCCTGTCCTGCGCCGATGGCTAGCCTCCGTTGAAGCTGGCCGCCGTGGCCGAAATTCGGTCTGAAGGACATTATTGTTATTATTACATAATTAAATGGTGTTACAACTGTAGTCTCTGATGTGGTAGGCAGAATTCAAAGGAGCGTGCTACTCCGATCAAATTTAGCCAAAAATTTTTGGGTTTTAATGAAAAAAAAATTGTGAAAGAAATCATACGTGGCTAACCGATCAACTACACAATCTTAAACCCAATATCACTTTTTAAGACATACTAGACACATAAAAATGGAAATTGTAAGTCCCAGAACAACTTGGGTCATTGATCAAAAAGTTAATTGATGTATTATACAATGTTATCACATGAATGACCATATCATATTTTAGTTTGGTTCAAGTTGAAAGACATAAATTAAGTGATTAAAAGTATGATATATTATAGGGTATAATTGGTGATCTATTCCCCGGTCTGCCACTACCTGAAGCCGGTCTACCGCACTTAGTAGCTTGTATAAAAGAAGCGTGCGTAAAGCTTAATTTACAGGCCAATGATTTCTTTATAGAAAAGGTAAGAAAAAGCACTTTTTTCTGTTTCTTTAAACTTATTATTTTATTTAATATAAAACGAGGAAATAGGTTTCGTATACGCAATGAATTGTTTTTCTAAAGAATATTTTGGTTAAAGATTAAGTGCCAAAATATAAATTACTTTATGTAACTCTTTTTAGGTTCTTCAGCTGTATGAAATGATTCTCGTTCGACATGGCCTTATGTTGGTTGGATTGCCGTTTTCGGGTAAAACTAAATGCTATCACGCTTTAGCACACGCGTTGGCATTAGTTTCGGAAAAGGTAAATAAATATTAATAACATACCTACCTACGTTGCGCTCGCATCATAGAAAGTCTTTGTAAATATCTCATACAAACTTCACTCGTCGTTTAAGGGTCTTATGGATGAACACGCTGTGGAATGGACTGTGATCAATCCTAAGGCAATAACAATGGGCCAATTGTATGGTCAGTTCGATCCGGTCTCACACGAGTGGTCTGATGGTATTTTAGCTGTCAGTTACAGAGCTTTCGCCGTATCAACTAATGATAACAGGTTAGAATTATATATTTTTTTCTTAAATGTTTACACTCTTGCACATGTAATTAATCGTTCAAAAATAAAATTCAACAAAATTAGCGAAATTCTGCTTTTTGTAATTGCAGGAAGTGGTTGGTTTTTGACGGTCCAGTGGATGCAATCTGGATAGAGAACCTCAACACTGTTCTGGACGATAACAAGAAATTGTGTTTAATGAGTGGTGAGATAATTCAGCTCGCACCGACTACCAATCTCATATTCGAGCCTATGGACCTTGAAGCAGCGTCACCAGCCACGGTAAATTTAATGGTGTTAAATAGTGATCAATTTACTAGATTAAAGTCGTTAACAACAGAAATATATGTGAAGAATTTACTGTATTATGTCATGTTAAACGAAAATAAAAGAAAGCAACATATCGCCGTGAGCATGTTGTAATTTGTAAACCAAGGGTTGTAATAAGCAGCTATCACACTATCCGCCGTGTGGTGGCGGTGAAAGAGAATCCATCTCGCATCGCGTTCAGTAATGTCTTATGGTTTCCGATGGAGTACGGTACAATGGGTGCGTTTGGCAGAAAAAAGCGCTAGCAAGCGCTTGTAAGCAAAATGGCGATAGTAAGCGGTAAACGCTGTCAAATCGTAAGTAGCTATATTCCTCCAGGACACGATGTTAGATTGAACCGGGGAACCTAACCTAATTTAAATATATGTTTGTAAAGTATTCATATTAAAAACTTACCAATCATGAATTTTTAATAACATGTATATGTTTATTCATGTCATTATATTACTTAAAACTAATATTGCACAAAACAACTTATAAACTCTACTTCAAAACAAACAAAATAAATAAGCAAAATGGCGGATTGTGTCAGCGCTACTGAAGTAGCAATCGTGTCCTGGCCGAAAACTATTTCAGCGCTTGTAAGCGCTTGCTAGCGCTTTTTTCTGCCAAACGCACCCATTCTCTTCGTAGTTCAACTATATGCCAGTTGCAAAATATTCAAACCAGGAGTGTTAAGGATAAAAAATATCTGGTACTATGACCGCAATGATGTATACAATTAATATACGTGGTAGAGCCCCGCTGCAGCTATATTATGGTTGTAGCAGGAATGGGTCGGCTCGACCGGGGAAGGACCACGCTCTCACAGAATACCAGCGTAAAATAGCAGCTTAATACTGCTGTATTTCGTATGGTGAGTGTAGAGAACCGGAGATTCTTTTTACTGGAATCGAGGCATTCCATCTTAGTTCTCATGAGTGACAACGCATCTGCATTTTGATTCTTAATCGAGGTTAAATGAGGATGTCTATGGGCCACATCATCCACTTAGCATCAGGTGAACTGCTGGTGGTGTGCTCGTTTGTCTCCTTTATTCTAAAAAAAATATTGTATGACATGTGGAGTGATCACATGTTTTTGGCTTGACTTAATATAAACAGTGATAGCTCAGTGGTTAAGCGCTTGCTGTAAATTTTACAGTACCAGAGCATCCTGGGTTCAAACCCCGGCGGCGACAATGAAATCGTTAATTGCAATTTTAAATGCTGATTTACCACTAGCTCAGACGTGAAAAATACATTGTAATAAAACCTGCATGTCCAAGAACGTTAAAAAATGAAGACATGCTAATTCCACTAAGAAGTATTAAGGCACCGCGATGGGCACTTCCTTGCCTAAATCTCACAGAAATGATATGAAGTCTGTATCTAGGAGTGCGACCTCTGTACTTTAACTTCACTTTTACTTTTACAACTTAGGTATCTCGTTGCGGTATGATATACTTGGAGCCAAAGGGCTTAGGTTGGAAATGCATTCTGGAGTCCTGGATGAATACCCTTCCACCGGCCCTTCATAAAGCCAACCGTAATCTCATCCGCAGTCTTTTTAACCGATTCATGTCTCCGTTATTGTGGCTGGTCGAATATTCTGGTCTCGTTAAGGTAAATTTTGAAAAAAAAAACTTAGATAAATTAAAATCGAAGTTAAAATATTGCTGGAAAATTTAAATCTATTGTAATTTTATAGCAAATGTACATTACTTCACGAACTAACCTAGTCAAGAGTTGCATGAACCTGTTTGACACATTTATGGATGATTTCTATGATGAAAAATTTGTAGAACAGATATCGGACCTCGATGTAAGAGCTCAACTAGAGGTATGTGCGTGTCGATTTGTAGAGTTATTTAAATCGCAATGAACGTCTTTGCAATAAAAAATTTAAAATTTTTTTTTGTTAGGGTGCTTTCTTTTTTTCTTGTATTTGGTCTATTGGAGCGACATTGGACGGTGATAGTAGACCAAAGTTTGATATGTTATTCCGTGGTCTACTGGAGAAAGAGTTTCCCGATAAGGTTTGTTTAATAAGTTTTTGGTGATATCAACCATACCTATAGTGGTAGAAGACTTAAGATTAACGATATTTAATTTACAGGTTATAAAAGACCTCGGTTATCCACGGGAAATAGCTAAGCCCGATAAGCAGTATATATTTACTATTCCAAAAGGTAGACTCGTATACGACTATAGATTTATTAAAGAGGTGACCCGTGTAATACAGTTTGAGTTATTATATTCGCATAATTAAATATTGAGACCTAATGGAAGGAAATAATTTATACAGGGAAAAGGAAAATGGAAACCATTTCAAGATGATGTCGTAACAGCGCCTCCAATCAGTCGCGATACGCCACCCAACCAGATTTTGGTTACCACCCTCGATAGCGTTCGCTATTTGGCACTGTTTAACCTCTTTGTCACACATCAAAAGCCGGTCATGATGGTTGGACCTACTGGAACTGGAAAGTCTTCATATATTATAGTATGTTTATGTTTTGTATTTTAAAGGCTTATCAAACAATTACCGTGTGGTGACAATAAGGGCTAATAATCTTACGCTCACCAGATGCCGCTGGTGGGACTTAGGTCATTTTATTTATGCAGATGGTAACACAGTTTATACGTGGTAGAGCCACTCTGCAGCTATATTATGGTTGTAGCACGAATGGGTCGGCTCGACCGGGACAGGACCACGCTCTAATAGAATACCAGCGTAAAATAGTAGCTTAATACTGCTGTATTTCGTATGGTGAGTGTAGAGATCCGGAGATCCTTTTTTACTGGAAATGAGGCATTCCATCTTAGTCCTCAGGGGTAACAACGCATCTGCGTTTTGATTCTTAATCAAGGATAAATTAATGTAGATAGATGTCTATGGGCCACAACATCTACTTACCATCAGGCTACTCATTCAGGACTGGAATAGTGCCCAAATCTTGGAAGCTGGCCAATGTGCAGCCTGTGCCAATTATTGGCCAATTTTAATCACCTCCATACTCTGCAAGATTATGGAGCGTATATATTGAAGGCCCGTTTATTGGCATACCTAGAACATAGTGACCGGCAATACGGTTTTCGTCAAAATCGGTCAGCTGGGGACCTTCTAGCGTATGCCACACACGTATGGGGCGAGTCACTCGAGAACAGTGGGGAAGCACTTGCTGTTTATGATGTCTTGAAGGATTTGGACAGAATTTGGCACGCTAGCCTTTAGGGTAAGCTTCCAGCGTACGGCTTATTCTCTGGTCTAATTGAATGGGTAAAAGACTTTCTGAGTGAACGGTCTCTTCGGGTCGTCGTCGATGGCTGTTCATCCAATCCTATGGCAACTGACGCCGGTGTTCCTCAAGGGTCCGTTCTTTCCGCAACTCTCTTCCTGCTGCATATTAATGATCTGCTTATACCCGGTATCTATGGGTATGCAGACGATAGTATAGTTGTGGAGAAATACCAACCAAGTGCTCGGGCCAGTCGGGATCATATCCAATCCTTCAAAATGCCACCTGGCTACGTTGAACTTAGTGCAGAGATGTGCTAAGAGGCTCATTGGTGACCTTGAATGGTTGAAACCAACCTTGTAAGCCTTGAGAACAGGCGCAGAGTAACCAGCCTCTCGGTATTCTATAGGATGCATTTCGGAGAGTGTGCGCAGGAATTGCATGCTTTAATTCTTCCTCTCCATTCCACCATCGGACGACCAGGCGGTCGAAGGGTCTTCATCCCTTTGTTGTCGATATTCCACGCATTAGAACCAAACGTTCTTTATGTATGAAGAAGTTAGACTTGGAGAATGTATGGCAAAATGTAAAGAAAGGTTTAGTGGATGCAGCTACCGAAGTATGTGGTGTTAGTAAGAGAAAGAATGAAAGGAAAAATAATACGTTATGGTGGGATGATGAGATACGTATGGAAGTTGAAGCAAAGAAGAGAGCATGGCTAGATTTACTAGCAACAAAGGCTGGTAATTCTAGCGGTACGAATGAAGTATTGAAAGAAAAAAGGCAGTCTTTAGACATCAAAATAAGAGAGTAAAATAAGTAGTTGAAAGGAAAAAGCAAAAAAGAACGATAAGAATGATAGAAGAATATCGGATAACTTCCAGGAAAATATTAAAATATTCTGGAAACTTGTAAGAACTGCCAGGGGACATTCAAAACAGCCTATAATGAATGCTATAAGAGACGAGAGTGGCTATATTATGAATGATGAAGTTTTGAGTTTAAAGAGATGGAAGAAATATTTTGGAAGCGTGTTTATGAGTGAGGAGACAACGTGTGTACTAAGTGAAGTAGAAACTCCAAAAGAAGAGGAAAGAGGTAGGGAGATAAGTATAGATGAAATAATGAAAGCAATGAAAAGCATGAAAGCAGGTAAGGCTGCCGGAAATGATAGAGTTTCACTCGAAATGCTAAGGGCTGGAGAGGAAGTGGTGGCAGGCCTGCTGCACACTGTATTTAATTTATACTGGGAACTGAAGTGGGTACCGGTAGACTGGTGCAAAGCCGTGACAGTCACAGTATATAAAGGAACAGGGTCGCAGCACGACTGTAAAAACTACCGTGGCATCAGCCTTCTTAGCATTGTGGGAAAACTGTATGCTAAGATACTGATTGAAAGGGTCATGAAAAAAACTGATTGAAAAATTTGGAATGTGTAAGCGGGATTTAGAAAGGGAATGGGATGTACAGATCAAGTCTTTTCCATGCGCATGATCGCGGAGAAGTTTTTGGTCAAAAACCAAAAGGTTTTTTGTGCGTTCATGGACTTGGAAAAGGCCTATGACAGAGTGGATAGGGATGTGCTATGGCAAACACTGAACTCATTTGGGTTGAGCGCTGGCTTGATACAGGCATTGGAGTCTCTTTATAGGGACTCTAGTGCCTGTGTTAGGATCAACGGGGTCTACTCGGACTCGTTTGACATCCATAAATGTGTCAGACAGGGCTGTCTGGCTTCCCCTTGGCTGTTCAACCTATTTATGAACAGTTGTTTGCAAAATTTGATAGTTGAAGAATGCGGATTAAGAATGGGTGAGTTAACCGTCAAATGCCTTTTGTACGCCGATGATCAATTTATTCTTGCGTCGTCGACGGCCGAGTTGCAAATTATGGTTACATTAATGAACAGATCATTAAATGAAAGGGGTATGAAAGTGAACGCAAGTAAGACGAAGTTTATGGTTTTTGAAAGAGAAGAAAGTAAAACGATTTGTGAAATAAGAATAGAAGGGGAGTTGATCGAGCAAGTAGATGAGTTTGTATATTTGGGTTGCGTATTTAGCAGGGATGGGAGATATGATAAGGATATAGAACGACAAGTGAATGCGGGAAATAGACATGGGGCCCTGCACTATATTGTGAAGAGTCAAAATGTGTCGAAAAAGGCACGTATGGCAATTCACAATGCTGTGTTGGTCCTTACTTTAACGTATATTAGTGAAAGTTGGGTGTGGCAGAAGAAGCACGAGAGTAGAATGAACGCAGTAGAAATGCGGTCGTTAAGGAGTGTGTTAGGGCTGAATCTGAATGACAGGGTGAGAAATTGTGTGATAAGAGAAGAGTGTGGTTTGCAAGATGATGTTGTGACCAGGATTAAGAAAGGAATGCTTCGGTGGTTTGGTCATGTGGAAAGAATGAATGAGGAAAGAGTGACAAAGAAAATTTATGTTGCAGAAGTGAATGGCAGAGTCGGAAAGGGACGTCTTAGGCGCTAAATTTATCGACTAAATTGGCGATTTATTGAAAACGGGCCAAATTAGTAGTACCCTTAACCGACGAGCATGTATGCGTAGGTAAATGGATGTGAAGGAGGCGAGAGAGGTGTGTCAGGATCATGCCAAATGGAAGTCTGTAGTCTCTGCCTACCCCTCTGGGTGACAGGCGTGAGTGTTTATGTTATGTAGAACCAAACGGTTTACCTCGACTTTTTAATGCGTACAGCAAAGGAGTGGAAATATTTACCGGCTTCTTCTTTCCGTCCAAATACAATCTGGGCGTCTTCAAGGCACGAGTGAATAGGCATTTGTTATGCTAAGACAGTGCGATTTACCATCTAAGGTTGCATCACCACTAACCACCAGGTGGGATTGTCGTTAAGCACTGGCTTATAAAAAGTAAAAAAAAGGCGGACTGTGTGCTCGTTTGTTGTATATTGTTTATTCTATAAAAACAGTATCAACATTATTGAAAAGTTGGGTTTTAATTAAATGTTTTCGACTTCAGATGTATGTACACAATGTGAAAATGTATATACACAAAAAATTCCTTGGTGCTGTATTGTCTAAATTTTTTTCGCAATTAAGTGTTTTTCGAGGTACGGGGGTGAATACCGCCGAATTTCTGATTCCGGGCTGCTATTGATGATTTATTGACAGGAAAACCCAATAACTGATTTTCGGTCCGACTCGGAATTAGAACACCGAGCCATCGACCACTAGACCAACGAGGCAGTCACTTAATGGTAATTAGACACTGTGACCCTGGACATCTACATATTATATTCTTGATCAAGAATCAAAATGCAGATACGCAGTCACTCTTGAGGACTAAGAACGAATGACTTGTTTCTCTTTAACCCGCCTGGCAAATCCCGAGCGGTCGTATGCGACCGTACCCACCCACAGAACTAAAAATCATTAAAACTTATATTTAGAGACTACTTTTCTATGAAGAAGTTTGGTATTATAAAATCTATACATAATTCTCTATCTTGTGGTCTAAACAAAAGGTTTTACTTCATTACAAAACGATTTTATTGTATTTTGATAACAAAAAAAATATACCAAGCGGATGTCGGCAGCGTGAAAATCACAATTATTTCTATATATTACTCGAAATTAGTTACGTAAAAAGATAAATTATATTCACACAAAAAACTTTAATAACAATTTTATAATAAAACACTATAGTAAAGTACTAGAAAAATCCAAAAACCAACACAACAACATCCAAATGAAAATAGCGTACGTAATGAACGTAGAATATAAATTAATATCCATAGACTGTTTTTTTATTCTATTTTCTTTTATTTTATTTTTGATTTTGACGGAATATCGAAGCCGTCAAATTTGGCCGCTGGGTGTTTGAGAGGTTAAAAGGGTATCCGGGTCCCTGCACACACCATACAAAACACAGTAGTCATGGGATGACCCAGAGTTTTAACCTGCTATTTTACGCTGGTATTTCGTGGTCCTTCCTTAATAACTACAACAATAATATATGTAATATTTCAGAATTTGTAACGCTAAGATAGATATATGCTAGTTGCTTTTTAGTAGTAGGTAATATTTAGTTTTTAAAATAAAAATTACCCTCTTTTAAATTGAAATGCTCTTAAGACGTCACTTGATTATATTGTATAAGTTAAGATATTATTCTTGTGACATGCAAATTATGATAAATAAAGAAGCAAATATAGCTGCACCATGGGTCTACCATATATTTGTTTACTGTTTCACTTATTACCTTCTTTTACCAAGCAGCACCGCCTCTTCTATTCCGGTTCGAAGGATAAAGCAGCCAGTTTCAATAGATATATAGCGAAGATGTTTATAAATAATAGTTATGTAGAAATTCTTTTTAAATTAAAAAAAATAGTACAAGGGCGAACTTAATGCCGAAAAGGTATTCTCTGTCGGCTAACCTTTGATAATGCGGTGAGAGCTACGGGTAGAGCAGCAACAGAAAAAAAAACTAATAAATTACAGGCTGTGAAGCAAACTTGATAAAAATCTTAGTTATCAAGGGTTCAAAAGAACAAAAAGCCAGACAGATATGTTGTCATATCTGTCAGGCTTTTTGTTCTTTTTTTCTATGTCGGTTGCAGGTTGCAGGTGCCCATAGGCTAAAATAAGGTGGACTGATAGTTGTGTTGTCATTTCTATGTATATTTATGTAAATAAACTACGTTCTATTAAAACTATTTTAGGACTATTTGGTAAAAAGGGTTGACACAAAAGTGTATAAGGCCCTCATTATGGCTTTCTCGGCACAAACCAACTGTAATCAAACGCAAGATATTATAATGGGAAAACTTGACAGAAGGAGAAAAGGTTTGTAAGAATCTTTACGTTTATTATAATTTTAATAGATATAAATTTAATGATGGAAGCCACCCGCCTCTTAGCCCTCATATAGCCCCGATCTCGCACCTTGCGATTTTTGTTTATTTCCGAAAATAAAAGAAAAACATCGAGGAAAACGTTTTATGAACGCCAAGGAAGCAGTGGCTGCTTTTCAAAATGCCGTCGAAGAGATCCCTAAGGACGAGTGGGCAAAGTGCTTTTCTCAGTGGTTCCATCGGATGCAGCGATGTATTGATGTAAATGGACACTATTTTGAAAATATATAATAAAACTAATAACTTGCTAGTTTGTTCAGTTTTTGGTTTTCTAAGAACTTTCAATGTCACCCTCGTATATACGTGTCATTGAGGAAATTGCCTTTAAGCATTTTACGATACGTGTTTGCATTATATTACTAATTTTTATATCTATCTTGTCGAGATAAACCCTTTTAATGATTTATGCTAAAATGTCTAAATGTGCTTCAACCAACTGAATTATTTAAGATATTATTATCAAAATTTAAATGTTTGAACACATGGATAATCCACCAATAATAATAATAACAATATTTTTTGTAAGTGTATATGGGATACATTTTATCATATTATTAACTTGACTAAAACAGTATATGAGTTAAAAAATCTTGCAAAGCAGTTTTACTCAATGCTAATTTTGTGTCATGTATTTGAGAATTTCTGATGGCACTTACTCACGCCTGTCACTCAGAGGGGTAGGCAAAGACTACAGACTTTCTTTTAGCACGATCCTGACATACCTCTCTCGCCTCATCCACATCCACTCTGTCATAAGCCTTTTCCAAGTCCATGAACGCAAAAAAACTCTTCGGTTTTTCGCCAAAAACTTCTCCGAGATCATGCGCATGAAAAAGACTTGATCTGTACACCCCATTCCCTTTCTAAATCCCGCTTGCACATCCCAAATTTTTCCATCAATTTCTTTTATAACTCTTTCAATTAATACCTTAGCATACAGTTTTCCCACAATGCTAAGAAGGCTGATACCACGGTAGTTTTTACAGTCCTGCTGCGACCCTTTTCCCATATATATTGGGACTATCACGGCTTTGCACCAGTATCTCGGTACCCGCTTTAGTACCCAACACAAATTAAACAAGGTGTACAGCAGGCCTGCCACCACTTCCTCTGCAGCCCTTAGCATTTCGAGTGAAACTCTATCATATCCGGCTACCTTACCTACTTTCACGCTTTTCATTACAGATTACAGATGTCTGATGCCGCCAGCGTCCGAATAAACCCCTAATTTGGCATACGATCAGGTAGTGGTCCGTCAATACGTTGGACCCCCGGTAAACCCTTGTATCCACCACGCGATCCTCATTCTTTCATCCACAGTTATGAAATCTATCATGCTTCTATCATCACCTATTTCCTACGTATACATGTCAATCTTCTTATGACGAAAGAAAGTGTTCGTCACAAAAATATTCTTTTCCATACATACGGTGAAGGAGGCTTTCACCATTCTCATTAATACTTTCATCATCAAATGTTCCCAATATCCTTTCATAGCCAATCCTCCTCACCCCAACTCTTCCATTAAAATCTCCTAACATAACAATATTTTTATTTTCCTTACATTTCATTAACACCATTCTTTTACCAGCTCCCAAAACTGCTCCCGGATATAAGTGGGCTTAGACATGTCTGGGGCGTAGACCCCAACTTCTTTAGGCCCACTTTTATTTGTATCCATAGCAGTCTCGGGCTTACACATTCATACTCTTTCACACATTGACCCATTCTTTCTGAAAGGATGATACCGACTCCCTGGCATGCCCGCTCGGTCTCCTCTACACCGGACCAGTACGCGGTATATATGCCATGTGTAGTGACATCCTTTCCCTTCCGCTTCATCTCATTTACACATAACACATCCATTCCTCTATCATACATTATATCGCATACTTTATTCATCTTATCATTCATTGCTCCACATATATTCAGCCTAGCCAGACAGGCCTCCGCAATCCTCTTTTCGCCCCTCTGGGAGACAGAACGTGACGGGTAGCGAACCTCGTCGCCGGTTTTCCTCCCGTAGATTCTTCGCACCTCTGCCTCATAAAAGGGGCGCCGGGAACTCGGGGCCATTTCCTTTGCTTTTTGCCTCATGGTGCGAAAACTAGGGGTTGGTATATTTTACGCCGCTTCCACAGGGCGAGTAGCCGAGTCTGTTCTTTCGGCTTTGTCGCTCTTGTAGCGGCGCGCTACAATCTTTTAGCACCATCCGGGGGAAACGTGTAGGGTGGGCCTAGGATTAAGTGGTCGAAGCCTACGGACGCGAGCGACTTATCCCGCCCCCTATATTATATATCTATATTTCTGATGAGTCGTATGCATAATATGAATTTGATGGTAGAGCTGTATGTATGTTTTTAGTTTTTACGAAATTGCAAAGTATTTAAAAAAAGAATGTCGTAATCAGCAATTCTCTATGCGGATCAGAGCAAGTGCCCAACTTTTACAATACATGTGTGATTTTAAATATAGCGTTTTCTTACAGGTGTCTACGGACCACCAATTGGTTGTTACAGCGTAGTGTTTGTGGATGACGTGAGTATGCCCCAAGCTGAAACCTATGGCGCTCAACCTCCTATAGAAGTGTTGAGGCAAGGGATTGATTTAGGGCTTTGGTATGACCGAAAAACTAATGCTGCAATGCACCTTATAGATGTACAGGTATAATATAAATTAAATTTTTCTTTCTAATCTTAAATACTTTATTTAATATATGTAGTTTTTTATGGAAAGTGTTTTCTGTTTAAAAAATAAAAATTATTATTCTCATGAATAACTACAGCCTTTTCTTAAAAGTTCAGTTCTTTTCTTCCTTCTACAAATGAACCTTATTTTTAACTGACTTCAAAAAAAGGGGGATTTTCTCAATTCGAATGTATTTTATTTTTATGTTTTACCTCGGAACATCATAGTAAGCCGATTTTGATAATTTATTTGAAAGCTAGTGCTTCTCATGTAGTGCCATCTAAATTTGATCAAGGTCTGACCAGTAGTATTTGTGTTATCCTTAATAATGCGTATTTAATTGACTTCGACTTCGTTGATGATGTTCTCATTCTATTTATAATTAAAGTCGATTGTACAACATTTTAAGTTTGGGTCTTTTTTTCGGAAAACTTTCTTCGCCGGGGTGGCGATAAAAAAAAAAAAAAAAAAAATGTTTTTATCATGTTCTACCACTTGTAACATTAGTAGAGTTTCGTATATAAAACAACTATATAATTTTCTGTCTGTACGCCAAAAATAGTAGTCGAAGTTTATTTCACGTAGATATTAAAATCCGCATAGTTATAAGATGCGGCTACAAAATACAAACCATGGTTTATATTTAGAGATTTCGAATAAACTAAATTAGTTTTTTTGTCGGGTAATTTATATTTTATATATGCCAACTTTTGCTGCAAATATTAATTTCAGGCTCACGTGCACTTCTCGTACTCTGCTGATTGATAAACGAGGATATTCAAATTCGTTCGGGGTCTAAGGAAAACGTTAAAAATTTAGAAAATTTGGAATTTTGTAGTCTGGATACAGGTGGTATTAGCATTACTAGTGCGTGTATTTATTCTTTATAAGTAATGATTATGACCTGCCACTTTCTTGAAAACTCTGAGGTTTAAAAGGCAGTTGGTTAATGTGAATTCAGTTGTGAAAGCGGTAAGATGAAAATATTGTGAGACCATCTCTTCATTATTATCATAACAGCCTCTGTGTGTGTGGTCAATATGTGTACTCCGTAAAGTGGTTCGATATTACTCGCAACCACCTAACCACAGTGCCCACACTAAGTATTCTTACGAGTATATTACTAACTAACGAATACTGATGTATGATAGGAATAATAATTAACTGACTCGAATGAAGTAATGTTATTTCAATGTAGCAAACAACTTTTATTACGAATAAATTTACAAGGTGAAATTAACTACGAGTACAATGTAAGTTAATTGAGATAAGTAGCGCGCGCGTCCTGTTGCTATGCCGGTTGCAGGCGCATTGAACGTCGGGCCGCCTCGCGCTCTGACAAAGTCGCGGGGCCTTATCTTATCGACGTCGCCTATTGTTCTCTGGTAGTGGCGTGATATAAGAGTGTGGCTTAATCCTCAAGCGCGTAGCGGATTTATGTAGGTCCAAGGGAAGCGAGTTACGCCACATATTCTCCCTGGCCAGACCGTAACTACGGTCGATAGTAGTCTGTAAATCTTACTCTCCGGCCACTACGCGTGATTTTCTCCTTGTTGATGACAGGTTCCGTAGGGACTTTGGGTTCCGGTTCTTTGGTTTATTTGGCCATGTACGCTGGTTTAAGCCTGTCAACAGAGACGTTATTTTTCTTTCCCCTTATGTCTATGGTAAAGTACTTGGCTTGCCTGTCTAGTACTTTGAAGGGACCGTCGTAGGGTGGTTCGAGTGGGCTTCTGACGTAATCTCGGCGTAGAAAAACATGAGAATATGTGTGGAGGTCACGTGGTATGTAGAATGGCGTTGTAGTACTGGTGTGCCATGATGTTTTCTTGGGAGTGAGTTTCGCCATGCAGGATCGTAGACGTGTTACGTACTCTGTGACGTCTGCCGTGGTGTAGTCGTCTATTATAGATACGTATTGGCCTGGTAAGCTGAGATTTTGACCATATACCAATTCAGCAGGCGTAGCTTGTAGATCCTCTTTCCACGAGTTGCGCATGCCCAAGAGAACGAGTGGAAGGGCTTCCGTCCACTGCGATGATGTGTGGCACATGATTGCCGCCTTGAGTTGACGATGAAGTCGCTCGATGATGCCGTTCGCAGCTGGGTGATAGGCGGTTGTGCGCAGGTGACGCACACCAACCAACTTGGTGAGAGCTTTGAATTGATGACTCTCGAACTGGCGTCCGCGGTCTGTAGTTACCAGTGCGGGACAGCCGAATCGGGCTATCCAGCCGGACCCTATAGCAGCTGCGCAGGTCTCCGCCGTGATGTCCACCATGGGGTATGCCTCAGGCCATCGCGTGAATCGGTCAATGACGGTAAGGCAATATCTGTAACCAGAAGCAGAATTAGGGGCCCTAGGATGTCGAGGTGGATGTGGAAAAATCTCGACGTAGGAGTGAGGAAAGTTGAAGGTAGGGATATGGTATGACGGGTGTTTTGCTTTTTTGGCATGACAAGCATTGTCGGGACCACTCTCTACAATCTTTACTTATCCCTGGCCATACATATCTTTGTGAGACCAATCGCACAGTAGCTGATCTTCCTGGATGGTGTAAGTTGTGTAGTGTATCAAAAACTTATTTTCTGAACTGAGGAGTAATGTAAGGTCGTGGCGGTTGCACATAAGTGTCGCATTAGAGAGGTAAGTTACCATTTAAAGTGTTGATTCTTTTCAGTTGCAGGGTAGAGCCATGAAGAAGTAGATTTTGCAGTTCTGGATCTTTGTCTTGAGCTCGTGCAAGATCATCGTAGTCCACAGCTGTAGTGATCTCCTCGACGTTTTTTTTTTGTTGGGTTGGGGGGGGGGTTTTGGTTTCCTTTTTCAAAAAAATGGGTTTTTTCTCCTTAGGTTGGTGTGGGTTGTTTTTTCTTTTTTTTGGGGGGGGGGGGGTTGTGTTTTTTTGGGCCGGTGGGATCTGATTGCTTAGAAATTGTGGGGGGGTTTGTTTCTTTTGCTTTTTGATTTTTTTTTCGGCGTGGTCTTTTTTTGGTTGGTGGGAGGTGGGGTTTTGACCAGTTTATGTCTTGTGGCTTTTTTTTTTATCCCGGCTCTCGGGGGTGTTTTGGGGGGGGTGGGGGGAGCGGGGGTGTTTTCAAGCTTTTTTTTTTTGAGTTTTTTTATTGCCTTTTTCGCTTTGGACTCAAGTGGTTTAGTACCTGCAGCTGACACGTGGTTTCCCAGGAACGTGACTTCTGGTTGGCCAAGTGTACGTACGCTTGACAGTGTTTACCACTACGCCGTACTGTTTTAGGCGTTCGAAGAGTTGCGCAGATAGTTCTTGTGCTCTTGGATTGATGACGAAAATACTAAGATGTCATCTATGTATCCGTAGCGGAAATTGAGTCCTTGCAACACCTCGTCAATGAACCTCTGGAAGGTTTGTGCTGCGTTTCTTAAGCCATAATTCATGAACGGGAATCCGTACAATCCAAATGGAGTCGTGATCGCCGTTTTCATGATGTCATCTGGATTGACAGCAGTCTGATTGTACGCCTTGACTAAGTCAATGGTAGAAAAGACAGAACAGCCTGTAAGTTGATGTGAGAAGTCGTGGATATGACGGATGGGATATCGATCAGGTATAGTTCTATAGTTCAGTGCTTTGTAGTCTCCACATGGTCTCCACTCATCTTTTTTTCTTACCATGTGCAGAGGAGAAGACCAAGCGCTTTGCGATGGTCTGGCTATGCCGCTGGCGAGAATGTTTGAGAACTCCTGCTTCGCAGCTTGTGTGGATCCAGGCGTCGAGGCTTACTGGCTACTGGAGGTCCTGGAGTCGTTCTGATGTGGTGCAGAGTATTATGTTTGCATGGTAAGTGCATACCTGGAGGGCGAGTTATCTCTGGGAATTCACGCAGTATCTGGTGAAATTCGGTTTCTCCGTTGACTGACTTCACCGAAGCGATATGTTCCGTTGATGTGCGAGCTACGGCGTTGACCGAGAGAGTAGTGACATTGTCGACTAATAGTTGATTCCTACAGTCAACGAGTAAATTGTAGTGGCTGAGGAAGTCAACTGCGATGATCGGTCGTGTCACATCGGCTATTGTGAAATTCCGTCTCAATCCTAGATTGAGGTGTAGTGTTATCGGTCCGTAGGTGTGTATAACTGTGTTGTTAGCAGCTATGAGGTCATACCTAAATTTAGAACAGTATCTTGATATAATCAGGCGTTACTTTGCGGAAATCCATTATAATAAATAATTTATTACTTCGCAACTTAACAACAAGAGCGGGAGGTGTTCTTCAATCCAGGTAAGGCACATCATTGTGAATGATCATTGCGAAGTAATAAATTATTTATTACAGGGCGTCTTGACTGCTGACTGGGGAAAAACACACAGGTCTGAACCAGTGTCCACGAGGAACTGCATTTTTGATGTCCGATCTGAGATGAATAAACGGCCTGTTGTAGAAGGGTAGTCGCTGGCCGTTACTTGCGACCCGCCTGTAAGTTTTCCGCCTTGTATGTACAAGGCTGCTTACACTTACTTCCTTGCTTTGTGCCCATAAGTGTAATGGTAAAAGCAATGCGGGTGATCCGGTGGAAGCTTTTTGGGTCTGAATTACCTTGAGTTGGATCGCGATTTTGAGTGTGAGCGGGAACGTTGTTACCTGTTAAGTTGAGTAGTGAGAAGTGCTACTTGCCTCGTTAGGTCACTTATCTGTCTGGCCATAGTGTCACGGTTTTCCGGCGTCTTAGTAGTGGTGCTGGCAACTTGAGGGTTCATCGGCGCGATCTCGTAAACCCTGTCTGCGAGTTCAGTTAGTTACTCCAAGATAAGTCTGTGATCTGAGAAGCAATCACAGTTTGTACATTAATGGGTAAACGACTCGACCATAATGTTTTAATAACGTCTGATGCTGCAAATGCTCCGGCTAGATTCTGCAGGTGGCGTAAGAACTGCGACGGTTTCCGATCTCCAAGCTCTTCGTGGTTGAACAGTTGCTGGAGCCGCTTCTCCTGTGTTACTGAAAGACGACGTATTAGTTCCGTTTTCAATTTTAGGTACTTATCGGTTCTAGGTGGGTTAGTAATAATATCCTTAACTTCTCTAGCGTAGGGAGGTTCTAGTTGCGCGGCTACGTAGTAGAATTTTGTCTCGTCATTCGTGATTCTGGACAATAAGAACTGGCCTTCAATTTGTGCGAACCATAAAGCAGGCTCATCGACCAGGAATTGGGGTACTCTAACACCAACTCTCAAAACTTCTGCGGGAGTCAAATCTTTCTAATCGGTAACGTTGACTACACTCGGTTTGACCATCATTGCACAATATCAAAAAAAAATGATACGCTCACCTTGTTTGACTTGGACCACGCCCTATCGTTTGTTATCACCACGTTGTTTTCAAGCAAAAATAGTTGCTGTCGTACGATGCGTAGTTCAATTTACCGTTACTTCGGCTTTGTCGGCAGGTCACCAATTAATGTGGGGTGTGGTCGATATGTGTACTCCGTAAAGTGGTTCGATATTACTCGCAACCACCTAACTACAGTGCCCACACTAAGTATTCTTACGAGTATATTACTAACTAACGAATACTAATGTAGGATAGGAATAAGAATTAACTGACTCGAATGAAGTAATGTTATTTCAATGTAACAAACAACTTTTACTACGAATAAATTTACAAGGTGAAATTAACTACGAGTACAATGTAAGTTAATTGAGATAAGTAGCGTGAGCGTTCTGTTGCTATGCCGGTTGCAGGGGGAATGAAGGTCGGGCCGCCTCGCGCTCTGACGAAGGCGCGGGGTTTCAGTATATGTTTGGAGTGTCGTGATATAAGAGTGTGGCTTAATCCTCAAGCGCGTAGCGGATTTATGTAGGTCCAAGGGAAGCGAGTTACGCCACAAGACTATGAATGACCAATGCTGAACATGGGCCTCCCCTCATATGGTGAATACTTGCCTCAGTTGCCACGCCTGCTAGCCGGGTTGTGACAACTGCAGTATTTTATTATTTTAAATCATTTGGTGTCAGTTACTGATTCTTCTAAGCTCGATTGGGTTTTGTATGGTATATTATAGAAGTTACAAAGGACCACACAGTCTACCTGATCATCTGTCCTCGATTTAGAATCAAGATGAAGATGTGTTGTCACCCCATAGGACTAAGATGGAATATCTTGTTACCAGTAATAAAGGGTCTCTGATTCAAGTCACTTCCTATACGGAACCTAGCAGCCTTGTGCTTCTTTTTCAGTCTGTTTCCTCTTACTACACCAGTGGGTCGATATAGGATAGTGGATATTCTTAAACCGCCACTATACGGTTAATATGCGACGACCATAAGTGGGATAAATTTTATATTTTGTTTACAATACTAAAATAAATAACGTATAATAATTTTTAACTAGCATAATCGGAATAGCCCACAAGTAATTGGATGAATTTTCTTATGCAATTTATGTATGTAAATTGCTACCACGATACAGGAGAAACTTCTAATGTTGAGTAACATTTTATTTTAAAGAAAGTAGAGAGAGAGCCTTTAATTTTTAATGTTGCAGTTTATGTGCGCAATGGGTAAGCCAACACCGGGAGCAAAAGTAATTACGCCGAGGTTCACACGCCATTTTTCTTTCCTTTGCGTCGACGAGTTCGAGGATGAGACTCTTCGAGTCATCTTTAGTAGGATAATGCTATGGCATCTTGATACCAGGTATCTTCCATGATATTACAAATGAGAAAATATGTTTGTATGAATTTTTGTCCGTTGATTGCATTTAAACAGCTGAACGAGTTCTTAAATGTTACCAAAGTTTTATTTACATCCTTAGTTTAACAGCTAATATTAAAATATAAATGACCACATTGTGTAAACGTTCTTTAGGTTTTTTATTTAAATTTATTACATTTTTAGGGGCTTTTCCAAAGAATTCGACCCCTGCATAGACGAAATAGTCGCTGGTACATTAGAAGTGTATAAGCAGTGTAGATTAAATTTGTTACCTACGCCATCTAAGTCCCACTACACATTTAACCTACGAGATTTTTCAAAAGTTATCTTGGTGAGTTATTATATTTTATTGCGCGACACTCAAAAATTTGAGTATATTACAAATTATACTTACGATTGTGCACCATTTGATATCATCCTATATTTTTAAGGAGATTATTAATGTGTCTCTCTGCAGTGATCTCCTCTTCTTTTTTACATCTTTTGCGATCTTCTGTGATATAACCGTTATACCTTATCAAACGTTCACTGCTGAGCAATGGCCTTCCTTCCCAAATATTGTGTAATTACCCCCCCCCCTCCATTCACCAAAGCTGCCACTTTTGAAAGGCAGGTTGGCAAATGCAGTTTTTGTTTTTTAGTTGTCATTAGAAAGTCGCTGATGCCCATCTCCGTTTTTTCTGTATCGCCTCTTGTGACACGATGTGGGACGATGTCGTAGGGGATATGTTTTCACCGCCTCTACGCGGTGCTTTTGCGATACTATAATATACTATTTAAAATATTTTGTTGTGTTTATTTTATAACTAATGATTTTCTTGGTAGGGAGTATTATTGTCGGTTCCCGAAGTGACTCCAGATCTTCAATCAATTAAACGTCTATGGGTTCATGAGTGTCTTCGTGTATTCTCTGATCGACTAGTAGGGGATGCGGATCGACAGTGGTTGGTACAATGTTTAAGAGAAGCCACAGAGTTGCATCTGAATGAAAACTTCGATAAAATGCTCTCTAGGTTGCTGGATGATCCTGAAGAACAGGTGTGCAGTAGTAGTGTTTAATTTAAATATTACAATCTGGTTTTTCCACGACTACTTCTCTTTCGTTTCCTTTGCTTATGTAAAGTAATTTGACTCATTTGAATTATTTAATTTTTAATGCGTTTGTTAGCAGTAATTACTTTTATATACATACATTTTTTTTAAAAGAGAAGAGTGTAAAAGATCACACAGTCCACCTGATGGTAAGTTATTGCTGTGGCCCGGAGACATCTTAATCTATCCTCGATTACGAATCAAAATGCAAACGCGATGTCACCCGTGAGGACTAAGATGTAAGACGTCTCCGGTTCCCTACACTCACCATACGAAACACAGGATCGTTAAGCTGCTATTTTATGCTGATATTCAAAATAAAAAAAGTTGGAGTACTGTAACATCGAAATATTTTTTCTCTGCTGTCGGTCTATATATTGCTACATTGTGATGAAATTTCACGGACAGATGGAGAGCAATGTTAGGAATGATCTAGGTTTTATGTTATTCCAAATTCTTGGAGTATTTTTTGTGAAATCGGAAAATTTTTGGTCATTGATGATTATTTAAAAAAATCTTAATGACTCAACAGATCCCACCTAAAGCAATGCCGTGACAGATATTTATGTAGTTATTCTGCAATAATAATTAATGTTTTAGATGAAAATCTCTATTACGCAACAATTTATTCTTAACGTTCAAACTTTACAAATGTCAATTCAATTATTTAATTTTAGATAACTGATCTTCATTTGCGTAAATTGATTTACTGCGACTTCGCAAATCCTAAAGTCGATACGCGATTTTACATGGAAACTACAAACATGGAGCATCTTAATTCAACAGTCGAAGCGTTCCTAGTCGAGTTCAATAACATGTCTAAAAAACCCATGAACTTAGTATTGTTCCGGTAAGTTTGTATTATTAATATTCACAACAAAATAACAATGGAGTAGATATAAAAAATCTGCTATTTCTTCTAATAAACTGCAAGTGACATACAAATTTCACTCCGATGAAGAAACATAAAGTTTCCAAAGGTTTCAAATTTTCCTTGAGATTTATTTTTGTGTTCTAAAGAGCTTTATTCTTTTTTGCTACTTGAACTGTGAACTTTTGCTAGGTAAATCTTAACAACTGTTTTATTGTAACAACTTCGGTGGACTGAAGTTTTTTTTGCAATTTTATTTCATGCGAAAAGGTCTTAAAAACTAAAACAGGAACTTAGTCCTTTTTATAATTTAGCAGGTGTTAATTAGAGCATTCAGTGACGACATTATATTATGACGCAAAGAAGACGGTCCATTTCAGGGCCCAGTCTATGTACACTGCACCGTAAAAAAGCGAAAAATTCAAAGATTTTATTAAAAATAAAATAGAAGAATAAATCAAACTAAATGACTTGCTAAAAATAAAATGCAATCCCAATTTTTGATGACTTTACAAGATGGCACTCTTTCAGTCATAAAATTATATGTCAAATGTCATGAAAAGTGACTTGAGTCATGAAATTATGTAGGTAGTGTGATATTTTTTTATTCCGATCTTGTTCGTGCAGTTGTGAACTCGTCAATGCGTTTATTGCGTTTCTTTTGGATTTCTTTGGCGATTTGTTTTTTTTTTATTTGGACTTGGGATCTGTTATTGCTTATTTGACTCGGCTTTTGTTTTAAGGACGATCACATTTTGAATCACTAGCCATCAATAACCTCACGACAATTGACAGCTAACGTCAAAACGACTTCATTTCGCCATTAGTGTTACAGTTTTTGGTAAGAATAAAATATTAATACTACTGAAATAAGGGCAAATATGTGGATTTCAATGACCAAAAGTCTTGTAATATATTATTTTAATTTATTTCCCTACTTGTACAAAACCGGGCCTACGCTTCATACAAATTTGGACCGTCTCCGACACGATATTCTGCTCCATTTCTTATTCTCATATTTTATGAGATATTTACAATCTTTGAGTAAATTTTTTCTGAATATAACCTAATATTTTCGTGGACATAAAACATCTTTGTTTCTTTCTCTCTCTACCATGTGGTAGTGGCGTAACAAAAGGGATGAATTCACTTCAATTGTTCCGGTGGGTATCGTAACAAACAACTATGGGATAAGCCAAAAAGTTTTATGGCTTTAATTTTTGATGGCATTATCAGGTGAGCCGCATGCTTGTTTGCCCTCTTTTCTAAAAAAAAAGAAATAATCTTTCAAGAGACTCAAGAGTTTCTTGTTATTTGTCCCAGGTTCGCGATTGAACATGTTTCTCGCATCTGCCGAGTGCTAACGCAACCGCGCTCGCACGCGCTGCTGGTGGGGCTTGGAGGCTCCGGCCGCCAGTCGCTCACGCGTCTCGCTGCGCACATCAACGAATATGATCTCTTTCAGGTGTCGATTTTATAAGTGTTCTATTGCAGTTTTATTTTATATTTTGGCAAGTTATATTTAACATTGATACCATATATTTTAATAGATTAAGCAGTTAAAATTGCGGAAACCTCAGAGAGATAAGTGTTTTGGTTTTAACATATACATATATCCCCAATGGTTGGAACAAATTATCATATATTGTTTGCACAGTAACATACAAGGTTGCGAAAATGAATCCTTATTGTAAAGAGTTCAATTTAGATTTGTGTCATCACTTTTAGTAAATTTCGATTGTAAAAGCAACTGACTACAGACGTAAAATTTTGACAGAGAAACTTTCAGACATGCGAAGAGATCCACTGAGATACCAAAAGATGTATTAGATATTTTATTTGTTCTATTTAAGGTTGAAATGAGTAGAACTTATGGGAAAAACGAATGGCGTGAAGACTTGAAGACGCTACTGAAGAAGTCAAGCACTCCAGAATTGCACATGGTGTTTCTGTTCATCGAATCACAGGTAAACGATAAACATATTATCAAAAAAATCAGCCAAGTACCACCATACCATCGTAAAAACACATTTCTAGTAATTATCCCCTTTAATTTTTATTTTATTATTTATTGTTATAGCGGCAACAAATCCAGATAAAGGCATTCACACCTGCTAACGTCGTCTCTCATATTACACTTTTACATGGGTATAAGATTTAATGGTATACAGAGTTAGAACCACCACGAATAAAGTCACAACTGAAATTGACCTAGGGTCCATATTACAGTTATTATATTAGTGATGATAATTTTTTATTATACATCATCCAATTTTTCCCGTGGGGATCGTAAGAGGCGACTAAGGTAAATGCGAAAAGATCTCTTCCGATAAAAATGTCTTCCGATAGATGACGGTATAACCATCTCGTTTACGTGAGACGTAAAATACCTAGACGCGTCAAAGGTGCGAAACGTCTGGCACTGCAAAGTCAATTTGCTTGCCAAGCTTGAAAATTAAGGCACAAAATCCCTACAACGGAAAAAGCCGAATTCCAGGGCTGAATTTTAACAATCCAATAAAAAAATAAGAATGACGTTTTTGGACAATGCCTAACGGTCTAAATTGGGCATGTTACAGAATATTATCAGTAAAATTATCAACTGCGCTGAACATACGTACTATATGTTCATAGTGTGTCGCTGAAACATAGAGATAGAGATATTTATTTGTTCCATTGTAATTATATGCCTAGAAATTGGTAAAAAGCTCAAATGCTGTGTTTTTGACACGGGAACAATCACTATATATACATGGACTCGACGTCCGACAAATTGTTTTTTGCTTAAAAGTTTGCCTTTTACCTTACTAGGGTTGGCATTTTTTAATGTCAAATATAATACTTTTGACGCTATTCCCTGTAAAAAATATAGTAGATGGCTATAGTTAGCCTTTATTAAAAACAGTAGTTTTGTCTTACGGGACAAACGTGCTTGCGGTTTACCTGATGGTAATTGACTACCGCCGCTGTGAACAACTGCAACACCAGAGGAAATGCAGGTGTGTTGCCGGCCTTTTAGGTAGAAGTAAACTTTTTTTTTGAAGGTCCCTAAGACCTATCAGTCCAGAAAAATCGCTAGTGGTAAACGATTCCCCAAACAGGTCGTACGAGGACGAAAACTCATAGTAAAACGCACAGTGGTGGACCACAAAACATCCAGTTGGTGCGGATGGTATCGTGAGTTTTATCGCAATGTGCGTTTTTGAGTGTTGGCGGCTGGAATTAATTCGGATAATTCCTCAGAGCACTCCCTGTGGTAATAGCGATAGAAAATGCCCATTTGGTTTGGATGCAAAAAGAGTTCCAATCACGAGCCAATCTTCGTCATTTAGTAGTAGATCAATGGTCACGGTGCCCAGTCTCAAAGGAAACTAGTAATCTGTGCAAGACAGGATAGTAGTCGATTGTCTGCGCAAGCAAAAAGAGAAAGAGATCAAATGCATGAGTTAAATTCCTGACTCCGTTCTGCTTAAAAGAATTAAAAAGGAATAACCCAATAAATTTTGATTCGACCTGGGTCCACATGAGCCGCAGTAGCGTTTATGAACATTGCCAACGAGACTTTCGTTTTAAGATGAAAATGAATTATATTATAGAGCTGTGGTGGCTTAGATGCTAAGCGCTCGCTGTAAAACGCGAGGAGCCCTGGTATTCATCGGCGTTACCAAAGAAATTGTTAGTTTGAATTGTAGGTACTGAATTACAATGTACTTGTCAGTGAAGGAAATCATCGTGAAGAAAGCTTCGTGTCGGAGGAATAAAAATATTTTGAAGACAAGTGAAGTCCATACGTGGTAGAGCCTCGCTGCATCTATAATATTATGGTTGTAGCACGAATGGGTTGGCTCGACCGGGGAAGGACCACGCTCACACGGAATACCAGCGTAAAATAGCAACTGCTATTTTTACACCTACTATACGAAACACAGCAGTATTAATACTGCTGTGATTCGTATTACATCTTAGTCATTGGAGTGACAACGCATCTGCATTTTGATTTTTAATCGTAGATAACTGTAGATGTCTTTAGCCACAGCGTCCAATTACCATCAGGTGAACTGTGTGCTCGTTTGTCACCCTTATTCTATAAAAAAGTCCGCCAATACGCACTGGTGTCGCGCGATGGACTATTAGCTCAATAACCCTCTATATAATGAGAGGAGGCTTGCTTGTGTCCAGCAATGAGATATAAATGTTATAGGATATAGATTACTATAGTAATACGTATTATTGTTGGAGCTGGGGGGAATTCTGTTTGAAATATTTTTTTTTATTCTCACAGAGGTTTTTATTGCGGGTGTGTAATAGTATTGTTGTTTATTGTTGTTGAAATTCCCAAAAATTTTTTGTGGTAATTTCCTAGTTTTCAACAATACATCGCGCAAGTTATTAATTATTTTGTAATTGCGTTATCGACATCACCATATCATCAACCAAAGTCTGTTATGTGTTTTAACTAGATCAAAGAAGAAGGTTTCTTGGAGGACATCAACAACATGCTAAATTCGGGAGAAGTACCAAACATATTCGTTGCCGATGAAAAGACAGAGCTTTGTGAGAAAATGAGAGTGGTAAGAACAGAGTTGTATATTATTCTTAAATTATATTTCTAAAGTCTATTTATGATTCATCTAACCATAGCCATTATTGTCATTGCTTAAACATTATGCATGAGTTATTAATTAATAAACTTAGCAGTAAATATTTTTATTATACTTCAGTTTATTTTACCCTTTTTTCTGGAAACGAGGCATTCAACTTTAATTCTCAAAATTGATAACGCATCTGCGTTTTGATTCTTAATTGAGAATTAATTTAAACGTCTATGGGCCATAGCATCCACTTCCCATCAGGTGAACTATTTGATCAGTTATCACCAATATTGTACAGAAAGAAATTAGAATATTCATAGAAAACATTTACCGAATTATTCTTATTCTTTCCAACTACTATTTGTTTTATTATTACAATATTTCTATTTTATAACTTATGAATATTTTAAGCACTAGTAGGTCATTTATTGCGTTATTCATTGTATTTGCTTTAGATTTATAAATATTGTATGTAACAGAACTGTGACAGTAAATAAATGAATAAATTTTCTCGGTGGTAGGGCTCTTTCTGCCTTGAAGTTCGTCTGGATTGGTTCTATTCTTACCATTGGCGAAGCAGATGCACTATGCATTCAAAGCCGTTATCTGGTTCAAAGGGTAGTGTGATTACCCCCCCGAACGGGTTCCCGCCTTGTCGTGGCGGGGGCTTAGAAGCCGTGGCTTGGTCACCCACGGCGAAACAAAGAGGAACCCATATGGCAGGTCCGAGGTGGAGGGCCGGCCCGAGGTTGCCACTCCGAGTGGGCTTGGGAAGCCCACTTCGGATGTGTGTTGGTGGACTGCGGTGAGAGGTGTGTCCTCCCCACCTACCGCTGCAGCCGAGGTGGAGTCGCGGAGGAAGAGGAGTGTTGGTATGGCGATGCGCCACTCGCCCTATCCTCCGCGACTCAAACGGGGCCGCACCGTTGATGCGGTGGTGATGGGGCTGCGGGGGGAGAGGATTGTCGGTATTGCGAGACGCCGCTCTCCCTATCCTCCGCAGCCGAATCTTGGTTGGCGGCGGAGCCATGGACCAGATCCGCCGCTGGGGTCGGGAAGGCTAGTACTTCTAAGTGCTCGTTTTTCCTGGCCCCATGGCCTTCGCGCATCGGACGCGGGGGCGTCTGTTGAGCAGATGTAATTGGAGGCCGTGGAGGAAGGCGTGCCATGTGTTCTGGTGCGCCTGACTTGGGAAGGAGAACGGGGAGGAATATTCCCCTTCCGATGAGGTGCTGCCATGGGGCGGCAGTCGCTGGTGGGGCCGCGGATGTGTGCGAAAGCGTTCCCGTAGCCCTGCCAATATGCGACGAAGGTGGAACACCATGGGGTTTTAGTCGGTGCGAGTCCGACATAACCCGTCCTTGCCCCCCGCGAGGCGGGTATGCGTAGGCATTTCCCCATGTTAAAAAAAAAGGTAGTGTGATTAAGGATTGTGAGGTATTTCATCTGTGCCTTTGGTTGTGACAACACATCCATAGTCTTCTTTGCTAGAAGTCGGTTACAGGTTGTCCACAGGTTGCGGTATCCACTTAAACTTAGGAACATTCTAGTGTATGTCACTGTAATATTAAAAAAGTTCTGATTAAATATTTTAAAAAGATCTCGCTTCATCCTTCAACCATCTAGATCGATCGTCAACGTGACAAGTCACTGCAAACGGACGGAAGTCCTACAGCGTTGTATGCGTACTTCGTGTCGATCGTGCGCGACCAGTTACATATAGTGCTAGCGATGTCCCCAGCGGGCACTGCGCTGCGCACGCGTATCCGCAAGTTCCCGTCACTCGTCAACTGTTGCACCATTGACTGGTTCCAGGTAACCACAATGTTGCATTTATGTTCAATTTTTGGAACTATTTAACGTGTATGTAAGTAAAAACGTTTAAGGGTTGCTTCCGTCATGGCTGCCTGTTATTATTATTTTTATATGTTGTTGTAACCTGTTTATTTTAAAATTAAAGCTTCAGTTGTGCCACTGAGGCATTAAGCCATGCCTCTTGCCACACTTTTCATTTCTACCACTTAATATGTTACTTACTCATTGTCACTTTAGTTAACATGTTATGCGAAGGACTGTCTAGAAGATTTTGGTTCTCCGCTCCAATTATTGCAAGTGTAAGGATACAAAATTTTTAGGTTACTAAAATTATCACGCCCATACTATCTTTAAGGCATAATTATATTTAAACAGACTTTCCTACATAATTGGGATCCTATCCTTATAGTTGTATTGATAAAATACCATAAAATATATGAGAAACGTGCATGGCTTTTGCTTTAGCCAGTCATAGGTGGCAATTATGATAAAAGCTTCTGATTGAGAAGGCTCAATTCGATACCAACTGTTGCTATTATCTCACAAAACTCTTTCAAGAGTGGCAAAGTAAATTATTCAATCGTTTGGGACAATTATTGTCAATTATTATGTCATCACTTCACTTCTAGGAATGGCCAGCAGATGCCCTATTAGCTGTTGCAAAACGTTTTCTCAAAGATATTGAATTGACGGATTTAGAGCGCGAGACGGCCATCAAGCTATGTCAAATGTTCCACACAGACACACAAGAGCTGACCCGACAATTTTTGCTGCGGCTTAAAAGATATAACTACGTCACGCCAACCGCTTATCTTGAACTTATCAATATGTTTAAGACTTTACTAAGTAAAAAACGAACGTAAGTTTTATTTTTTAACACTATTTGTACCTGTATGTTTGGTATGCTTATTGTTTCTCGTGGAGATATCTCTACTATAAAATGTAAGAAAATTTGCCTTGCATTTGCTTTCACAAGACATGAATATTGAAAATCAATAATAAGAAATAGAACGTGAAGACCAACATTAAGCTTTTTTGCAATAATTACGCTTTAAAAATTTGTTTTTGTTGAAAACGAATCAAGTACGCTAAACTGGTTTAATATGTTGTTCACGTAATTCCTAAAATTTTGCGCTAGCATATTGCTGCTTATTACGATAATTTTGTATCAGTTCTGTTTTTAAAGAAATTTCTACTAAGTCTTGACCTAAATATTAATTTTTATTCTACATAAGAGAATTCTATTTTGCAGAGAGTTGATTACAAATGAAAAACGTTACATCACTGGTCTGGATCAGCTGGCTATTGCTGCTAAATCAGTCACTGCACTACACGAAGCCTTAGCAATTCTGCAACCGAAGTTAGCAGCCGGTGCCGCCGCTGTAGCCGAGACAACTGCTAAAATAGAGAAGGAAAAAGAGGGAGTAGCATTAGTAGAGGCAGAGGTCTTAGTGGATCAGGCTGCTGCAGAAGAGCAGGTTATCATTTTTTTAAAATTAGAACTAAAAAGTTTACAAAAAATGTAATGTTAAAAGCTTCTTGAAATTTTTAATAGTTGAATAATTTATAAATTGTATGTGTTAAGTAAACGAAAACAACATCAACAAAATGTCGATTAGTGGGAGGGTATGATTAGGTGTTTTATTTGATAAATTGTAATTGATTTGTGCATTGATACATTAACCATGGATTCTTCTTAAATCTTGCTCTTGAGAAGTACTAAAATAAATATTATAAATAAAACAAGGACATTTTTTAATGTTGAATATTATTGTTATGCACCAGGCAAAAGAAGCACAGGGCATAAAGGACGAATGCGACGCAGATTTGGCCGAAGCGATGCCGATTCTAAATGCAGCCTTAGCAGCGCTAGACACTTTAACACCTCAAGATATTACCTTCATTAAAACCATGAAGAGTCCGCCACGTGGAATTAGACTTGTTATGGAAGCCATTTGCATATTAAGGGTATTTTCCTTTTCTTTTTGTAGCTGTTAAATACAAGAACATTAAATATAAAATTAAAACAATCATTTGGAGTGAATAAATTGGATGATTTTTCCGATTCCAGTTCCACTCGTTCTAATAAATTTCCGACGATCGCAATTTCAAATTTAATTTCGTTTATATTTATTCCACTACGTAATTGTGTTTTTTTCTTTTGAAAGTTTATATTGTTATTACCAGTCATATTGCAGTCGTGATTACGTGACGACCTAAATAAACAAATTCGCGCATATTATAAAATGCATTCTACGCTCTAAATTTTTGCATAAATTCAGTCTAGTGCTTCATTTAATATAAATCTGCTTTAATTAATCTATTTTTACTGTTTATTTAATTTGCTACTAAAAGGATGATCCGGTAAGTGGAAAGGAGTTTGGCCAAATTTTTGAGTTTGCTTACAAATTAACTCATAAGTTAAAGATAAAAACAACTGTGAATTTTTAGCTGTGGATTATTGTCATTGATTTTAATTGTATGTACCTATATTGTATAAATATGAGGCTTTAAAGACGCATATTAGTTAACAATTTCTCAAAAAGAAACAATATTTAAACAGTCGAAATATTCATATAATATGACTCACAGGACGGGACGGGACTCATGAAATGTTTAAGAGTCTGTTGGAAAAAAGACTCGTAAAGGGTTGTTCTTAAAATAGCAATATGCATTTATAAATTTAAAAATAATAATTTTAATAGTAAAAGTATTTCGGGGCATACCTTGGTAAGGCCTCATTTTCATCAGTGGACTTTTGAACTATTATTCAAAAATTATAAAAGTAAAGCTGACCAACGAGCGCATACTTCACTTTTTTATAGGACAGGGTGACAAACGAGCACATAGTCTACCTGATGGTAGGTGGTTGCTGTGGCCCATAGACATCTACATCTATCCTTGAACACGAATCAAAATGCAGATGCGTTGTCACCCGTGAGGACTAAGACGGAATGCCCCGTTTCCAGTGAAAAGGGTCTCCGGTTCTCTACACTCACCATACGACACACAGCAGCATTAAGTTCTTCCGGCGAGACCCATTCCTGCTACAACTATATTATTAATATATCTTCACCATAGCTCTACCACGTACACTTGATGGTAAGTGGATACTTTCGCCCATATTTTATATCTATCTTCGATTATGAATTAAAATGCTAATGCGGGTAACATTTAGTATTTTAGCTTTTTTTTAAAAACGTTACCTCTACACTAGGATTACACCTTTATCGTGATCTCCTCAATCATCCAGACCCGGAACAATTATTTGTAGGTTATACAAATATTTGTTTATCGTGCGGGATTCGAACCCGCGGCCCTTAGCGCTGCAATTCATTGTTAAGCCACTGTCCCACGGAGCCGTCAACGTAAGATGGAATACCTTATTACCAGTATATACCTCTATTCTACTCAATGCTATTTGAGAGTACATTAATCAATCAATGCATTGTATGAACCTAGGTAGGACTCCGGCCTTCCCAGGCATTCGTGCTGCAGCAATAATATATTTGCAACGTACATCTATCACGTAAAAAATAGCAATACTTCTTAATGTACTTTTACCACACATAATTTGTCGCTGACGCTGCCAAGAAGCGAACCTCAATCAAAAAAAAAATAGGAGAGCAAGAAAACATTTATTAATCCCCGATTACTAGCTTTTTTTCTTCAGAAAATTAAAAATATTGGATTTAATAGAAAACTACAAATACGATTAATATTCTGATGAAAAAAGCTTATCAGGGAATAATAAATGTATTCTTGCCCTCCTGTATTTTTTTTAAATGAGTTTCGCTCCTGGAGCGTCAGCGACGAAAGATGTTTTAAACACACAGTTGTCATTTTATCATGAGTTTAAAAAAATTATATATGCAGTTTTAATAACCAAAGAAGTAATAGCATACTATAATACTATAGTTATACTACATTACAGGATGTGAAACCGGATAAAATCCCGAATCCATCAGGCATTGGTACCATCGAGGACTATTGGGGCCCATCCAAGAAGTTGTTAAACGACATTAAATTCTTGGAGTCGCTGCAGAACTATGACAAAGACAACATACCTCCGCCCGTTATGAAGAAATTAATGGCTACTGTGATGCAAGATGAAGCTTTTGTACCGGAGAAGATTAAAACTGTATCAGTGGCGGCGGAAGGTACACATATAAAGCACAATTATTATATTATTGTTACAACAGCCCTGAGAATTATGTTATTGATAATTAAGATAATAATTTATGTAATTTCTAAACATACCAATTATAATTGATATTATTTTTTTAATAAAAATTAATTTTCATATTGCCAGATATTTAATAATAACCAAATATTTGTATGCCTTAAAAGGCATTTATCATTAATCACCAAATATTTGTATGCGTCACCAAGTTTGTAACTTTTTACCTATGTTTTACAAACAAATGATTTGATTTGACAACAACAATCAGTATTTAAATTCTTAAATACAATCAAAGTAATTAATAATGAGTTTTATTCATGTAAATTTAAAATGTATCGATGAGTAATTTTGGCTGCTTGATAGCTAGTTTTGATGGCAATAAGAAAGTTAAAATTAAACGCGATAAAATCCTTAATATTAGTTTTATTCAATGTTTAGTATTCGCGTAAATATAAAAAAAGGCATATTTATTTAAAGTTAATATTGCAATAGCATAATGCAAATATATTTGAAAACAATATCTAACCCTGAACTGTAACTGAAACATGTTCTATGATACATTCAAAAGGGTACCAAATTTGCAGTTTATAGCAAGATAGAAAAATAATAAGATGCTCAAAAGAGCCTTGTTGGCCATCTGAAAGGATTATTAGACAGCAAGCAAGCCCTGCGCCCGTAATTTAGTTCTCTCATCAGATATGCGTCCTTTGTAGTTTTTGTTTAGGATTCTTAATTAACGTATTACGCATCATGCAAAAACTCCTAAATAAAACTCTGCCACTCTTTGTTTCATAATCATCAAAATACGTTCCCGTATAGTTATGAATTTGATTTTAACATTCCAATTTAAAAAAAAAAAGATTAAATATAAACAAAAGTCTTTGTGTTGTTGGGTTGATAGTTGATAGTTATATTTTATTATCCTTAGGTCCTGATGTTTTATAAGGATTTAATTAGCAATAAAGTTCTTACGTTATGATCAGGTATGTGCAAGTGGGTGATTGCTATGACGAAGTACGACAAGGTGGCTAAGATTGTAGCCCCAAAGAAGCAGCGTTTGGCGGCTGCTCAGGCCGTATATGACAAAGCGATGGCCGCACTCGCTGTCAAGCAGGCCCAGCTCAAGGAGGTTGTAATTTAAATATTTTTTAAATTCTTAAGTTACCAGAGACGTAATTTTGCAAAAAAAAAAAACGTTAGCGCCACGGCATCCTTTTTATCTCATCAGTCCGTAAACTGTCATTATTATTATTACAGCCTTTCATAAATCCACTGCTAAACGTAGGCCTCCCCCAAAGAACGCCACAAAACACGATTCCGAGCATCCTGCATCCATCGCATGCATGTTCATTTTTTTTTATTTAACTGGCTTTACGGCTCTGGGTTCTAGCTCTTCTGAGCCTATCATTTCTTTCGGGGTCTTCATTTTTATAGATTTTTTTTCACAATATGCTTATGCGCCAAATTGTGAAATTTTTGGAAGATTTTGACGACAACTTAACCCAGTGGATAGTTGTCAATTCTCAAAGCTCAATTCACAAAGCGCCTAAGCGATCAAAATAACTTGAGGCTTATATCAACATCAAAGCACTTGTTTCGTCGTTTTCTCTAATAGTTTACATGCGCAGACACTTAGTTAACAAAATCGCATCACTTTTACGAATCAAAATCTACTTCAAACCATTATTTAAACGTTTATCGTACAGGAGCAACAATCCGTCAACGGCCAAGTTCCCGCCAAAACTCCCCTGCATGTTCAACGTGATATATAGCATAGAGTATAGAGGTAGGAGAACCATCCAACATAGGAGAATAGTTGAAAAAGTGTCCATCTGTAAGCAGTAAATAACAGTTCAAAAACTCTCCACAACAGTGCTGGAGCAGCTAGAGGGTATGAAATGAAATTAGCAGTTGTTGACGGAGTGAAGTGTGCTGAGTTGAGGAATTTAATATTTGACTAGAGTACTTAGTTGATGAAACTGCAGTATTTAAAACCGCAACTACTCACGTTGTATAAAATAATTTAGTAAATATAACCGAGAAAAAGTCGCCGTGAAACACGTTGAGTGATTTTGAAAACGAACATTTTGAAAACAATAAATTAATTATTGTAAAGAAGAATTATAGTGAAAGTGTGTGCAATAAAAAGTTCTTTAAAATTTACTTTCTAGCTACAGTGTTGTCACCCTTATTTAGCGATTTTCTATGGACAATTTTTAATACAGAGACGGTTCTCCTTACCTCTACACTCCATGATATACAGTCTTCATAATGACAGACGATTGTTTTTTTTTATATAGGATAGGTAACAAACGAGCACACAGTCCACCTGATGGTAAGTGGTTGCTGTGGCCCATAGACATCTACATCTATCCTCGATTACGAATCAAAATGCAGATGCGTTGTCACCCGTGAGGACTAAGATGGAATGCCTCGTTTCCAGTAAAAAGGGTCTCCGGTTCTCTACACTCACCATACGAAATACAGCAGCATTAAGCTACTATTTCACGCTGGTATTCTGTGAGAGCGTGGTCCTGATTGTGTTTCTGTGTGCAGATTTTCATCCGCAAAAATGACAGACAGTTCTGTATCAGTGAAAAACGCTATGGCTACTCCCCTCCGATCCACTGGTGGCCCTCGTTACTCTATATTTGTACTCATAAAACTAGTTGTAGAAAAGATAAATGAAAATAATTGTTTTCAAGTTTTCTTTTTTATGACAAAATAACTGTTTGTCCTATTTTTTATGAATATTCGAATAGTTTTATTATTATTCATAGGTACAAATGAAATTAGCAAAATTAGAAGAAATACTGGCTGAACAAAATCGCCAACAGAAGATACTAGATGATGAAGTGATGGACTGTAGCAATAAGCTGAAACGTGCTGAGATGCTGATTTCCGGTCTCGGCGGAGAGAAGACGAGGTGGACTCAGATAGCGAAATCGCTCAGAGATAATTACAATTCACTCACTGGTAACTTTCCTTCCCTTTTTTATTTAGCATATATACAATTCGGTAAAAACAAACATTTCTATAAAAACTGTATGAGAATATAATGTAACGATGTAATAAAATCACAGACAAATATTTGTCGTAATTTGTTTTTTAAATACAAAAAAGTTGTACCACTTACAATGGAAAATCGACCAAGTTTACTTAAAATAGTAAATTTAACTAATATTATGAAGAAATTTATTAATAATTGTATGAATTCCTCAATTACTGCCCGTTCAACATGTCGATCTCTTGTTCATTTTTCATCAAGCCACGTCTAGCAAAAATACCCGAAATATTATATGCGCAGGATATAAAACACAGCTGAAGCCAAAGTTTGTGACAAAACACAAAATCTTGGCTATCAGCAACTCATTTTTATATGTATATTTTACACGTGGTAGAGTTACGCTGCATCTATATTATGGTAGTGGTACTAATGGGTCGGCTCGACCGGGGAAGGACCACGCTCTCACAGAATATCAACGTAAAATAACACCTTAATGTTACTATGTTTCGTGTGGTGAGTGTAGAGAATAGGAGACCCTTTATACTGGAAACGAGGCATATCATCCTAGTCCTCAGGGATGACAACGCGTCTGCATTTTGATTCGTAATCGAAGATGAATGTAGTGATGTCTACGTGCCGCGGCATCCACTTACCATCAGGTTTGTCACCCTTATTCTATAAACAAATAAATAAAAATATTTGTCATAGTTGCCTCGATTTGCAGGCGCATTGGCAACCGCCTGAGTTCAAAAGGAGTTTATTTATTACCTCAGTCGTATAATTTGATATAGGAAGGTTAATTCTCGCTATGATAAATGACTAAAAGTGATGAGACAAAGAAAAGCAAATTAAGATATAAGAGCCCATATAGCTATTTATCCATAATATAAATTGGGTGAAATTGACTTAAACTCCTGAATGAAGTCTGTGCATGACAATAAAAATAAGACGAGATGATTCATCTTTAATAAGATGCCTTAAACTGGTGTCACACCTATATGATAGGTCACCAGTAGACGTGTAAGTACTATTAAGACGTCTACGTAGTACTACTATATTGAGCTAAAACAAGATTTGATGTTTAATCTTGATCTTACACATTAAAAATTTGCCCAACACAGTGTACCACACATGGAAAATATTATGTGGTTCTGTCATTTGTTCGTGTCTGATCGAACTGGATCGTCCAAAAAAGTGATTGTGATCCCAGATTCAGGCTAGGACTCTGTAGACTTCCTACGTATCAGCTGAGGTTATGCGATGAAGAGATTTATTCAACAATTTTTACTTTATGAGCCGTGGTAGCTTGGCGTCTTAATGTTCGTCATAAAATTTTTGCATACGCGTGCCTACCTGGAGTCGACCTTCGCCGATATTAGTGATTGTAATCGGCGCTGCTCGCCGCCACAAGCGATTTAAACACGCCGAAGCTAAATCGCGCTACACATTCCGAACGTATTATAGAACATCTCCTATCAATGAGTGTTCCACTCTCTCCAGATCTCGGGTTACATCTTAGAGGGGATATTTGCCATAGTTGCCAAGCTTGGCAAGCGGGTTGGCAACCGCATTTTGTTAAATGTAGCCGGAATTAGGAAGACGCTGCTGCCCATCTGCATATTCGTTTTCCTCTGTCGCCTCTTACGACACCCACGGGACGGAGAACATCGTGATGATGTCTGCATGTCTTAGAAATTAAATCTTCAAAGGGCTTGTGAAGTCCGTCATCGCGCACCGAAATAGCGGAACTTTTCCTTAATTAAAATTAAAATAATATTATATGGTTTTAGGTGATATACTAATTGCTGCTGGAATCATAGCTTATTTGGGCCCATTTACAGCTGCTTTTAGAAATTCACAGGTATTATTTAAATATTTTTATATTCTACATCATATTTATTTCAGTTACTTATTCTTTATCAGTTTTCTTATCTATATAATATAAATAGAGTAAATGGGGCCGTACACTCTATTGTGAAGAGTCAAAATGTGTCAAAGAAGGCACGTATGGCAATTCACAATGCTGAGCTGGTCCCTACTTAAACGTATGGTAGTGAAAGTTGGGTGTGGCAGAAGAAACACGAGAGTAGAATGAACGCAGTAGAAATGCGGTCGTTAAGGAGTATGTTAGGGCTGAATCTGAATGACAGGATGAGAAATTGTGTGATAAGAAAAGAGTGTGGTTTGCATTTTGCAATATGACGTTGTGATCAGGATTAAGAAAGGAATGCTTCGGTGGTTTGGTCATGTGGAAAGAATACATGAGGAAAGAGTGACAAAGACAAGAAAAAAAAATTTATGTTGCAGAATTGAATGGCAGAGTCGGATAGGGACGGGCCAAATTAGGAGTACCCTTAACCGACGAGCATGCGTAGGTATATGGATGTGAAGGAGGCGAGAGAGGTGTGTCAGGATCGTGCCAAATGGAAGTCTGTAGTCTCTGCCTACCCCTCTGGGTGACAGGCGTGAGTGTTTATGTATGTATTTTCTTATCTACTGCTTGGTGCTGGAGGTCTTAGTTAGGTGTGCTAATTATATGTATATATAAGATGGCTATATTAGAAGAAGTTGCAGACATAGTAAATACATTTAAATGCGTGTCCGTCAGTTGCGATATCAGTTGATATTGATACTATAAAAGGCGGCCGTTGTCACCTATGTAAGCCGGTTTTGTTACGGTTGTGCTAAGATATAAGCATTCTCAAGAACTTTCCAAATTGCGGTTTTCAAACGGGTATAAAGAAGAATGATGTTTATTATTAATCTAAAAAACAATATTTTTATCTAGCAATGAATACACTAGTCTCTAGCAACGGAGAGTTGGTATAAAATCCATCCAAATACGTTGGATTCAAATCCTTTTGAGAGACAGAGCAAAATCTTTAAATATATCCACTGCTATAGTCTGTTTTTTTTTTAAACAAACGAGTACTACGTCTCGCGCACATTTCCGATATTGGCTAAGTGAAGTGGATCATTGTTAGGAGAGGGGCCAACGCCTTTTTTCTTGTTTTGAAATTCTAAAGGCCCGTTCGTATTGAATACTTCTAAAATTTATTGTAGAGAAAATTAAATAATTTTATATATATAAATAATTTCATAAATAAATAACAATAAACAGTATTGAATATAATATAAATATAATATGTATTATGTACAAGAACTTATAAATAAAATAATTAATATATAATTCTTGTGATCTTAAAAACTATCGTCATCATTTCCTTCTGATAAAATTTCAGCAGACACGTGAATAATAAACTGCTCTAACATATTTTTTACTGTCAACTTAGTACATTTTTATTTGGATCTTGATTATCACATGATTGACACATGACGACCATCTTTGGCAATCCGCTTTACCTACTCCTTATAACAAAAGAGTTCGAACGTCATCAATTATATAACTTTTGTTATTTTCTACCACGTAACTGTTCACTTATGCCCGAACAAACTCAACTGACTTGAGCTCACAGTGATATGGTGGCAAAAGTGTGACGCGACTACTTGTGGACTTTGCCATCTCGTCTTTCTCTCAAAACGATCTTTGTTTTGCCTAGCTAAATCCAAAAGTTCCAACTTTTAACACTGATTCGTCACAAGCAATATTTTTCGACTGTGGCCATTCAATAATGTCTTGTTTGCGAGATGAAGTTTAAGGTTGCGTTGTCAAGATTTTCGAGAAAGATACGATGCACTATCTAAAACAATAACTGCATTCTCATTTAATTTAGGCGTCCATGACACTTGGCGTCCGTATCTAATAGTCACCGGTTTATATTAGATTCAAAATGTTTCAATCCTTCTTCTACAAATCCATTAATACTGCCGATATGTACAATTATAATCCGCTTGCCTTTTCCTGCAATAATAATAATAAAGCATCCGTCAGTTAAACAATAACGTGTATTTTTATAGGATATGTGCAAATTTGTTAATAAAAGAAATATAAATAAAGAAAATACAAAATTAAACACAATATATTACCTGACGGATTTTTCAATCCTGTTGATAGCCCATCTAAGTATGCAGATCTCGATGTAGTAACTGTATTGTTAACCCAAACTTTTAATTTTGTATGACCGGCATTTACCCACGTCTCGCCAAAATAATAAATAGTAGTTCCGTTTTGTCTGACTGCCTTTACCTTAATCTAAATATTTTCGTCGCCATAAAATTATATCCGGCACTTTTACTAAAATATTGTTTTTACCTCTTTTATTATAGGAAAAATCCAACCAAATTTTTTAGTGGTTTATACAATATCGATCTTGACATAGACGGGAAATTTGAATCTGCCTTTATGATCAGGTTTACATCTAACGTAGGCATTTCATTTTAAAAATAAAATTTGTGCAACACATTTCGTAGAGCGGTTTTCGTAAAATCTTCATATTTGTTAATAACACTTAGCAATTTCTTTTCTTTTTCGGTGATCATGGTGGTCTCAATTAACGTAAAAAATCAGAAACACATCTAAAAATATCTGTAATATAATATAATTAATTTATAATTTAGTTTTATAATTAAGTTTGATTTATAATTTAGTTTGACGTAATTAGTAATTTACTAATCCGTATTTAATTACTTTATCTATTTTATAATAAATAATTTATAAATATAATTTTTTTTCAATTAAGTAAAAATGTTTACCTTGTACACCGTAGTGACATGAATTCCTATTGAACTTGATATTGTCTGGGCAATTTTATTATGTGATCTGAGGATTATGTGATATGAGGTAGGGAATATTCTTGCACTACCACTACACGGTAGTGTCACGCCACAGCTATATTATGGTTGGAGCACGAATGGGTCGGCTGGAACGGGGAAGGATCACGTTCTCACAGATAACCAGCGTAAAATAACACCTTACTGCTGCTGCGTTGTGTTCTTGTCGTTTCTTTTACTGGTAACGAGGCATTCTATCTTATCACCTGCATTTTGATTCTTAATAGAGGATAGATGATCGTGTATGTAGGCCACGACAAACAATTCACATATATTATTACAGTGCACACTCAGTTGACTCAGCGGGTCAGCGACTACCTGTGCGCCGCACGTGTTTTAGTGAGTGAATTATTGATCGAAGGAGCGAGCCAAACGATATCGTTTGTGCATTAATCATAGCGGACATGTTTCCTGTAGTTAAGTGTACTCAGCGCAATTTGCAATCTACAGAAAAAACAAATTATAAACAATTTTTAAATCATTTAAATATTCTAATTGTAATATTTAAATGATTTAAATTAATAATTAATAATTTAGATGATTTATACATGCTCCAACCATAATATAGCTGTGTCGTGACACTACCGTGTAGTGGTAGTGCAAGAATATTCCCTACCTCATATCATACCGTAGGTGTCGTGAGAGGCAACAGAGAAAAACTGGAACAGGTGATGGGCAGCGGAATCTTCCTGATAACAGCTCAAAAGCGTGGAAACTATGGTAAAATCCCCCCTGCAATTTATGGGGGAGACAGTAGATTTTTATAAAAGCTGCTAAAATTATTACATCTTCATCATCATCATCATCATCATTACAGCCCTTCACAAGTCCACTGCGGAACATAGGCCTCCCCCAAGTAATGCCACAAAGCACGGTCCTGAGCCACCTGCATCCATCGACTTCCTGCATGTCTTACCAGGTCGTCACTCCATCTGGCGGGGGTCGCCCTACACTACGCCTACCGGTACGAGGCTGCCACTCGAGAACCTTTCTTCCCCATCGGTTATCGGTTCTTCGAGCTATATGGCCGCTAAAATAACCGCCTTTTCTTTGAAACCGTACGCCATTGTTGCTTTTATGACAAGTAATAACGTTAATTTCATTTTAGGGATGCGTTTTGTTCGATAAAAACTTCTACGCTTATTACATCTTAATTATATAAAAATGGTATTGTAATTAAGCTAGTATAGGTAAGCGCAAAATGTTACTATAGATAAAAGCTTGGGCGAAAGCGTGCGATGAGTGCGGCATCGTGTGCTCGTTGCAGTACAGTTTGACGCAAGTGCTCGGCGAACCTGTCACCATTCAGCAGTGGAACATCGACGGTCTGCCTGCTGATGACTTTAGCGTCGAAAGTGCCATTATAATTATGTAAGTATTGTATTCAATGCGATTTTATTATTAACTAGCAACCTACCATGACTTTGCCTTGGCAAAATCTATGAATGAATGAACACCGTACAAATATGAGTATAATAATAAAATAAATAATGTTAAACCTACATACATACATAACATCGATTTATCTATGATGTTCATCAAGTAGTCTTACTAATTTGGAACTATGCTATCTTTCATTCGCGCCCTCGCCGTTGTCGCTTTTGGGCGTCAATAGTGACGTGTAGAGTTTATTTTCCCAAAAACAATATCTACTTATGAGTGAACATTATACGTATTATACAGATCCGTAAACAAAAGTTTGCTATAAATGTTTTTATTCCATTACTACACCCCTAAAATAACCGCCTTTTCTTTGAAACCCCACGCCATTGTTGCTTTTATGACAAGTAGTAACGTTAATTTCATTTTAGGGATGCGTTTGGTTCGATAAAAACTTGTTTCCATATAGCGAAACTATTTTGTTAATTTGATTATTTCGTTAATATTAGTTCATTAATGATACAATAGTAACATTTATTTAATAAATTTGTAGCGGCGCTGTCGTCGCGCCGCAAGCGAAACACACCGAAGCCTAAATCACGTTATCAACATTCCGAATCATAAACAGCATATATAGAACATCTCCGAGCTATATCACACGGAGTGTTGGCCGCTCCCCGGGCAGAACACCTTGCCCGGCGGGAGATCTCCCCTTTTCCTTCCACGGCCACAGTGGTGACCCCGACGTGATCTGAACACGCAACCAAACAACCTTCGGAAACTTCAAGCTTCATCATCGTCATAGAATTCCCCACCCATTCGCTCCCGAGAAGATATCATCTACAGTCTTCATATCCTGCAAGCCATCTACCTTCACAAGGTTCATCGCAGCACTGGAATAATAATGCTTCCTGTTCCTTCAAGCTACTCTCTGCGCTACAGTGTTCAGCAAGGCTCTGAGCCTTACTGCTCGCGTCTGCTTCACGGCACTCTCGCAGATTACTTGCCTTCTTCTCGACTCACCGCAGACTACAAGGCAATCTCCTGGCACTTGCACATTCGTCGGCAACGAGGCTGCACTATCGACCTCCGGTCTGAGCAGGGGGGTGATGTAGCGGCGCTGTCGTCGCGCCGCAAGCGAAACACACCGAAGCCTAAATCACGCTATCAACATTCCGAATCATAAAAAGCATATATAGAACATCTCCGAGCTATATCACACGGAGTGTTGGCCGCTCCCCGGGCAGAACACCTTGCCCGGCGGGAGATCTCCCCTTTTCCTTCCACGGCCACAAATTAAACACCTTTATAATTGGAGATCGATTACAGTAGCAGTGATAAAGATTTATCGATATTTGGTAATATCCCATCACTAGCATTTTGTAGATATTTAATAGTAAATAAATGGCTTGGCGTAGAGAACATACTTCCGATGCGCTGCGCTTGGCGTTCAAAGCACGTTCAAAGGGCTAAATATATTAAGAGTAACAAACGAACACGCAGTCCAACTGGAACACCGGGATACAAGGCGTCCATCTTTTGAGGTCCGTTTCCATCTGCGCAATAGACCCTCTTAAGTAAGTAATGTGCGTGCCATAGGATCAGGAAAAAAGCTCAGCACCAGTCTCCCCGAACCCAACGTCGGATCTGGTTTGTTGTTCCTCTACCAACCATGGTTAAGCCACGGGCAGTTGAAAGCGGTGGCTCAATACACACCATCACGCAGCCCACTTCCGGGTTTGCAAATCCATTCAGACCAGCCTCCTTGAGCCCTACACCTCGAGCCAGCCACATAGCGATGTCTTCGTTCTTCGTTATACCTATGTCTATTTACAATTAAGAATCGAAATGTACATGCGTTGTTATACCTGAGGATATCGAATTATGACTGACTCGAGTAAAATATTCTTGTTTTGTTGTTCAGGACAGCACGCCGATGGCCTCTAATGATCGACCCGCAAGGCCAAGCTAATCGCTGGGTCAAGAATATGGAGAAACCAAACAATTTATGTGTGGTTCGAATAACTCAGGCGGATTTGAGTCGTGTTTTAGAAAATGCCGTGCAGTTCGGACAACCAGTACGTGCAATATTTATAATACTTTAATTATTATGTAGCTGTATAAAAAATATATAATTATTTTTATGGTGCAGGTGTTATTAGAAAATGTTTTGGAGGAATTAGATCCTATGTTGGAGCCGCTTTTACAACAACAGACTTTCCGCCAGGGTGGAGCGCTTTGCATTAAAATCGGAGATGCTATTGTTGAGTACAGCAAGGATTTTAAGTAAGTTAACTAGGTATTCTCAACATAACTTCAAATTAATGAAAAATTAAATAAAAGAAGAGTGCACTTTATAAATATAATTGTTAAAGCTTCTATATATACAATATGTAACATAATTAACGCACACCCTCAGACACCCTAATTACTATATATTGTTATAATCATAATACATACACTGAATTTTTAGTTAAACATTTTTATGCACTGATTATTTATCAAATTAGTTATACTAATTCCGGAAGAATGTTGTGGTCACAGTACAAATCCACGAACGTAAAGACTTTAACATGCTTGAAATAAAGTTCATTTTTCTTTATTTTTATTGAATGACAGAATTAGTAATAATACAAATAAAACTGCACTCTTAAAAGTCTCATTGCTTTAAGTTACGGCCCATTTCAGTTTGTTTTGACTGTACAGATTTAGTGTGACTGTAATTTACGTAGTTTTAATTATTTTTGGGATAAAAAATTACCTATATTAAATATGATAGGAATCGATTCAGTAAACGATTCTGAACAAACTACTTTCTCAAAGTGCGTTAATTATGTTACGTGTTGTATATATATATATATATATATATATATATATATATATATATATATATATATATATATATATATATATATATATATATATATATATATATATAATATAAACATTTTTCTCTAACAAACGAGACCTTAAAGTATCATGGGTGTCTTAGGAAGCTACTAAGAGAAACGCAAGGAACATGTCGTAGTCTCAAATTGATGTTATCTCAACCAACGCGTTTAGCCAAGACGACGTTCTACGATCAATAAAAACCACGTAATTTTCACATGATTTAGCATTCAGATATGTCATTCCCATTCATTTTTATATTTCAATGACGGTACGTTAAAGGTGCAATACATCTAGGTCAAGCATGGTGACTGGTAAAGCCTCCACAATGTGGAAGAGATGTGGCTGGAGGCATGCTGTTACAGGCTGATAAAAAAGAGCTGATCAACATAATATTTTTGAAAAAGATCGCGTTTTATGAACACAAATAAGCATAAATATTTAAGCGTAAAATTAAGGGTATTAAATTAAACTATTTCGTGTTGTAGTGGCGTAAGAAGATCCAATTTTTTATGTATGGGTGTAGTGAGGCGACAGGAAATAAAATAGAAGATAAGCAGCAGAATTTTCCTCATAACAACAAAATGCAATTAAAAAAAACTACGGTTACCAACTCACAACAACTATGTGTGGCAACTATGGCAAATATACCTCCTTTGAAGCACCATGAGGCTAGCCTATGTTTAGCAGTGAATTTTGATAGTTTGATAATTAAGCTATTTACGTGTCACGGTGTCAGTATGTTTTTTATTTAAGTAATTTACTTATACGAAAATTCAGTTGACTGAACTGTACCATAGCAAAAAAGTGTTGTTTCATTTTCTAGATTGTACATAAGCACTAAACTGTCAAATCCTCACTATCTACCGGAAGTGGGTGTGCGAGTGACTTTGGTTAACTTTATGTTGGCCAAGGACGGCTTACAAGCGCAGCTATTATCTCGGGTAGTTGCTAAAGAGAGGCCAGACCTTCAACAGGCGAAAACTGACCTCACTACTCAAGGAGCGGAGCACAGGCGTCTTTTGCAAGATATAGAGAAAAAGATTCTTACTGTATTGTCTACTTCCGAACATTTATTAGAAGACGAAGAGGCGGTTCAGGTAAAATTAGTAAAATAAAAATAAAGGATTTTACGAATTAAAGTAGATATGCGAAAATCAGCCATTTTTTTCGCACCAATATCACTTAAGGGCACTTTCCTCAAACACCAGCAACGCACCTACAATTACTTAGGCAATACAGATGTTCAGTGGCTACGCAGATCAATTATTGCCAGGTAAGCCACATGCTGGTTTGCTACTCTGTATAAAAATGATGGAAAACCATTTGAGTTCACCATCACAGTTCACAATTACACACACAAAAGATGGTAACAACAAAACTTTTTGTGGTGGTGGTCACGCTTAGCGGGCAGGTTGGCGACCGCAGTTTTAATTATGTTACTCGTAAGTTGATTCCTGGATAATATAGGGCAGTGAAATCTCTTGAGCCGCAACTGTATAAGTTTTAAAAATATAGCTTGCTGTCTACGTCCATTACGGAAAAATTCCTCCACGATAGGACATTACTGGGAAATAAAGTTAAAAAAGCTAAGCTTGTTAAGGCTTTATGGTTTTAAAACTCAAAATGAATGTTTTGTTTTATAGAAGAGGGGGCAAATGAGAATGCGGCTCACCTGATGGCAATTGACTACCGCCACTCATGTACAACTTCAACACCAGGGGAATTACAGGTGCGTTGCCGACCTATTAGAAAGGATTAAGCTTTTTTCTTGAAAGTTCCTAAGTATCGGTCCGGGAAAATCGCCGGTGGTAAATAATTTCACAGAAGGGTCGTACGAGGAAGAAAACTCCTAGTAAAACGTATGGTGGTGAACCGCCAAGCATCCAGATGTTGTGGATGGTATCGTGAGTTTTCTCGCGATGTGCGTTTTTGAAATTTGGCGGCTGAAATTGATCCGAACAATTCCTCAGAGCACTCCTCGTGCTGAATGCGATAGAAAATGCAAAGAGATGCAACATGTCTTCGCAGCGCCAGTGAATCGAGCCAATCGGAGATGACTCGTTCGCTAACAATTTGAGCCATTCTGCGCTGGATGCGGTCAAGTGGAAGGAACTGGCACTTGGGAGCCCCGGTTCAGAGATAGGAACAGTATTCCATGTGTGACCGAACCTGCGCCTTATACATTTAAAAAATAATTAATCATGTTTTTTACGTAGTTGTATTATAATTTTTCTTGTAGATTTTGGATTCAGCCAAAGATATGGCAAATGAAATTAAGGAAAAGCAAGAAGTAGCTATGAATACGGAGAAAGCTATCGACGCAGCGAGAGATGACTATGTTCCAATTGCTATGCATTCTACCAACTTATTTTTCTTAATCGGTAAAAAATAATATTTTTTAAAAGTGAAGGCCTTCCTACTTTATAAATTATGATAGTCCAAAAGGCAGAGTCTGCTACTATGCATGTTGTGGAATTTTACTTATTTTTTTAAAATAAAATAAGGGTGACAAACGAGCATACTGTCTACCTCATGGTAAGTAGGTGCTGTGGTCCATAGACATCTACAATAATCCTCAATTAAGAATCAAAATGTAGATGCGCCGTCATCCTTAAGAACTAGGATGAAATGCCTCGTTTCCATTCACCATATGAAACACATCAACATTAACGCTGTCCCTTGAATCATATATGAACATTTCGATTGTTTAACTATTGTGTTTATTTCGCAGACAGGCAAGGAAACTTTTAAGCTGCTTTTTTACGCTGGTATTTTGTGAGAGCGTAGTGTAGCGCCCATTCGTGCTGCAACGATATGGCTCTACCATATATAGCAAATACTTTCTAAAAATGTTTTTTTAGTTTCCTCATGATGTTTTTTATCACTGCCATGCACAATGTAAATCAACACTAAAACGTGCCATGATCTAACGTAGGAGATACGTCTAACTCACAGTGCCTACACGAGCAAACGAGTTCAACCCCTGCCGGCACTAATGAAATTGTTCTTATTCATAAAGAACGGCGTGTGGTGGTGGCTTCAGAGAATCCATCACTCTATTTGCTCCAATGGGTGTCGTTAGAGTTCACTAAAGCATATATTCGAAAGATCTGGTGCTTTCCGGTAAATGGCGGTATTACAATATCAAAACCCTCCTGCAAAGAAAGGCCCGTGACCAGCATAGACTAGTACGAGCTGATAAAGACAAAAAAGAATCATATTGCACTACATATTCTGCGAGGCAAGTTCTTCTGCACATTTGTGCACATTATTAGTATGATCGATGATTAGGAAGATTGTTGTTTTTGCGTTTAAGTGTAATAAAATTGTCCCTTTACTATAAATACGGGACTTTCTCAAAACTTGACCATTTCTGATATTCGAACTCTAGATCTAGTTAAGACTAACGGACGACACATTCACGATCAGTTCAACTGATCATTCCAACTGATCAGCTTAAACTAGTAATGTTGATATTTTTTTAATAAAACTCCGATATTGATATATTTATAATTATCGATATATCGAAAATCCGATATTTTAAAAAATATCAACAGTTTGAACAGATTAGTTTTAATGATCGGTTGAACTGTGTTCGTGTCGAGTGTGGAAACCATAAGCTTTGTTCGCTGGGTTAAAAGTTCGTCCTTTTCCCTGCTTCAAAAAAGAGGATTTTTCAACAAGTATTCAACGCTATCAATTTTTTATGTATGTTTACCGATTTCTCGATAACGTATAAATCGATTTCAATTTTTTTTCCTAAATAGACTAAATTTCAAGAGTGATCTCACTTAATTTAAGAATTACGCCCCTAATGATAAAACATAGGTTATTATAGTTTTATTTTGACAATATTTTAGAATTGTACCTTGAGCTTGTGATATTGCATAATCTAGTCAAAGGATTTAAATTATTGTTTTAATAAGAATGATTTAAATAAGAAGTAAGTAATTTTCGACTTCAAAAACATATATCACCTTCGAGACACTATGTCTTAGTATTAGTTTATTAAAGTATTTCATATGTTTTAGTTTTTAAAGTTGGTTTTTACTATGTATTAAATTTCATTTTTTCGATAACATGTTTTCGATTTCTTAATTTATATGAAACATGTTTTACAAAATTTTCCCTAGCGTCTTTGGCAAACATCGACCCCATGTACCAGTACTCTCTGGGATGGTTCGAGGGATTATTCACGGCAGCCATCGACAACACGGATAAAGTGGATAACATACAGGAGCGTTTGAAAATATTACGCGCCTACTTCACGTACTCGCTCTACACTAACATCTGTAGGAGTTTATTTGAAAAGGTATCTGTTAAAGATCTGAAAATTAATTATCGTTAGTTTAAATGTTTTGTTTTTAATGCACTTGAAATTTATCTCATAATACTGTGAGAGCGTTCTAAAACATAAACAGTACATGTTCCCAGAATCGAATCAATCACACTAAAACCGACTTCAAAAAAGTGGAGGTACTCAAACCGACTGTATGTTTCTTTTATGTGTGTTACCTCAGAACTTGTTTTAGGTGAACCAAATTTGTTCATTCTTTTTTTATTTGAAACCCGTTGGTTCTCAGTTTGATCAAGATTAGACCCGTGGTTTTTGAGTTATCCTTAATAATGCGTATTTAATTGACCTCGAAAACATTAATGATGTTCTCATTTTATTTATATTGTAGTCGGTTGTACAACATTTTTAATTTTATTACTTGTTTCATAATAAAATTAAAGTGAGAAATAAACTGACATTAGGTACACCTGATTATTAGCGGCTACTACAGTCAATGAACGCTTGCAGGTCGTTAGTCGCTTCATTATTAAAAAAAAATGCTAAACTTATGCTCAAGTAATCAATTTAAATACTGTTAAGAATACTACAAAAATAACTACTATAATGTCGATTTTTTTATAGAATAAGGGTGGCAAACGGGCACACAGTCCACCTGATGGTAAGTGGATACTGTGCCTATAAACATCTAAACTCTGATTTTTCATTCCGTAGAATTCTGACAGCTATCATTTTTTGACATGTCAGAGATTACAAACCTTTTTGGCCGGGCACATTTTTCAATTTCAATACGTGTCTGAACATCTGAGTCTATACATACATTTTATTTGTTAGTAAATGTATCCATTTTATTAAGTGCGGTACTCTACATGGTTTTACGGCGAGTGATAATTACGTCCCTTTTCATTACAAACAGTAAAAAATGCACAAGTAAAAATAACATATTTTTATTAAAATCTTTAGTCATCATTAATACTTATATCACTATCTTCATCATCGTCATCATCGCTGACATGAATTATTAAAGAGTCTGCGACTGTGTCAATGAAATCGTCGAGAGTGCACATCTTATCTTCTTCTTTGATTGTATGGCTGATACATTCTTGCCATTTATCAGGAGTAATACTACTTATACTTTCCAGTAATAGTTTTTTAACTTCCGCCATTTTAAAACTTCTGTTGTGTCTTGCGACATGCCCCTTCACTTGAGCCCACACCAATTCAATAGGGTTGAGCTCACAATGATATGGGGGCAGTCTAAGCACAGTAATGCCTTGTGCTGTGGCCATCTCGTCTACAATACACTGTTGATATTTGTATTTCTCCTGACCCACAATTTCCAATAAATTAACTTTTAGCATTTTTTTCTTCAAAATTTTAATTTTTTTTGAAGTCAACCACGCTTGGATATCGCCTTTTCTCCATGCACTCGTTGGTACTTTTTCGACCTTCCTCGAATGATAGGGAGCATTATCCAACACTACTACCGAGTTTGGTTTTAATTTTGGAAGTATTTTTGTGAACCACTCCTCAAATACTTCCCCAGTCATCTCCTTGTGGTAATCTGCCAAGCCTTTTTTTTGCCTCAAAAACTAATAAACCATCTTCCAAAAATCCTTCTTCGCTCCCTATATGGCTAACTATAAGTCGCCCCCCCTTTGCCTGTTGGTGCCTTAAGCCCTGTTGTCAAGCCATCGAGGAAAGCTTGTCGTGAAGATTGAATGTTGGTATCACACCACACTTTATTGACGGTATGTCCTGAAAATAAAAATATATTTAATATTTCACTTATACATGAGGACAGTTATATATGCATATAAATTGAAAAATATTACCTGTAAACATGGATTTCTTTATTTATTTATTCATTTTGGTAACAAAAATTTATTAACAAAGTTAATTTAAGTATTACATAAGTACAGAATTCGATTTCCGACTAATACTTTGAAGAAAAGATAGGTTATAAAAAGTTAATTACCACATAATTCAATACTTGCCTTCGTTTACCCACGTTTCATCCTGGTAATATATAAGCCTGCCTTCTCTTCTATATTGTTTAATTTGGTGCAAGTATTTTTGACGCCATAGTACTATCTCCTTGCGATCTGTTAGCGCACTTCGACGTTTGCGACTTGTGTATTTAAAATTTAAATGCTTCAATACTTTTCTTAATGTTGATTTCGACATAACAGGCATGTCTGGATCACCAGTTATCTCTTGGTGAATCTGAAATAAGCATTTACATTACAGTTAAAATGTAGACAGGCAACACAGGTTAAAGTATAGTTTTAAAACAATGGGGGATGTCAGCAACGAGGTGTTAAAGAATTAGCAATAACTTTACCTTTTCAATAGTCGGAATCTCGTTCCTGTAGAAAAACGCGTGAACCTTTCGTCGAGTTGCGGCGAAAGTGAATTCGTCAAATTTTTGTATGAAAGATAGTTGAGGTCCACTCTTTTTCGGCTTTTGAAATTCTTTTTGTGTCTTTATATTCTTTGGTAATTTTATAGACACTTGACAGACCCACGCCAGTCATCTCAGAAGTCTTTTTAGCACATTCCGTTGCACTCCAATCAGTTGTTTGCGGCCAATTTTCTATATTATATTTGTAAATATTTAGAATTATGGTCTTTTCGTTGGGCGTAAAAGCACCACGAGGACGCTTCTTTCTGGGAGAAAGAAAGTCTAAGCCTTGTGCTCTGTCAGATGGGGCTGCTTCCCGGGAAGGGCCAGGTTGTGGCTCCATAACGTTTATAAAAATCAACAAACGATCACAAAACGAAAGGTCAACAAGAAAAAACTTAACAGAATAACAGAAACTTAACAAATATAACAAGATAATAACAACAAATAGCAGCAAACACCGAGAACACATGCGCATTCGAGCATTCAAAGAAGTCGAATGAAAATCAATCAATGTGACAGACGCGACGTGACAGCTAACATTTTTTTAAAAGGTTTTTTAAACCTGGAATTAGTAGACAGTGATGCCAGCTAAAGAATAAAATATTAAGTAATTAAAGTTAATTAGATATATTGTTCGTGATATTGAAATATTTGTTATTTTTGTATTAGGTGACTTGTATAAGTAAATATTTAGATTTGCCTTTTTGTAGGTGAAACATAAAAAATACGTAGCATTTTATTATTTATTGCCCTCAAATGGTTCAAATTTGTCTCTTTTTCGGTGGAGAACTTTTTTAGTAGCAACACTTACGAAATGTCAGAATTCTACGGAATGAAAAATCAGAGTTTACATTTATTCTCGATTAAGAATCAAAACGCAGATGCGTTTTCACTCCTGAGGACAAAGATGGAATGCCTCGTTTCCAGTAAAAAAGGGTCTCCGGATCTCTATACTTACCATACAAAAAAAGCTGAGCTGCAATTTTAAGCTGGTATTCTGTGAGAGCGTGGTGCTTCCCCGAACCGACCCATTCGTGCTACAACAATAATATATCTGCAGAGTGACTATCACGTATACGAGTTATGCTCTCCACACCGAATTTCAATGAAGACAGCACTCTATTTCATCACTCTTATAATCCTTTGGGTTGCCAATCCTACACGACTGAAGAGATCAGATGCAGGACCAACGGCTTTACGTGCATTCTGAGGCACGAGGATAAAACACGACCAATTCCTTGACTCCAGGCTCCTACTGAGTGCATTTCTTGACAGGAGAACCCAATGACTGATTTTTGGCCGGACCAGGGATTTACGCCATTAGACCATTAGACCAACAAGCCAGTAAATCAGTCTATTTACTTATTATCATACGCGCCAAACAAGTAATTTTTCTGTTTCTGGCTGTTTTTGAATATGCAATTTACGTACATAAAACGCGTTTATCTAATTCCGGTCCGAAGGACATTGTTATAGCAATATCGGCTTCATCAAGCTGCTCGTTCTTTATACATTTCAACGGAAAAGCTATTTATTCCTTTTATGCTTAATTTTGCTACCACATGACTTGCTAATTATGCTTCTTTAGAACTTAAGATGGGTACGTTTTTATGAAGATAATAATTAACTACAAAATGTTATTAACCGCGTGTACACGTGGTGGAGCCATGCTGCAGTTATATTAGAATTATAGTTGTAGCACGAATGGGTCGGCTTGACCGGGGAAGGACCACGCTCTTACAGAATACCAGCGTAAAATAGAATCTTAATGCTGCTATGTTTTGTATGGTGAGTGTAGAGAACCGGAGACCCTTTTTACCTAGGTGGATTGAAAAGTACTCGGCCTAACACAGATCCATTCAATTCTAAAAATCAAATCTACCCACATTACTTAGTTCAGTTCAGACTAGTTCATTGTGTGAAGTTCGAAACGTGTGCGATAATTAGTTGTGATTTTATAAATTTATTAACAAAGTAATCGGACATAATTTCCGCGAATGGAGCAAATCGAGCAGCGTGCCGTCATTAAGTACCTCCATAAGAAGGGGCTATCATCAAAAGCCATCCATGATGACATGGTCAGTACATTAGGCGATTGTGCTCTGTCATATTCATCCGTCAAAAAATGGATAGCAGAATTTAAGCGTGGTAGAGAGAGTGTGAAAGATGAACCCCGCTCTGGAAGGCCTTCGACGTCAACTACTGACGAAAATATTAAAAAAGTACTTGATTTAATAATGGGAGACCGCAGATTAAAAATTAGAGAGATAGCCGAGATTATAGGCATCTCTTATGAACAAACTCAAAACATCATTGTCAACGAGTTGGGTTTCCACAAGGTGTCTGCGAGGTGGGTTCCGCGACTACTTTCAGTTAAACAAAAAAGGACGCGATTGACTATTTCACGCGATGATGATGATGACAGATGACTTTTTGAATCGTTTTGTTACTATGGACGAAACATGGGTTCATTACTGTACACCGGAAACAAAACAACAATAAAAACAGTAGAGAAGACCTGGTTCACCACCCCTAAAAAGGCTAAGTCGATTTTGTCGGCAAATAGGGTGATGGCTTCAGTATTCTGGGACTCGAAAGGTGTGATTATGATTGATTATCTTGAAAGGTGTCAGACTATAAACTCTGATTACTACTGCACCTTACTACGTCGTTTACGAGAGAAAATAAAAGAAAAACGTCGAGGAATGCTCAGAAGAAAAGTCCTGTTTCATCAAGATAACGCCCGTGTTCACACGTCAGTACAGTCAATGGCTGAAATTCACAACTGTGGCTTTGAACTGTTACCGCATCCGCCGTATTCACCTGATCTGGTACCATCACACTTCTTTCTGTTCCCTAACCTAAAGAAGCACTTGGGAGGTCAAAAATTTTCGACAAACGACGAGGTCAAAGCAGCTGTAGACGCATATTTTGACTCTAAGGAAGAATCATTTTTTTTTCAACGGTCTAAATGCTTGGAAGGGGAGGTGGCAAAAGTGTATTGAACTTGATGGTGATTATGTAGAAAAATAAAAATATAACTGATTTAGTATGTGTTTATTTTCTTGGTTAGGCAGAGTACTTTTCAATCCACCCTCGTACTGGAAAAGAGGCATTCCATCTTAGTCCTCACGGGTGACAAGGCATCTGCATTTTGATTCGTAATCGAGGATAAATGTAGATGTCTATAGGCCACAGCTTCCACTTACCATCAGGTGGACTGTGTGCTCGTTTATCACCCTAATTCTATAAAAGAAAGTGGGATATGTTCCCTCATAATACCCATACTTCTGTTATACTATAAAAGGTGTTTAGGGACCTTGTTTTAGGCAATTTTTGAATAGGCGTATGAACTTGTTAATTGTGATGGGCTGTTACTAGGACGGTGATTCGGTTTTGTTATTTTGCTTTGAACTGTGAAAAGAAAAGGTAAAATGAACAGTAGATTTTTCACATATTATAATTAAACTTTATTATATTAATATGCACGTTAAGGTTCAAAACTTTATTTATTTTTATTTATATTTATTTATTTCAATCATCCAAATAATACGTAATATTGTGATTGATGAATTTTTCTAAAATATTTTAATACATCTTTTAGGACAAAATGGTATTTTCGTTATTGTTAACCATTACAATAATGATAGCGGAAGGTCGCCTCCAGCAGAATAACGTGATTTTCCTTCTGGGCGGCGCCCAACCGAGGCAGATACCGCCCAACCCGGTGCAGTTTATTAGTCCGCAGGCGTGGGCGGAGTTAAACGGGTGAGCTTTGAAGGATATTTATGAAAGGCTCTTTGCTGCGCTTCAACGAGTTTTAGTAAGCAAAAAGTTTACATTGTTTTGATAAGTATCAATGTTAGAAAACACTGCCAAGTATTGATAAAATTATCGTTGACCCTAATCTTTTTTTTATTATTCCTTTTTCGAAAAATATTTTAGTAATTTATTACAATTATATAATTATTGTAACTTTTGAGCCATATTTCTATAATTTTTATTCGACTGTTACGATACGATATCCATCGTATTAAAAGGAGTATTTTCTTAAGGAGAAACACACACACACAGCTCCAGACCGTGAGATCAGTAATCGAATGAGGCGTAAAAAGTTCTTGGTAAATTCACCGAGTATAGGCTGATACGCAAAACAACACAGCTTAAAAACTTTTCAAATGAACTCGTAAACAGCACAGCTGCTGCTTAAGCTGAAACCACGGTCACCTCATCTCTCATAGCTAGAAATCATTATTTGTTATTAAATTGCACCTTTAAGATTATATACCCACTCTTGAATCGTCTTTATGCCTTCGTTTATCTTTTCCGATCTTTGTTCTTATATCAACTTCTTATCGAAATACATTACAAATTTATTAGAGGAATAAGAATACAAAAGATAAATTCATTGGGAAATCAACCAGATCAATATCAGTATTGAACTAAATAATTACAAGATGCTTGAATATAACACAATATACTTTTTACAACTCAATCATCATCATCATCATCACAGCCCTTCACAAGTGCACTACTGAACATAGGCATTCCCCAAGGAATACCACAAGACACGGTCCCGAGTCACCTGCATCCATCGACTTCCTACATATCTTACCAATTTCTCACTCCATCTAGCGGGGGGTTGCCCTACATTTCGCCTTCTGTTACGAGACTGCCACTCGAGAACCTTTTTTCCCTATCGATTATCGGTTCTTTGAGCTATATGGCCGGCCCATTGCCACTTCAGCTTACTAATCCGTTGGGCTATACCTAAAAACCTGAAAACAAGATTTAAACTTGTGCGTGTTTCAAGGTATAACTTACTGTGGTCCTTTACTACGCTAAAGGTCACTCAGCGATCTATAAAGAGGGCTATACTGGGGGTTTCTCTGCATGATAAGCTTAGAAAGGAAATGCGCAGTAGAACCTGAGTTACCGAAAGCACAGCCAAATAAAAAAAGCGAAAATAACACTAAAACAAAAAATCTAGTTTAGTGGTAAGCGATGAAATTCAGTGACTGTGTGTAAAAAATATATGGCGTACTCCTACAAGTGGAGTCGTTTGCACGACATGTTAACATAATACCTTCACACCCTCCTGCCCTTATCCCAAGTTATTTGAAGCCGACATGATACGAGTATGTCCTCTGTGTCTTCCGCTCTCCTCTATCAGCCGTTATTTCAACGCTCATTTTTTTTCTCACGCAAATCATCCTTCAAAAATTCCATCTATATTTTCTTAAACCTCAGACTACTCTTATAGCCATCAATTTTTTTTATAGAATAAGGCTGACAAGCGAGCACATAGTCTACCTGATGGTAAGATAATGCTGTGGCCCATAGACATCTACATTTATCCTCGATTAAGAATGAAAACGCAGATACGTTGTCAGCCCTAAGAATTAAGATGAAATGCCTCGTTTTCAGTAAAAGTGGGTCTCCGGTTCTCTACACTCACCATACGAAACACATCAGTATTAAACTGCTATTTTACGCTGGTATTTTGTGAGAGCGTGGTCCTTTCCCGGTCGAGCCACCTCATTCGTGCTACAACCATAATATAGCTAAAGTGTGAATCTACCACGTATAAATTTATATAATATATATTTTATATAGTGGTGTCCATGTAAAACGGCCCGAAAGCAACTAAAAACGATAATCTCGTGGTAATAATATATGCATAAACGCTCACGCCTGTCACCCAGAGCGGTAGGCAGAGACTTCCATTTAGCACGATCCTGACATACCTCTGTCGCCTCTTCCACATCCATATATTTACGCATACATGCTCGTCGGTTAAGGGTACTCTTAATTTGGCCCATTTTTAATATATCGCCAATTTGGTCGACAAACTTTCGCCTGGGACGTCCCTTTCCAACTCTTCCATTCACTTACTCTTAGTAACTATCTAAGCTAATCTTATTTCGAATGACCCTATTCTATTTAGAGTATGTTAAGGTTTTAAAAAGTTGGAAGATTTAGTTATATAATAGAAAATTTCCCTATTATAGGTTGAATGAATATGAAAAGTTCAGTGGTATTGTGAAGCATTTCACTTCGAACGTCTCTATGTGGGAGGCATACTGCGACACGCCCGACCCACAAAACCAGCCATTACCCGAACCTTGGAACACCAAACTTGATGAATTTGAGGTCTGTTTTTGATTGAATAAACGACATAGCTTATTATAAATTACAAAAAAAAAGTAATTAACTACTTTGTCGAGTAGTTAAGGGTACAGACAGTAAAATTACTTACAGAAATAAAGAGAACATTTAAATATTAATGTATCACCAAATATATATAGAAAAGTTTATGCTTGCTCTTAATTGCTACCTCTAAATTATGAGAAATATATAAAAGAATAAACGAATTATATTTTTCTAATTTATTTTAGAAATTAATGGTACTACGTTGTATGCGAATGGATATGATGGTGCCGGCCGTGCAAAGTTATGTTGAAGGTATGCAATACTTTATTTTTCAGGTATAACGAACGAGTAACGAAAGAAATTCCTTTTAAAAAGCATTGTCTAGAATATCGGAGATTCTCGTGTTGTGAGAGAATTTGCGTTATCTAAATATAAATTACTCATGCATCTAGATTCAAAATAGATTTTTAGGCCATACAAATACTTCGAAAAATGTATTTCGTGTTTTAACAGATATACGAGTATATATATATATATATATATATATATATATACTCGTATTTGCTACGACTACTATTTATTTCATGTTTAATGATAATTTCATTATACAAAAATGAATAATTACTGTTTTACAGTTTTATTTCTCTTTTAAGTTTATTTTTTTTACATAAGTATATTTTCAAAAGGTTAGATAAATTGTAAATGTTGAGAGAAAACTAGTATATTTGAGAGTTTCTTGCCGCTTCTTCTCACAAGGTCTCCCCACAGTACTGACTTGTTGAATTGATGGCGTATCCAGTTTTTGACTTTCAATAATTGCTTTGTAAACGCTAATTTTGAAGACAATTTTTGCGAACCGAAATATATGAGTGTATGCGCTGGTAATATTATTACTTATTCTACAATAGTATGTATTAGTTTAGTATAAACCAGCTGACATATTATCTGTCTAGAAAAAAAATTGGGTGTAATAGCACATAAATGAATAAAGTAGAAGCCCATGGCGTAAATATTTTCCAAGTAACCTGTTATAAACCCATTATATTTTCAGATAGTATAAAATTATTTATGACTTTTAATAACAATTTCAAGTTTTATGCAATTCAAATAAGGGAAGTAAGTACTCGTAATTATCGGTTACAGCACAACTGGGACGGCAGTTCATTGAGCCACCGCTGTTTGATCTAACCTCTTCATACGCGGAATCACACTGTTGCATACCATTGCTTTTTGTCTTGACACCCGGCTCAGACCCTATGGGAACACTGCTGAAGTTTGCCGACGACCAGGTATGTGTATACTTTACTTGCTATGATGGATCAAAATCAAAATGACACTTGTTCTTATAAAACCAATACTTACAAAAGCATTAAGACCGAAGAACCAACTATTTTTATAAAACAAGTCTAAATGTAGCCCTATTATTTAAAAAAAAAGGTTACCTAGTGGAGCCAAGCTGTGCTGTTAAATTAAGGCTGCTTAGTCAATATCATCATCATCATCATTCTAGCCCTTAACCAATATACAGTGAAATATAGTCCAACTCCAAGCAAAGCACCAAAGCACAGTCCTCAAGTCACCTGTATCCACCGACTTTCTGTATGTCTTACAGAATCGTTATTCCATCTAGTAGTGGGGAGGGGGTCCCAAAATTCACTTGCTGATATGCACCTGTCATAGTATACAGCGTAAAATAGCAGTTAATGGTGTGTTTAATATGATGAATAGCAAAATTCGGATATAGCACATAAGCAATAAAAAATATGCGTAATTAAGGAATTAAGGAAGTAACTTCTGAGTTTGAACTTGGTTACAATGGGCGGAAATAGCTATATACCGTCAAGTAGCCCTAAAAAAGTTGTCATATATCTCTATATACCACAACTACACGTTTTAGCTAACACGTGTTTAGAAATATTGATAAAAGTTACGGCCTATATATGTCACACCTGAGCACAGGCCTCCTCTCACTTCTAAGAGGAGTTTAGGGCAAGGAAGTGTCATACATATTGGTAGAAAAGTTATAATTTATTAAAAATAAAATTCAGTGCAGCGTAAGTAGTCTCAACACGCCCAATTCTCGACCGTAATGGTAATTTCCAAATAATTGGAAGCACAGATGTGTATAGTTACAGAAGCACCTCCTCGGCCATGAGGTTGATACTATAATAAATAAAGGCATCCGGCCATGCGATCGCTAGTCTGGCAGTAATTCAAGCAAAGCGGTAACAGTAAATCTTCTCAATGCGGGAAACATCCATCTAATAGAAGACATGATATAGTATACTGATGAGAGTATCGTTAACTTTTATACCTACATACTATTTCCCATATTTGCATCAATAACGTACGTGCTAAAACCACACTGCAGTCATATCTGCTGCTGTATATCAAGAATGCAGCACAAATGGGTCGGTTCTACCGGAGTAGGATTACACTCTCACAGAATACCAACTTGATACAGAAGGAAAAAGCTGCGATTCCTATGGTGAGTGTAAAGACCGCTTACACTTTTTATTGGTAACGAGGCATTCCATCTTAGTCTTCAGGAGAGACAAGACATCAGGTAAGTTGTGTGTTCGCTTGTCACCCTTATTCTATAATAAATATATAATGATGCTTATAGTTTAATAACGAAGTGAGAACATTTGTGATATTTTAATCACGTAAACTTGCTTGTAGGGTTTCGGATCATCGCGCCTGTTCTCTTTGTCACTTGGTCAAGGGCAAGGTCCAATAGCAGTGAAGCTCATTGACGAAGGAGTTCGTAGCGGCACCTGGGTTGTTTTGCAGAACTGTCACCTGGCGAAAAGCTGGATGCCCATGTTGGAAAAGGTGTAGTTTTAATTTCCTACACCTAATATAAAAATAAAAAGTTTAAAGCCATAATAGCGAGATTGTAATGCTTTACTACCTGTTGGATAAAATTGCCACTGGATATTGCTTTTGACCTCTACTTTCTTAAACATCATCAGTGTACAATGGACATGACTTCGAAAGGCTAGTGATGTCATCCTACATGCAAAGAGTATTTTAATAATGTTACATAATGTTTAATTATCAGATAACTTTCGTAAACTGAAAATTGGCGCAACTACTTTTGGATAAAAGTAAATGAAATAAACATTTTTAAACTTTCGAAAATCTAATCATTAAGTACAACACGGACATGGGTAACACCGCGAGGCAAAAAAAAACTAGTGTATTACAAGGTGTTGAGTTCGTTTTCTAGTAACAAATGTATCATTAATTAATATGATTACTCGAGTACAATATACAAATACAGATACTATCTGGATTTTTCTTTTCTTAATAAAACAAATGGGTATTTTGCAGATTTGCGAAGGCTTATCGCCAGACAACACACATCCGGACTTTCGACTTTGGTTGACGTCTTATCCAGCAGACCATTTCCCTGTTTACGTATTACAAAACGGTGTCAAAATGACCAACGAACCGCCTCAAGGTACGTCATATTGTTATATGAATTTTGAGAAAAATTATAATTCGTTATAACTTTGTTTAAGTAAGTTTGACGATAAATATTTCGAAAATTTATTTTCACCGAAGTAAAACCAACAAGCATTAGGACACTTCCTTGACCTGAAACCCCTCTCAGAAAGGTGAGCCGGCCTGTGCCTATTTCTGGGACTTATATAGGCTGTAACTAACTTACATCGGTGATATATTGAAAAAGAGAACTTTCTGCAATGCAACGACTTATAAAAAGTCATGTATTAGATTTGAGTTAGCAATTTGAGTCAGCAAACAAAGTTAATAGAACTGGGCTGTATATAGGAAAGGTACATAAAAATAAGGAAATTATGTTCGTAACCATATTTTTAGATCATATAGTAGTTCAGTAGACAAAACTCTGAGTATTTATGTCAGGTGTTATTTAGGTTTACTCTTGCTCTAAACAAAATATATTAATGATTTCTTATATTTACGCGAACACTACACATTGAAATAATACTAGTTTTCTTAGTTTCCCGCCCGTGACCATGAGTGCTGTAAAGCGTTCGAAACGTCGGGTATTTAAAAAGTTAAATATACGCGATAAATTCCGTAAAAACTAGTATTATTTCAAAATATATTAAGTATCTTCATACTACAGGTCTTCGTGCAAACATAACGCGCTCGTACCAAAGTGATCCCATAAACGACCCGGAGTGGTTCGAAGGCAACAAGCAGCCGGAGGTGTTCAAGAAGCTTCTCTTCGCTCTCTGTTTCTTCCACGCAGTGGTGCAGGAACGACGACAATTTGGTCCGCTGGGCTGGAACATTCGATATGAATTCAACGAGACAGATCTAAGGATCAGTGTAACACAACTTTACATGTTCCTCAACGAGTATGATGTAAGTCAGGATATTTTTAAAGTGCAATTCTTATTAATTATAGATTACTTACTAAAAGCCATTTTAACCAGCACCGTTATCCACAAAGTAATATTAAATTGGTGACAGAGTTCAAGTGAAAAGAGAAAAAAATAAAGTTGACAATATTCTGCAACAAGAAGATGTTAAAAATGAGACAAAAGATAAAAGGAAAAAAATAGCTAGCAATAATCAATTTATATTGTGAAATATTTACAAATACTATTGAATGTCTAATAACCTTCTTAAAACGTTCTTGCCGAATTATAAACGTGATAAAATGAATAGGTTATATTTGAAAAATATTTTGTTATATTTTTTTAAATATATATGTTGCACGCTTTACACGATTATGTTGTACGAATCAACGTATAAATATGAAAACAATTAGAAACAGCGTGGTTACGATTACTTCATTCTCAGGGGTTATTATCATTCGTGTATACCTTAATGCTGATATATATTTCCAGCACAAGATATAAGCGAGGGAACTATCCTTGTTCTTCTCGACATGCATTTCACTACATAAACATCTCGTCGTTATTCCCAAAGGTTTTCTGCTACGGGCTTACCGCAAATGCAGTATAATGGTTTGATAGTTATCCCAGTGTGTAATTTCAGAACAGGGCAACAACGCTGCAAAGCAAGTTTTCCAGGAAATCAATACGAAGAGAAATAGCTCAGGGGTCTATAATAGGGCTATTGCTTTTTATTGTATATAGTGCGGATATGGTAAAGCATATTATATATTGTAAATACCATATTATGTACGCTGTTGTTTTGCAATTATACATCTCTTTCAAGTCATCAGAAACAAAATTGCCATAGATAAGCTTAATGAAGTATTACAGTGAATTTATAATTGGTCATGTTATAACATCCTTGTTTTAAATCAACAGAAAATAAAATACCAATTATACTAAATATTACAAAAATAGTTGCAAATGATCACTAAAGTAATTATAAATGAAAACTGATTGAAAATGTATCAGAGGCGCGAAATCTATGTACACTAATGGATGAGAGCTTACGATTTCAAAATCACGTTTAGGTGTAGTGAAAAACTATTTATACAAGTTCAAAGTCATCATGTATAGAATAAGAGATTATATAGGATCCGATTTCCGTACTAAGCTCTGTGAAACATTAGTTCTTTCAAAATTAGACTATGTAGACTGTGATAGCGCCTACGATAACCTTGGACTCTTGATGCGCTCACAGGATCTCATACTGCGCGTCAAGAATGCCTGCGAAAGATACTGTTCTGACGTACATGTTTTTGGCATATGAGTTCTGTTTTTTATGAACTACAACAAAAATAAATGAACCGAAAGCAATATACACAGCTTTTTAAATTATTATCCTATTTTACATTTGTATTATAAAGCCTGTCATGTAAATCTGTATACATAGTCATAAGCTATAAATATAATATAGTGTTGAGATTGAATGTAAATAATATTTTATCGTGATAAAACAAAATCGCTAACATTTTAACTTATAAGCAATAAAATAAAAACCGTAATTTAATAGTGTTAATAAATCTACCGTAGAGTACTGACGGTATGTCCCCGGATTTCAACCTCTGATTTTGTTAATTTAGAGCTGTTTATTGTGTCAGAGAAGGTTCTTAAAACTAGTTGCATTTTATGACTAAGACTTCCAAAATTGAAGAGCGACCTGAGACTACAAGATCGTAACAATTTATTGTTAGGGTTGCATCGATACGCCTTTTTACCGATATGATACCGATACAAACACCCTTATAAAAATATAGGCGATACCGATACGCTCAGTGAATTTATGTATAAAATATAAATAAATAGAGAGTTATCTAAAATGAATTGTAAAGGTATATAGTATTAGTAATTAAAAATAATAATTAAGAAGATATTTTGATGCTAGTAATTCGCGCAATTTTTTTCAAGTTTGGCTATAAAACTTTATTGTGCTATAAAATTGCGTCTTCTGATACATAAACAGACCTTGAATTTAAATTAGCCGATACCAATATATCGGCAAACCCAAAGTATCGCCTATATATCAATATATTAGTATCGGATGCAGCTCTAATTATTTATAATTATCATCATTACAGCCCTTCACATGTCCACTGCTGAACATAGGCCTCCCTCAAAGAATGCCACAAATCGCGGTCATGAGCCACCTGCATCCATCGACTTTCTGCATGCCTTACGAAGTCGTCACTCCATCTAGTGGGGGACCGCCCCCCACTTTGCCTACGATTGTCGATTGTTGGTTCTTCGAGCTATATAGCCGGCTCATTGCCTAATCCTTCGGAATATGTCGGTCACTCTGGTTCTACCGCGGATACCTCATTTCTAAGTTTATCACGCAGAGAAATGCCAAGCGTAGCTCTCTCGATAGCTCGCTGAGTGATCTTGAGCTTGCTCATAATTATAATACCTTGAAATATTGTAGGTAATGATGAATAAAGATATATTTTTAATAATTATGAAATAGGAAAGGAATCTGTTTGTCGTTCTTTATTTTATCTATATTTTAATACGCAGCAAAAAAAGTCTATCGTCTCCAGACGTGATAGTTTTCTTAAAACATGACGAGCGCTTAGCACGTTAACGACCTAGTCGTAAGTTAATTCTGTATCAAAGCAATATTTACACCCATAGGACATTCAATTTGTGGCTCTGCGCTATCTAACGGGCGAGTGTAATTATGGCGGTCGTGTGACCGACGACTGGGACCGGCGCTGTCTGAATACTATTCTCTACAAGTTCTACAACCCACGCGCGGTGCAAGAACACAATTATCCGCTTGATCCTTCTGGTATGTATGATAGGCGTAGAGCTGGCCTCCACTTTGACTAACGTCTTAAATAAAAAGCTATATTTTTATGTATGGTTAACTTATAAGTTAAATAAGAAAATCACGACTTAAAGAAAACTTTTAATTCTAACGTGAAGCGCGTGGAGACACAAGGTAACCCTCTACACGGTCCCCAAGTTAGGACTTACGTCTTTGTCCTCGAGGGTGATATCGCTTTTACATTTTGATTCTTAATCAAACACGTATTCAAGTATCTACGTTCCACATTATCTACTTTAGATTAAGTAGAACTACTCTTTTGTCACCCTTACTTCTAGAAAAGAAAATTGTAATCGCCACGCTGTAGAAGCAATAAGCGCTAAGAGAGCACCTCGTAGCGTAATCGTAGCAAACTGCTACGAGACGTAGCTCGTAGACGTATGATTTTTTATTTTTTTTTTTTTTTTTTTTTTTTTATTTTTTTATTTATATTTTTGAATAATTTGATTGTACCTTTTCTTTTTCTTTTACGCTTATTACTCTGATATCAATATCCTAACCCAAACCTTTTATATCCCAGGCGTGTACTACATCCCCACATTAAAGGAGCATTCCGACTTTGTGTCGTTTGCGCGCTCTTTGACGGTGGCAACACCACCGGCTGTATTTGGATTTCATACCAACGCCGATATAACCAAGCACTTCCGTGAGGCCGAACAACTACTAGACACAGCCATTCTTACCCAGGTTAGTTTAATTATCTGGTTTGTATATTTTTATGATATTTTTAAACTATTAGGTAATTAATAAATTCTTAAGTAGAAAATGTAAAATGTATTTTATATACGACTTTATCTAGATAATATATACAAATTGATCTTCTACGAAAACTAAATAAAATATACTTATTCGCGCGAGAAATATGTCTCAGTATAATTATACAACTTAAACCTATACAAAGATATTGGGACCTCCAACAAAACCTTATATTATTTTGTTTTATACAACAACATGGATATCCGTGTCTTAGAAAACCCATGTTTAGTAAATTATTATCTCTATACATAAAAAGCAGTCTTAAGATAGTTCTTATTTTCTTAAATAACATAATAAATATTAATTATGGAATTATAAATAATTAATACGAATTTTAATTTGAAATAAAATCACAATATCTAAAAACTTCTTTATTACAGAACATAATATTTTAAAACTGTGTTAACTTTTTATGTTTCTAATTTACGGATAAGTTTTAAGAATATACTTAAACATACATAATTACCTGTATTCTTCTTGAGGAGAACGTTTAGAGCCTCGAATATATACGATTTTAGATCGTCTTTTTTGGGCTATCGGGGCGATATTTTCGTATTTATTACGGCGTACTATATATATATATATATATATATATATATATATATATATATATATATATATATATATATATAATAGTGCCCAAGTGTATGTCGGCAAGCACAGGTGCACTCTCTATTTCCTCACTTATAATCCGATGGGACGCTAAACCGACACGACCGTAGAGAGATCAGGCACAGGAGCAACGGCTTTACGTGCTTTCCGAGGCACGGGGGTGAGACACCGCCAACTTCCCGACTCCGGGCAGCTACTGAGAATTTCTTGACAGAACTCAATAATTGATATTTTCCTTCTAACCTCTTATATATATATATATATATGTATATATATATATATATATATATATATATGCATTTTGATTGTCACTAGAATATAACCATAAACATAGATTAACTTCACACTGCGGGCAACCTTCTTGGTTAAATTTTCTTAAGATTTATAAGTGTTCCACTTGAATATTGAACTTAATTAGATGATTTTTAACTTCCCGGTCTGATAATTAATAGTTTTCAAAGGTAGGAAGTTTTAGATTTCGGTCCGATTTTGAAAATGCGAGCTTTCACCAGATCTCTGCGTTTTGAGGTCCTAGGAAGCCGATTCGACTGTTCCCGGCTGGACGTCTCTTCGAACGCGTTCTACGCGCGCGCGTGCGTGCGTGCCGTGTGTGTGTGTGTGTGTGTGTGTGTGTGTGTGCGTGTGTGCGTGCGTGCGTGCGTGCGTGCGTGCGTGCGTGCGTGCGTGCGTGCGTGCGTAAGTGCGTGCGTAAGTGCGTGTGTGCGTGTGTGTGAGTGTGTGTGTGTGTGTGTGTGTGTGTGTGTGTGTGTGTCTGTGTGTGTGTGTGTGTGTCCGTGCGCGCGTGTGTGTGTGTGTCTGTGTGTGCGTGTGTATGTGTGTGTGTGTATTTATGTATGTGAATAAAATTTTGGCATTTGATATCTTTAGAACGTATCAACCGATCGAGATGGGCGTTCTACGGCGTTTGAAAGTGTTTATTGATGAAAAAACTTTGAGCTGATTAGATTTTGTCGAGCCGTTTTAAAGATTTTGAAAAACAAAAAAAAAAATAAAGATTAGATAGATTTTTTTAGCGGAAAATACCAGGGATAGCCTGCAGGGTCAAAAGTTTTTCAGAATTTTTTCAAAATCTTCACTCTGAAAATTTGTATACGTAAAATAAAACATTCATTAAGAAATCTTTATTATTTCTGTTTAAAAAATTAGTTGTCTTCCACTTAGAGTAGGATTACGTTGTAAGCCAACGGCTTTTACCATAAATTTAAGAGCTCATCAAATGTTTAAGGTAAAAGGCGTTTTTATGTTCATCACTCGAAGGAAATAAGTTCAGTTACGCCAATACAGAACTGCTATTCGTTTGTTTTAACCTACCGATAGCCAATGTTACACGTATACGATGCTAGTTGGTAGGACACCTCTGTCTAGGAGAACTTTGGTAGGTCCGTCGCTAAATCCACACTCTTACCTATTTTTGTCGCCGTATAGCAGTGCTTGCATTGTTGTTTTCCAGTCCGAATCGTATGGAGAAACAGTATAATTAAACGCTCTGAAGCATTCTATCAAAGTTCTTAGAGGTAACAACGCATCTGTAGCTTCCTTTATTGGAAATTGGTTACAGATGTTGGCTTCAGTAGCCACTTAACATTGTGTGGGCACTAACTAAGTTTTTTAATCCGGTTTTATAAAGAAAGATAAGAACGTAATAGTGTTAGAGACTTAATAGGCAAATCTAGACCCAAAAACAAATAATTTGTAGTTTTATTAAAATTTTAGCTGTTGTACACTAGTTTTACGTATTTTATCTTGTTTAACTTTTACTTATATTACTTATTATATATATATATATATTATATATATAATATATATATATATATATATATATATATATATATATATATATGTAGTAGATAATAATATATATGTAATATATATCTAATATATCAATTTTTTAAAGTACAGGGACGCTTTTAAAACAATTTTTGCCATTTTTAACGATAATTGTTGTAATAGTTTGCATTTTTTTTTCAATCATGCTGCTCTGGAACTAACCAGGACCGCACGGTATGTAACTTTACTTAAATACCTATAAATGTGTGTTCTTACAATCGTGTTGTTTATCATATTCTTATTCATATTGTTTTTATTTTTCCATGCTCGAAGGATCTTTTGAAAAATTACTTAGTAAGTAAAAACATTTAATTGTTATTACCTACCTGCTTTGTGTTTTACACTATGTTGTTGATTTCGGAACGAGTTTTTAATCCTTTCTTTTAATACAAAATATATTTTTCTATGAATAAATATCATTTTTGTGTTTCCGTTTTCGCTTCGAACTGAATAATAAGTAATAAGCTTCATTTCGTTGCCTTTTGTTTGATGTTTACACTCAATTTTTGTTTGAAAACGATATCTTTTACTTTTTCCTTGATGTTTTGCTTTTGTGTTTCAAAATACTAAACGACTTTTTCGTTTCCGTAATTAAGAATGCTTGATTTTAATCATCTTCTTTAAGCTTACTTATAAGTTTTAATGTTTTGTTATTATCAGAAACATTTCTTTATTCTGTAAGTTTGATTATACGAATAAATTTAATATCTATTATATTGAATATATAGTAGCAATTGAATATAATTTTAAATAATAAATGCTTTTAAGCATATATATCTATGTATAAAACTTATACATTTACTATAATGTTAGATGAAGTGTTAGTTAATAGGAAAGTTCAATAGAGTGGTTTCATTTATATATTATTACCTTATATTATGCACTTATTTTTTAACATTTTTCCGTTTCCAATTTTATCAAAATTTTGTCTACAAGTTAATAACTGATTGATTGCAACATTTTTTCTTTGGACGCCATTGCCTATGCAATAAAAAGCGACCATGAATTCGTTTCTCTGGTGCCTGGTGTGAGAAAGTCGTAGTGTTCTTGGCGGCAAGCCAACATATTTCAGTGTTTCGGTTAAATTACAAATGCTCATGTATGAGTTAAAAAGATTCAAATGATAAACATGAAGAATTCAAAGAAGTGAATGCAAAAGCACATAATTTACTCACAAGAGTTATTTTGTTTCCCCTTTGACTCTATAAATAAATTAAGGATTATAGAATATAAATGGTTCTAATTTGTAAATAAATGTTTATTAATTATACTCTCAACAACAAAATTATTTGACAATGATATGAGTATAATTTTTTACAAGTGAATCACTCAGGGTATGAATATAAATTTTATATAATTTTGTGTAAGTGTCGACAAATGTTACGTGAATCAACTATCAATGCAATTTTTCGGGCCACCATCTTAAAATTTTACTCTTGCGTTTTTTTACACAATTTTTTTATTTAAATTAAAAATAAAGCAATAATTTCACACTTTGCGATTGCGTGTGCTTTGCTTATTGAAGTTTCTTTGGTATTGCACGCATAATTGCTTCTACTAATCCAAAGTTTACATTTTTAAACTCTTTTAAAATTGATGCTCCACTGTAGGATACGATGGCCACTGGGGGCGGTGGCTCCACACCAGAGCAGCAAGCGATGGCTATAGCCGAAGATGTGCTCGCTCGGTTACCGGACAAGATTTTGCGAGGTCCCTCTCACGAGGGCGATATTAAGCCCACTGATATGACACCAATGTCTATCGTCGTAATACAAGAGGCCGCTAGATATGAGCGCCTCGTTCGAGTCATCAGAAGTAGCTCCAGAGCTGTTATTGGAGCTATACAAGGTTAAATTTCTCAACAGTGGATACCATTCTAATTTTTTTGTAGTTTCAGGTATACTTTTTATAATGGTATATAATACGTAAGATTCTCACTCTGTTATTTCCGACATTAGAATTAAAAAACGCTTAAACAGTTTATTTCATAGCTCGTCATCCGTCGAACCGTGGTAGCTTAGATGGTTAACGCTCGCTGTAAATACAATAGAGCACGAGTAACCCGGGTTCAATCCCTGCCCTGATCTATAGATGTGCTCGGAGGTGAAGGAAAACATCGTGAGGAAACCTGCATGTCCGAGGAATAAAAAAATATTTCGAAGACATGTGAAGTTCGCCGACACGCATTGGAGCAGCACAGCGGACACTTTCTTGCGCTAAAACCCTCTCAGAAATGAGGGGAGGCCTGTGCCCAGCAGTGGGACGTATATATGCTGTAACTTTACTTACTTTACTTTTCGTCATCCGTACACCAAAATAGTGGAATAAGTTGCCAGCATTTGTCTTTTGATCCGATTAGAATAAGTAATTGTAATAAGTCAGTGCGCTTAACCATCTTCAGCATCACACATTACCATCAGGTGGGATAGTACCTAGTCATGCACTGGCTTAGAACAGTCAAACAAAGTACGGTTCGATTTTAACCCGATCGTGGCTCAAACTTTGTCCGTGTAGTGGCGGTGTAAGGATATCCACTACCCCACATCGTCCTGTGGGCGTTGTAAGAGGCGACAGAGGGAAATTGAAACAGGGATGGGCTGCTGCCCAGTATCTTCCTGGTTTTTACGTGGTAGAGCCATGCTACAGTTATATTAGTAGTATAGTTGTAGCACGAATGGGCCGGCTCGACCGGAGAAAGGACCACGCTCTTACAGAATACCAGCGTAAAAAGTAGCTTAAATGCTGCTATGTTTCGTATGATGAGTGTAGAAAACATGAGACCGTTTTTACTGGAAATGAGGCATTCCTCACGGGTGACAACGCATCTGCATTTTGATTTGTAATCGAGGATATATGTAGATGTCTGTGGGCCACAGCAACCACTTACCATCAGGTGGACTGTGTACTCGTTTGTGACCCTATCATAGAAAAAATAAAAATAAACAATAAACAATTTAAAAATTGCGGTTGATAACTCGCCCGCCAAGCATGTAAACTATGGCGAAATTACCCCTATGAGACAATCTACGGGGAAGGCGTATGTCAGCAGTGGACTTTTATAGGCTGTAATGCGTGAATGGATGGATGGATGTGGCTGAAACCCTGAACTTAAAAAAAAAAGCTTATTACCCGCTAGCACAGCGGTGAAACGGAATTCTTAAATGTCTTCTCAAACACAGCTCTCAAAACACAATTTTTGCTTTTGCAAACTTCAATTCGTATATATATATATATATATATATATATATATATATATATATATATATATATATATATATAAAGGAAATGCAATGACCATGACTGTGTTCACAGAAAATCACTCAATAAAATGAGCTAATTATATTTCATCAACATACAACTAGGTGTGAGCGTATTGACTGACATAACGGAGGAGGTTCTCACAAGCATGGTGCGAGGCCGCATTCCTGCGCTATGGGCTGGCAAAAGCTACCCATCCTTGAAACCTCTCGCCGCTTACTTCAACGATCTCTTGGCCAGACTGGAATTCCTCCAGGTATTTTCTTTTAAATTAATTTTTTCCTTTGTATATTTTCCTGTTTATTTATAAATCAAGAGGAAAATTTTTGGTTGAAAGAAAATACAAAGTGGGAACAATTAATGTCCTATTATTATTCCAATAAATACAATAAAATAAATACGATGGCGGCGTATCCATCACATCATATTGTTCCTTAGGCATCATAGGAAATGATCATGGGAAGTGCGAGAAAAATCTCGGCTTCTGGTAGATAGCGGTATTAAAATTTATTTTACGCCAAACACAAAACGCTTGGACCGGTGACAGGGCGCATTATCACAAGTTCGAAAATTTGGCGTTGCGATCAGCTATTGGCAATGTAGCGATTATGAAAAATTCTCCCTAAAAAGAAGAAGCGTACGTCCAGTAGTGGAGTTGTATTTGCTGATATAAAAGAACATTTTCTGTATACTCAAGCATTATTTTTATGTAATATCTTTAGAGAATCTATACTATAGGTATGTTGCTAAAAGTAACTGAGTAAACATTCTAAATTGGTTTACTTCAGTAATATTAATTTTGATAAGGTTTCATTACACTAATAATGCAGTGAATGACAATTCCATATTTGAGATAATTTTAGGTGATAATACATTTCGATCACATTGCAAAAGAATGACCACGAGTTGCTCGATCTTTTAAGGATACCTACTAATCTAACTTGAAAATCCAAGTAAGCTCAGAAGGCTCGTAAAACAAAACTAGTCTAAATAGTTTTGTTTTTATTATTTTCTTAAACCAACCTTTCTGGTTGTCTAAATAGTTTTGTTTTATTATGTTCTTAAACCAACCTTTCTGGTTAAACTACTGGTTTGGTTAACAAAGAAGAGGAGATAAACTGTAACATGCGGTGATTATTTTCTTGCCTTTAATGCAAAGAAAGTTATAATATACAGGACTGGTCAAATATTTTTTATAATAACGTTATCATAATTATTAACTAGTTGCAAAATATACGTAAATTCTGTTAAGCTAAAACTGTAACGCAACGTACATTACAGTTTTAACTTCAGAGAATTGAAAAAATACAAAAGCTTTTAATGTTAAGTTAAATTTTAAATAAAATTAAAAGGCGATTTCAAATTTCGTATCGTACCCCTATGTATTAAAAAGGAATCATTAAATTGGTTTACAAATCGCATCTCCTATATAGAACCTCCTAAAAATATTAATATGGAAGTAACCACAAAAGGAATTTAAATAATTTGTCCTCATTGTGGTCATTTTAACTGTAATATTTTAGCGCATATATTTTACAGAATTTGAACTTGAAACCTTAATATATATTAGTTTCTAGTTTAATTTAATTTCTAAGACTCTTAACAGGTGTTTTTTTTAAAATAATAGTTGGATTATAAATTAAAAATGTTCTCGAAACATTTGAACTATGAAATGTTTATGGCAAGTGGACAATATATTGTGTTGTACAATCGTACATCATGGACACTTCATTGTTGCAAACAATGAAACGTCGGCTTTCAGCGCTGGTTGCAATGGTGTTGAAAATTGTGCAGTGTAGCACTTTGTCTATCCACAGATTTATTACACTTTGTATTATTAACATTGAGCGCTTTATATATGAAAGGATATTTTAATAGAAAACTTGAGAATTATGAATACATTGATTTCAATAATATAATTTTAATCTCTATACAGTCTTTCAATGTAATTCGTTCATCGTCCTCCTTTTAAATTTGACTTAACTGTGGCTATCCCTCCACTAAAATGTTCTTTTATTAATAAAGTAATTTTTATTCAGCCGACATTGTTGAACTTTTTACACACTGGACACTTTCTTTTACAAACAACTTAATTATTGCATAGACGAATATGTACCAAGTGTAATATCTCTATTTTAAAATACGAAAAGACCCCATGGTATAATAAAACATTGATTAATATCTTATAGAAAAAATCTAAAGCTCACAAAATTTGGAAAAAGTGTCATAACTTAGCGGATTACAACATGTTCTCTTCATTGCGTAAGCGTGCATCAATATATAATAAATAGTGCTATTACAAGTATTTAGATACTACTCAACAAGCCGTACTGAATAACCCTTAATCTTTTCGGTGTTTTATAAAATTAAAACGTGTTAATACTTCTTCTTATCCACATAAAATCTCGCATAATATTATAACGTACAGAGAAGGTCCCGCAATGGTAGAAGCCTTCAACACATTTTTCAAAAGTGTTTTTTATTCTGCCTGCTACTTCGTATCCTGATGTTTTATGACCTATGCCTTCCAGTAGCAACGACCAACATTTACATTGGTTTTGGGTTCCAAGGCAGAGGTTTTTAAAGGGCTACAGCATTAAAGAACGACGTCAGACATACGAAGGCATATGTGTATATCATAAATTCCTCTCATTAGCAGATAGAAGATAAATGCTTGATCAAAAGACACTTTGACTTATCAACCTCTCCACGCCCATATATCGTACTATACATACCAAATTGATTTTCATTTCTTACTTTCATACAATATATACCAAAAACTACCTATATATCGGACCTACCTATATATCGGATGTGTTGCACTTATAACCAATTTCTTACAAAGATTGATATTTTGCGAAAAAGAAAGAAACTTTTAAAACCAAAGTATGCAAAAAATAGTAATTTATGATTAAGGTATTAAATCAGTTCAAACACACAAGCACACATACACACTCACAAGTACGCGCACAAGCACACGCGCGCACGCGCTTACACACACATACACACGCACACAACAACATACACACGCTTTATGTTGTTGTATGTACAGTATGAGTGACCGACATAGCCCAACGGATTAGTAAGCTGAAGTAACAATGGGCCAGACATATAGCTCGAAGAACCGACGACAGATGGGGAAAAATGTTTTCGAGTGACAGCCTCGTACGTGTAGTCGAAGTATAGGGCAACCTACCACTAGATGGAGTGATGACCTGGTAAGACATGCAGGAAGTTGATGAATTGATGAATGCAGGTGGCTTAGTACCGTGCTTTGTGGCATTTCTTGGGGGAGGCCTATTTTCAGCAATGGATTTGTGAAGGGCTGTAATGATGATGATGACGATGATGATATTCAGTGTGTATTGAAGCACCACCAAAATAGTTATTGATTGCTTATTATTTTTGTACTGAGAAGCTAAATTTATTTTGTTAAAAGCTGTTGGTTTTCTAAATAAACGGGTAAATAAAAAATTGCAACTTCCTTTTATGTAGCATAGATTAAAATACAATTTAAAACTTCACTTGAGCTAAGCTTAGCCATGTAGTGGAGGTGTTAGAATTTAGTGGCATGGTTATGGTAATGGATGCTTAGTATTGAAGACACATTAGCAATAACTTTATTATTTTTATAACAACAATCTTATTAATCTATCATTGAACTGATTGTAATCGGTTACTTCAGCCCATGGACACATTAGTCTAACACATATAATTACTAGGTACTCTTTGTGCAAGAATAAATACGAAGCGACAACAAACGTTGATTGTAGTGGCAGTGATTAGAACCCGGCAAACCACACGCTCGTGTATGCCCAGCTTGAGCCTATGCTTGTTATATATGACAGAACCTCACCTTATTAGCAGTCTTGTCTGCTAAGTGATGATCCACTGCGCAAATCCAATGTATTTTAGCAGATTTAACATATCGTCAATTTTTTTAATTTACTCATAAACATAGGTCTCACGACGTTTTATTTCCCAGATCACGTTGTCAATTAAATTTCTACTCGCATGACGGTATCCTCGACCTTTATCATAATATTAAATATTTTTTTGTTTAAGTAATATAGAACGAAAACAATAACTAATTTTCCCCCTTTATTGATCTCAGCACTGGCATCAACACGGCCCGCCAGTTATTTTCTGGTTGTCTGGTTTTTACTTTCCGCAAGCGTTCCTCACGGCAGCGCAACAAAGCTATGCTAGGAAATACAAGATACCTATCGACCAACTGGAGTTCCACTATGAGGTGAGGTTCTTACAAACATCAATAGCAAATCACACTGTTACTAGTAATATTTTTAAAGTTCATACATATTATAAAATACTAATGCTTTTTAGAGTCTTGTTTTCACTATCTATTTTTAATCAAAATACATAATTGCGTTTTGAATGTTCATATAATTACATTAAATAATTTGAATATAACTTTATGTGTGAAATAATCAAAGCTTTATACAACACGAAATTAATTCGACTTTTTTATCATAGTTTAGGGAGCAATTTGAATGCATATCTAAATACTCGTACAAATGTGAGAATTAAAACTTAACCTTTAGGTATTTAACCTACTATTTTTGACATGTTTTATAACAATAAAGAAGTAATAATCGATCTTATCGTCCACGTGATGGTAAGTGCAGTCCCATGGACAATTGCAAGAGTGAAAAGAATTTTGTTAAATCAGTGCGCTTTACCGTCTTCGGCTACGTCATCACTCACCATCAGGTGGTTATAGCAGTCAAGCATTGACTTGAAAATCGTTTCAAACCTACCGTCAGACAAAGAAGGCTAAAGTGGTGTTGTCATCTGTACAGAACTAAGACAGAACGCCTCATAGCTTATATTATACTGTCTGATCACTGACCTCTATATATACAAGTACGCTGGACTGTCTATACCATAGAAAATGACTGTTCCAATTTGAAGCGCCGCTAAAGGATGTCTTGAAAAATAAAATTGACATAATATGCCAAAGTCTGTTGTCATATTTAAATTGTCTTATTTAATAAATCTGTATTTTGAACTTTTAATCTAAAAAATGAAAGTATTTTATGTTGTTTGATTGTGTATAATGTTAGTTACATAATAAGAATTATTTTTATTAATAATGAGAGTGTGCGTAATCTGTAAAACTCGTTACCAAAAGGGAAGCGGTATAACATTTCACAAGTAAGGGAATTTGCAGCAAATATGAAAAAATTATTTGATAATATAAGTACTTAAAAATTTGTTACTAACTTTATATATATACCAACATCTTTGGCTGTGTATTACTGAGTTTTGATAAACAATAAAATTCAATAGGGTTGTCGAGTTCCTTGTCTATAATACTTATTGGTGTTCTTTCCTACCCATATCTGTTAACAAGCAAAGTCGCCAACAACAGACGATTATCAAATATTTATTAATTAACAGGTTCCCAAGTGAACCTAGACTAAAATTATGGCTTAAAAGCATAGATATTGTGAATTGGCGTCCGAAACAAAATGATCATATTTTTTCCAAACATTTTCACACACGCCTGTTTTATTAGACATGAGAACTGCACCACTTTGAAAAGGTGCAGTATACCGACAATATTTTCTGGTAGTACCAGTACCAGTAATTATAAAAGTATTAGATTATTATCGAATGTTTTTTTTATTTCTTCTTTCCTCATTTTTCACCAAACTCAAGGGCCATAGCCAAGTGTCGAAAGGTCGCCTGATGATGTCGAGCCACGTTGTATGTGTTTTAGTAGGCTGCGGCTAGAGGAGATTCCTCTCCCTATACCGCTGTAGTCGAGGAGGAGTCGTAAGGGTAGAGGAGTGTTGGTATGGCGATTGGCAATACGCCACTCGACTATCTTTTGCGACTTTGGTGAGGCTGCACCACTTGATGCTTCCAAGTGATAGTTTTCCCTGGCTCCATTCACATATCAGGCTCGGGGAGTCCATAGGAGTGGAGTCGGTGGAGTTAGAGAACGGGGATTTGTTGAATGAGGGGGAGGTAGCTAGGAGGGGCTGCCATTGGGCGGCATTATTTACACTTACGGAAAATTATGCGGACCTCAAATCTTGGATTGCGCTTTACAACAGTTGTGTTCTGGTTTAAGTTGGTTTAATTGTTTGAATAAATAAACTCTACTACCAACTCTGGAGTAACAATAGCCAGTACTCGTATTGGCTTCTCTACGTTTGTGTTACAAAACGCAAAATGAAGTTACCTTGGTATAAGATCAAAGAGTAAAATTATTCGAGGGTTAGTAACTCTGGTTTAACATAGTATTTGGTTGAATCCATCCTTAATACATGGTTAAATAACCGTGTAATAATGTTATGGTATTCTTTAATATAATGTTGTCCTTAGTTCTTGGACAATTTCATACAAAGAGCTCGTATTTCTATAAATGTTTCCTCAGTTTAAGATCTTTGTAGAATATTTAGAGACGATACCAGGAGACTCGACGGTATGGGTTTGGTTGCTTGAGAGAGAGAGAGAGAGAGAGAGAGAGAGAGAAAGAGATAAAGCTTTAGTGTGGGATACTACTTGCGAACACTTTGACAGCATCCCATCTCAGGGGTATCTCGTCTTAAGCAGAGGTGGCATTGGAGGCAACTGAACTAAGTAAATAGCCCAGAATATCTAGAAGATGAATACATATTTGTGCAATTTGCTGTAGACACTATTGGTCCGTAGGGTGCACGTGCGGTGTAGTTCCTAAAAAACTGTATATGCGACTGATTTTCGCTGCTTGTAATAAGAAGTTGTTTAGTTTGTTGTTTCCTCGCTTGAAGGCTAAGTATAGTCATTCAGAGAGGACACGTAGCAGCATTCTTGGAACGATACCACAGAAAGTAGGACTGTATGATAATTTCTGTTATTTTTTTTAAATATTGTTATTTTAATTTCGAAAATGTCGTTGTAAATAACTGATAACAATGTAATTCAAAGTTTATATTCTTTATATTATTTTGCTAGCTCGTACCCGGCGCAATGCTGCCGCAGAAGAAGTAATTGTGGACATATCGTTAAAAATGTGGAACAGTTATATTGTATAATTAGGAATGATAATACAATCATTGAAATAGAATGATTTTCTTTAACTTTCAAATAAATAGTCAGTACAATACGCACGCCACCTAATGTCAGTTAATTGTACCATGCGTAAAACCTTCGCACAAGTGCAACCAATAAGTTGACTAAGTTTTACCGCAATTTGATGAACTGTATAGCATCGTAGGAAGTACGAACAAACATAAATTTTTATATAGTAGAAAATATTTTACTATCTATAGACAGACCTGTAGTTGATTAGAATAGGCGTTTTTATAGCAGCTGATTTGTTTTTATAATACTAGAACTAAATGAACGGTTGACAATAAATTATTTTAGAAATTATGTTTTTATTTTTATTTTGTGTAGTTAGTTTAATCTTAATAATTTTTTAGTTGAATGGTCTAAGGGCTAAGATGGCTATCCGAGTACAGAGCCAGAGTACAAAACTAATCCAACTATAGAGATGTGTAAGACAGGGTAACGTAACATCCCTGAAATACTTTAACGCTGCATTGGAAGACGTTTTCAAGCTACTGGACTGGAAAGGATACGGTATGAACGTCAATGGCGTGTACGTCACTCACCTTCGATTTGCCGACAATATAGTCCTTATGGCAGAATCGCTGAAGGACCTACGCACTATGTTCAATGACCTCAATAGTGTCTCCCAATGGATAGGTCTTAAGATGAACATGGACAAAACAAAAGTCATGTGTAATGTCCATGTCACATCTATGCCGGTGGTTTTTGGGAACACTTAGTTGAAGTTGTTGACGAGTATTTTTACTTGGGACAAATAGTCCAACTAGGTAAGTTCAACTTCGACCGACAGGGCAATCGACGGATTCAACTCGGCTGGGCAACGTTCGGGAGATTACAACACATCTTCTCGTCAGTCAGTGTCAGTGATGACCTATAGATCTGAGACGAGGTCTTTCACTGCTGGCCGTATGAGAAAGCTCGAAGTCGCTCAGCGAGCTATGAAAGGGGCTATGCTAAAGGGTACAAACTTAGGAATGAGTATATTTGCAGCACAACCAGAGTGACCGACATCGCCCAATGGATTAGTAAGCTGAAGTGGCAATTGACCAGCCATATAGCTCGAAGAACCGAATACCGATGGGGAATAAAGGTTCTCGAGTGGCAGCCTCGTATCGGCAGGTAAAGTGTAGGACGTTCCCCCACTAGATGGAGTCAAAACCTGGTAAGCCATACAGGACGTTGATGGATGCAGGTGGCTCAGGACCGTGCTTTGTGGCATTTCTTGGGGGAGGCCTATGTTCAGCAGTGGACTTGTGAAGGGCTTTAATGATGATGAATTATAATGGCATTACATTAATATGATACATAAAGAGAATGGACGTTACGGGTAGAGTCCATCTATACATAGAGTCTATTCTATTTAGGTATAGGTAGGGTATAGAATTTTATCGATATTATTTGATACACTGTCTCATCCCTATTATTAGTTCCGTGGACGTGCACTTCTGCTGTCAGCGCCAAAATGGCGGAAATCAAATCGCTTCATCATGTCACGGTGTATAGCCAGTCCAGCGTACTTGTATATATAGAGGTCAGTGTGTCTGATCCATTTATCGGAAAACAGCAGTAAATTCAGTGCTATTTGGCCATAGAGTTATGTAACAGGGTGGTAAATATCTAGTAAAATGAGTCTCTTTTTGAAACATTTCTAAAAGATCATTTAGACAACACTTGAAATAGGTAAGCGTAGCATACATTTGAAATGATCTTTACGCCTTCTATCCTGTTTTGTAGTATGCAATATTGTGTCACGTCAGGTGTACTATAAAAAGCAGGTAACTGAACTTTCAAAAATTAGATATGTTATGTTAAAATTAATGAAATATTGAACCTCTTCAAAAGAATAACAATTTTTTTAATTATAGGGTTGATATATTAATCAAAATGACTAGTTATTTTAGGCGTATAATATATTAAATGCAAATGTATAATTCTTTTATAATGCAGCGTTGGAGGTTCAATAAGTGCCAAATATGTTTTAAATTAGTACGTTTAATAAATAACACTTTATTATCTTTTTGTAAATTATACCGGTTGTGCAGGTTCAACGCACTACCGATTTGAAGAAACCGCCACCAGAGGGTGTGTACATCCGTGGTCTGTTCATGGAGGGGGCGCGTTGGAACATGACTAGCTACATAGTTGATGAGTCCTTCCCAAAGATACTCTACGATGACTTTCCACCGGTACGTTTCCACGGTAGCGGAATTACGGAACTTTGTTTTTATTTTTTAGATATAGAACTAGCGGTCCGCACGAGTGATTTCTGGATCTCGACAACAGCGCCACCTAACGGGTCCAAATTTGAATCTAAACCATCTAGAGACCCATTCTAATACACACGAAAATTTTTATTAAAATCGGTCTCTACTTTCGATTTTTATCGAGACTAACGCACAGTATTTAATTGTGTATACATATATATATATATATATAGATGAGATTGACTAACGAGCACATGGTCTGACGGTAGGCGGATGCTGTGGCCCATAGACACGTAAAGCTATGCTCCATCACAATTAATTAAAATGTAGAATATTTTAGATCATACAGTAAAAAGCTCTCGGGTTCTCTACAGTCACCATAGGGGAAGCAGCAGCATCAAGCTGTTAATTTAGGATGATACTCGGTCAAGCCGACCCGTTCGTGCTGCTGCGACCATAATATACCTGCAACGTGGATCTACCACGAATAAAATCTGGACATCTATATCAATACAAATAAATAAAATGTCTGTTGGTCTGGGTCTGTTTGTAATGTAAAATAACAACTTTTTACTGAATGCATATGATACTCGTAGTATATACGGTACCTTATAACAAGTACACAATTTTCAAAATTTTTGGTCTGTCTTTCTGTTTGTTCCGACTAATCTCCGAAATGATTGGACCGATTGTGACGGGACTTTCACTGGCAAATAGCTGATATTGTAAGGAGTTATTTGGGCTTCTTTTATTTTAGAAAGAGAATTAGGGTTCCGCGCAAAAAAATTAAAAGCCATGAAATCGTAATTAATTCTACGCGGGTGAAGTCGCGGGGAACAGCTAGTTTTACAATAAAATTGTGCTTTTTGGCCACACATGGTAAACATGGTTGTGAATGAATTCGTAATTTTCTGCTCTTTATTATTTGAGTTAAAACATGAAATTCATATAAAAAGAAGTTAAATATTAAATTACTCTTAACATCCAAATATTTAGTTCAAGAAATAAAAGTTATAAAAGACATTATAAATCTTTTATTTAGCCTCAGATATTTTATTAATCAAAGACTTGGCGTTACTAAGGAGTTATCGTAGAAGGGTTGGAGCAACCGGGCAGCTGGGTAACCACCACAAGATTTCAGTTTCGGTAATCCGATTATTGATCAAAGAACTGTTTAGTAGACAAATTTTGGTATTAATTTCCTTGGTGATTAATATATAGAAAGTGAGGATAATGTTGGTTTATAGAGAAAAGTTTAAATATTTTTTTTTTAAAAAAAAAAAAACCCCCCTCAAAGATTTTTCTAAATTTTTTTTTTTTTTTTTACCCTCCTGTCAACGAGGGGGGGTGGGGAAAAGAAGTAAATTTGAAAGCGGTACGAAATTATTTAATGGGAGGGCAATGAAACAATAAATTTTCAGAGTGGACAGTGTACCACTACACCCACCCTTGCTCTCATCAAAAAACTCAGTTGAATTGTAGTTACACCCATGCCAAGGACGTCTATTATGTAGAATATAATTTAATAGAAGAATCGTATATACACTACATATATTACATATACTACATATTTTCTGGGATTTTGTTGAAAAAACGTATATATTGCCCCATGAGAGAATTACTGACTCTATGGAGTCGAGTATGTAACATCAATATATCATCATATCAACATACTTGGGGAATTTGATACCATTACCTTTATTGACAGGTTGATTAGCATCCGCAGCACCCAACAGATTTAACGTTGCTCTCCATTGGTTGGAGTACATTAGGTCTTGCATATCTTTTTATTTAGCCCGAATAGTCCCATACTGAGTTATCTCGAATTCGAATCTCTAATCGGGCCAATATCAATTATTTTGTCTATCTGTCAAGAAACTTTAGGTAGCAATCCGTAATCAGAAATTTGGCGGTGATTTACAACCGTGCCTTGAAAACCACATAAAGGCCAACATGAATGGATACTCTCTCGTCGGATTACCCTCCCATCGTAATATGAGAGTGAGGGAATACATAGTGCTCCTGTGCTTTTGCACACACTAGTTCAATTTAATCCTGTCCTTTGCAGATAAGCATCTGTCGATCACGGCAGCGATTCTCAAGGGATGACATTACGCTTTTCATTATATATTTTTAGTGTTTTTTTTAAAGACTACGGTTTTTGTTTAGGTGTGGCTGATACCTCTAAAGCGTGAAGACGTACCGACAGACGTGTTCTACAACTGCCCGCTATATAAGACTGGTGACCGACGAGGAGTCCTATCCACCACTGGACACTCCACCAATTATATCCTGTTCATGCGCTTGCCGACGGCACGGGAGCCGGATCACTGGATAATGCGGGGAGTCGCTTTACTAACACAATTACCGTTTTAAAATAATTGATAAAATAATACTTTATAATAATTAGTAGGTATTAATCCCTTTTAGATTTAAACTTCCAAAAGGATAAAAATTATCATCTAGTCAATGTACACACAAAAACATGATAAGAACTATTGTTGGTTGCTAAAAATATATGATAAAATAAAAAAATATATTATAATACTTCGATTTGTTTTTTTTACCATTTTCATTTTAAACCACTTTTAAGTATACAAATAATAAATTATTTCTTTTTGATTGTAACGTAATGACGTTATTGAATGAGACAGCCTATGTGTTCCATGTTCTGTTTATTACTGACTTAAATATATAATATATATTATTTATATACTTGGCAGAGCCACGCTGCAGCTATATTATGGTTGTGGCACGAATGGGTCGGCTCGACCGAGGAAGGACCACGCTCTCACAGAATATCAGCGTAAAATAGCAGCTTAATACTGCAGTGTTTTGTATGGTGAGTGTAGAGATCCCGAGACCCCTTTTTACTGGAAAGGAGGCATTCCATCATAATCTTCAAGGGTTACAACCCATATACATTTTGATTCTTAATCGAGGATAAATGTATAGAGGATGGATGAGGATAGATGTCTATGGGCCACAGCATCCACTTACCATCAGTTGGACTGAGTGCTCGTTGTTCACCCTTATTATTTAAAAAAAAAAAACAGCTACCGTAGGCTACATTACAGTAATCTAAAAAATAGTATAAAACTTAATGTGTCTTACCTGTACTGAGCAATTCAGGGAGATACGTAAAGTAGTGGGTTCGAATTTGTTATTCGACTACCGTGAACCACTGCATTAACGCAACATGAAATAAAATGGTTACCATCACGCTTCTCCTACCTTATTATCAATCATTGTATAAGCGCCCTAGCGTTTGCCGACGGCAAAAAATACTTACGTGTTTATTGGTTTTTTAAAACGGATGTGAAACTTTACTAAAGATAACAATGTGAGCAATGTTCTAATTATGTATACTAAACCAAACATTTCAAAGTTGATGTCAAATACGTGGTAGTGACTGGTAGAGCCACGCTACAGTTATATTATGATTGTAGCACAAACTGGTCGGCTCGACCGGGGAAGAACCATGCTCTCACAGAATATCAGCGTAAAATAGCAGCTTAATGTTACTGTGATTCGTATAGTGAGTGTAGAGAACCGAAGACCCATTTTACTGGAATCGAGGCATTCCATCTTAGTCCTCAGCGGTGACAACGCAACTGCGTTTTGATTCTTAATCGAGGTTAAATGAGGATGTCTATGGGCCACAGCATCCACTTACCATCAGGTGAACTGTGTGCTCGTTTGTTACCCTTATTCTATAAAAAAGTGAACTGTTCTAAACCTTGTAGTGCAGCGTAAGAAAATCAACTACTCTATCATTATCCCGTAAAATAATTTCTCTTATTTACCATCTTTTCTGATATCAACTCAAAAAAAAAGACTTCGGTTGGTTGGTTCTCGTACCAAGCGAGGCAACTATGACAAATATTTCCCTCCTAGAAGCCAATCTTCTCCTAAGTGGGTACCGTGGTAGCTCAGATGGTTAACGCTCGCTGTAAATTTCACAGTATGCGAGTAAACCGGGTTCGATCCCGGCCAACACCGAGGAAATTGTTAATTGCAATTTCAAGTGCTGATTTACCACATGCTCGGCGGTGAAGGAAAAGATCGTGAGGAAACCTGTATGTCTGAGAAATAAGAAAGAAAATTGATTGACCCTGCAGGCCATCCCTGGAACTTCTTGCTAATTTCAGATGCAAAGCGCTCCAAATTTCACCAAATTATGTTGCGAAATCTCAAAGTTATGTTAAAGAAAACTTTTTTCAAATTCTTCCTCCTTCGATATCTTACGAACGAATGAACTGATTTTTATTTTAGAAACGGCATTCGACGTAATTTTCTTGAGTTTAAGAGCTGATTAGTTTTTGAAATCGATCGGTAAAGCCGTTTAAAAGTTATTCCAAAAAAACAGTTTTTAATTTTTTTTATTTTTGAGATATCTCAAAATCTACTCGTCCGATATTATCACCAAATCTATTCCAGAGAATCGGGGTGAAACTATTAACTTCCCCATTTTTGAAAATTGTCAATTTTCTGAGCGGGAAGTTAAAATTATTTCAAAAACATGTAAAGTTCGCCAACATGTATTGGGGCAGCGCGGTGGACAATTCCTTGCCCTAAAATCCCCTCAGTAATTAGCGGAGGTCTGTGCCCAGGAGTGGGATGTGTATAGGCTGTAACTTAATTGAAAATCTATGGAAACGACTATATTCAGCATTGGACTTTTGATAGGTTGTCCAAATTAATAAATAAATGAGTTTTCAAAGTATACGTACATATTTACAAACAAAATACTAGAGAGATAGACTTCTCCGGGTTTAACAATGAAATCGGGACGTCAGTCATCTCAGTCTCCCGTGACCATGGGTACTGAAAAGCGCCCGAAACGTCGGGAATTAAAAATAAAAGTAATTAAAAGTAAAATTAAACGCGATAAAATCCGTAAAAGTAGTTTTAATCAAAATACTTCTAATTTAAATACTTATCTAAAATCCAATATTGTAAAAAAGTGACACAATGAAACAGCGCCCGTTTTCTTTCTTCGTTGCCAACTGTTACGAGGTTTCTTTATTATTGTTCTGTCTGGCATGACCACTTCGATAAGCTCCGGTACACATGGAAAAAAATATATTTATGATATTTTTAATATTTGATTGTCAATTTGTATAGATAAAATTTAGTAAAATATAGTTGGTCCAGTGGTTGTAATAGTACGACTGCTGATCATGAGGTCCTGGGTTTGAATCCCGGGTCGGGCCGAAAAATCAATTATTGAGTTTTTCTGTCAAGAAATTCTCAATAGCTGCCCGGAGTCAGGAAGTTGGCGGTGTCTCACCCTCGTGCCTCGGAAAGCACGTAAAGCCGTTGGTCCTGCGCCTGATCTCTCTCCGGTCGTGTCAGTTTACCGTCCCATCGGGTTATGAGAGTGAGGGAATAGAGAGTACACCTGTGCTTGCACATACACTTGGGCACTATAATCCTGTCCTGCGCCGATGGCTAGCCTCCATTGAGGTAGGCCGCCGTGGCCGGATTTCGATCTGGAGGACATTATTATTACTATATATTGTTATTGTACCGTAATAAAGACATCGTAACCGGTGCTACTAATATTCTATGTACCATCAATAATAGCGTATAAATCTTTTACGTGGTAGAGCCATGTTGTAGCATAGTTGTAGTACGATTGGTTGGACTTGACCGAAAAAGGACCACACTCTCACAGAATTCGTATCGTAAGTGTAGAGAACCAGACACCCTATTTACTGATATCGAGGCATTCTATCTTAGACCTCACGGGTGACAACGCATCTGCATTTTGATTCTTAATCGAGGATAGACGTAGATGTCTATAGGCCACAGCACCTACTTACTATCAGGTGGACTGTGTGCTCCTTTGTCACCCTTATCCTATTAAAAAAAATTGATATGTTTTTTCTTTAAATAACCTGAGTTATCGTTGTTAAGTTTTAAGTTATTTAAAAAATAGTGAATTAGTTTGTCTCTTATCTGGTTGTGTACTATTTAAGTGCACTACGTTTGTCCATGGACACCTGCAGCCATTTCAAGTGAAGAAAGCTATAGATCCGTTGTTACCTGTGAGGTCTAAGATGGAATGTCTCACAGCTTTCGATTATACTGGCTCTCAATACTTTTCAGACTGGGACCCAGCAGCAGTGTTTGCACTGCTATTTGGCCACAGATATGGGTAAGAGCGTGGTCATACCCTGACGGACAGAAAAAGAGTCTCTTTACTTACTACTACTAACTAGTACTTCCTAGTATTAACTTACAACTTCACTTAATTCTTTACAATAAAATAACAATTGCATGTACCATTATTAATGGCGTGATTATCTCTTAAAAGTTTTAATATATTTTCTTTGAATAACATGCTTTATTCAGTTTTGTAAATACATAACTGGTATGTCTTCGACACAAAATGGAACTGCTAGTAATTTTTTATTATCGTGTAATATATTAATTTATGCTAGGAAAATATATGAAGTCATCCTTTCATTCGTTTCGTTACCGTGTTAATATAGCAGTATATCAAGTTTAAGTTATTCATTACGACTTAGTTAGATATTCTGTGACTATTTTAGTCTAGTCTAGACTTGCTTGAGCGCTCGCGTATAAAAATAGGGGACAGGTGGTATAAAATTAGGTAAGTGACCAAAAACGATCAATATTATCAACTCTGGTACCTAACTATACCTACCATCTATACTTACGATATGAAAAATTTATTAAAACCATATAATTTTTAAACTTATTATTTTTTATTAATGACAAGCTTAGGTATAAATGGTAATAGTAATATGTGATAGAAACATGCTGCAGCTACGTAGTTGTTTCTTAATGCTTTAATGCATTAAGCTACAGCATAAGTTGTCAGCTCAACACTACCGTATTTTGGCAAGTATAGAGAATCACAGATCCTTTTTGAGGTGTGACAACCCATCTGTATTTTGATTCTGAATCGAGAATAGATGTGGATGTCTATGGGCCACAGCATCCATTTACCATAAGGACTGTGTGCTCGTTCGCCATACTTATTTTATAAAAAGTTGACAGTAATGCAACCTTACATTGTAGAAGGTTGTCTTTTAAAAAAATAATTTTACTAGACAGAAACAGAATTCCTACATAATTCTTGTTAAAGACGCTTATTTTTATAATATACAAAATTATCTAGTGAATGTAAGCACAATAATTAACCATTTCATCAAAGATTTAAGATTCCTTTGTTGCTAGTTCAAAATAATTTTACACTAAATCACAAGCTGACCTATTTTAAAGATGTTGCCTCATTTCACTAAAATATTGGCAGACTGTACTGTAACGGGTGATGTTTATTGCCTGTATCTGTTGGGGTCAATGCTTCTATAATGGTTGTTGGTTTTTCCGTTACTTCACGA